TAGTTAAAATTTAAAAAAATGGAGGTACATGTAATTAATTTAATTGGTATTCGTTTTTATAAGAGAACGTATTACGTTGTACTTATTATTTTTTTAATTTAATTTAAAACTATTGATCAATCGATCGCTGTTTCTTTTATTAAGTTCTCCTTAAAAAAAAAAAATAAAAAATAAAAAAAAAAATACGATCGATCAAAATTACCGTGATCGGATTTATACCTGTTTAAAATTTTATTTCCCATAGGTTTTATTTCCCTTTAATTAATTTTGCTCAGAAACTTTTTACTTTTACTTTAACTTTTACTTAATAAAAAAAGGTATAATGTACTACCTAAATCTAATCTATAATATCAGTTTCATGATCAAATCATATTACGTTTATATATTTCGTATTGTTACATTATACAGTTACAATAATATCAATTCTTATATTTTCTTGCGGTCTTTTCGATTTTAAAGTGTAATCGACCTTTAATTCACCTTCGGTTTTTAACATTTTTATTGAAACCGCAATGAGTTATTCTCTTCGTAATACACGCGTGTTACTCAGGTTTCGTAATTTATTTTAATTATTTACCATAAAGTTTATGTTGTTTAAACTCTCGATTATAATTGCTTGGTTATTTGCTACCTATCTCAATAGTAATATAGGGTTCGTCGTCGTATTATATTTACGTTTGACACACGCATTTATTGTTTGAGTAAATTGACCTATTATCAAACTTAAAGGAAAGAGCATTTTCTGTATTTGTATGTAAACGTTTTTTTAAAAATTTTAAGCGAGGTATGACTGCGTGAATAACATAACTTAAAAAGCATTATATTTCGCTAAAAAATTTAAATATCGTAAAAAATCAAGGTGTAAACACAAACATCTATTTTAAAGTTCGATAATCAGTCATTCCACTTTAATATGATAACTGAAAGCACAAAATTGGTTCTGCTGAAAAGCTGCAAAGTTGATAAGTCGTTCGTTAACGAGACAAAGACAACAAATCCATGTTTGATCTATAAATTCAAATTTTTATTAAAAACACGTAATATTTTGTATGTTGTATTTTTTTTTTTTTTTTTAAAGCCACATTTTTGTAAAATATTCATACTACTACATATTGTTTGTGTACCCTAAATGGCTATAGATATTTTTGATACAAAATATTCACGCGTATATAATATAGCATGTCTCAAAATTCCCGTGGAAAATAAATATAACAAATGCGGTTTTTTTATAGTAATTAGTAAGACTTCCTATTGAATGACATAAGTTTCGAATTTTTTTTTCCAAGAGTTAAAAAATATCGACACGCTGTATTGCAGTATTAAATTATAATTGTTTAGAGAATTTACATGTATATTTAAGGTTATAACCTTTCATTATTTCACAATCTTTTAAAAAGTACCTACATAATATATATTTTATTAAATATAACTTTGAAAATCGATTTTCACATGATTTGTTTAGGTTTACTAAGAAGTGTGCGATTCTAGACAAAATTATCTATATTAATAATGTTTTACTTTTCGTTTAATTATTTTACATTAATGTACATTAGGTTCTTATTTCGCAATTTATTTGCTGAATAACCCTTATTATAATTAATCTAAATTCATTGGCCATGATCTATTTATATTATACACTTATATTGCGGTATATTCTGTCTAATACCGTTCGATGTTTTTAGTTATGTTCTTTCTAGAACGAACCGATAAAATGTAAAAACAATTCGTTTGTTAGAAATATGATTGAATTTATTACCTATAATACACGTTGTAAAGCTTAAAAACATAGGATCACGTTTTCTTTTTTTATTATAATTTGTGTACACATTTTTATAAAAGTTCAATACGCACACCGTTACCATACCTACCTTTAATAATGTAATGGAGATATATGGAGTTACAGTACCTATTAACATAAGAATGTAAACATAATTGTTTTATATGAACTATACATACAATTCATTACATCGAAAACATCGAAAACTAACTAAGGTGATTAAATTCGATTTTAAAATAAATGAAAAACTACTGTGTATTATAATAATATAATATAGCCACAACGGTATAGTTATTTGGGAATTATTAAAACAGATTTTGAGACTCAACTAATATTTTTAAATTTTTAGTTCTCTTTGTGTTTTTAGGGAAAATTTCGTTTTAATAATCAGCCGTATGTTCAAAATACTTAGGTTATTACTACGACTGTTCGTTTGTGAATATTTAACAATCCAAACTTGTATTTACCACCACCACCACTACCTCCACCTCCATTACCTCCACCACCACCACCACTCGATCTATATTCTATACAATAATATAGAATTACGATGAGTAGGGTATACTTGCTCGGTGTTATTAACCTTCCAGCTATAATATATCTACAGGGTGATCCATTTAAATGACCCAGTGATTTTCTCGGAGTATTTTAAGCGAATTTGAATTTTGTTTTTTTTTTTTTCAGTCATATACCATAATGATTGTTTAAATTTTAATTCAGCACTATTTTCAATTTTTCACTCCTTATCCTTATACCGTGAATGAGTAGTGTAATATACACTTTTGATTTTCAAATTACAACCTCTCACCCCCTTTTAAACACAGATTCAAATAGAGAATAGTTGTAAAGTTATGATGTGTCTAATACTATAATATCGAATTTACCGTTAATAGTTACAACATGAAACACTTTAAAATTAAGAACCAGAGGGCTAGAGAAAAGTAAAATGAACTCCATATTCATTATTAGATGATAAATTTATGGTATTTATTGATTTTATTTGAAAGTTCAAAATACATTAACTGTATATTATACTTATTTAAGGTATAAAGAATTTAGGGGGGGGGGTGATTTAAAATAAAAATAGCCAGTTAAAATAAAGCTTAAGCGATTCCGTGTAGGTAATAATTGAAAAACACACATATCAAATCCATCGCGAGAAAATCGGTGGATTGTGTATAAACGGATCATCCTGTATGCATAACAGGATGCCAACATGTAAAACATATTCTATTGTTTATATACTCCGCCGTACATTATTACTACTACTAAACTTAGTACTTACTATAATTTTTTTTTGTTAATAATTTCGAAAAGTATATATCGGTATTACGATTTGGTCTAAACTTTAAAATAAAATAATTAATAATAATATTAAATAATATTAATAATCATATATTTCACGAGAGAATAACAAATTATCATATTATCAAAGTAGTTATAATCTATTTGCCGATACCATAAGCGATATTTCATTTTGAAACTATAGGTATAGGTACCATACTTAAGATAACGTATATCGTCGTGTATAGTGAAATTCGTGAATAAAATATCGTATACCGTATGCTTTCATCCATGCACGCTATTGCGTCAGCTGCCGTCTGCATAGTACGACAATCGAGTTTTTGTGTCAATATTATGTACTAGTACACACCCCCTCTTTTTATATTACACTTTTTGCAATCGCGATATGTGTACAACGGTACTTGTTTTAATTGTTAAAATATTAATACACTAGTATAATAGCTGGTATATTATAGGTATTGATTTTTAAAATTAATTCATTCAACATTAATCACATTACACACTGCATATATTATTGCATAAATATATAATGCATAGGTAGTGGCATTATGTAGACTGTAGAGTATAATATTAGGTAGTTCCTGTATATAATATAATATTAACAAACTTTAAACATTATAATATTAATATGATCTTGATTTTTTTTAAATTTTGAACTTTATACAGTATATATCCCTATATAGGTACTTGTTAAACAATTATAAATACTTGTTTGTTTTTGTTGTTTGTAATTATTGTGATATGTTGATAAATAATAAAACTCGAACGAATAAACAAACCGAACATAAACTAATGTATTGATTAATTATCGATTTATTAAATAGATAAGTTCATAGGTACACGTACTTTGTGGGTAATAAATGATAATGAATATTTAGATTAAAAAATTAAAAATTCAGGCACCTATGCGTCCTTATGTTTTATAGGTATATTATTAAATATATATATGTATCTACCTAATGCGTAAATTAATTAAATTTTAATTTCAATTTTAAATTAAAATTATAATAATTTTGATATAAATATGAATTCAAACGCAAATATTATAATAGCTACTGCACTTAGTTTTATAAAAATTGTCATTTTTCAAAAATGACCGATATTGTATGTAACCAAATAGGTACCTAATTATAATAATTTGTAATTTATGGGAAATTTGATGTGACATAATTTTTATTTGTACTGCGATTTTGAGACATATTTTTCTCCCACAACAGTTTACTTAGGTATAATCTATTCCATAAGAAATGTATGGTTTGTTCTGAACGATTTCTGTTATTTTCTGTTTTTAGGGTTTTTGTTGCAATTAGGTTAAAAATGATTATAGAGACGTGACAATTTTACCGAATACTTATATTAGCCCTTCTAGACACAGAATGGTTTTCAAAATACTCTGATGTTATAGATTCCGAGCCTAGCGAGAGGGATGTATTGGTTTGATGATTTTTTTTTTTTTGTAAAACTTTTCTGCTAGAAGGTTGAAAATTGAAAATTTAACATGATTTTTACTATAGATCGTGCCTACTTAGTGATTAAAAAAAAGTTGAGCTTAATGCAGTAATTTTTTTTTTCTTTATATAAACATTTTACGTTCAAATTTCTAACGAAAATCATAAAAATTACGGTATTTAATAATAACATGTTTGACCGAACTTCGTTCAGAATCTTTTTCCGTTACCATTCATTTCTCGTTGCGTACAGATATAAATTATATAATTATATTGTATACCTTATACCTTCTCTACTTTTCTCCTATACAAAAACGTAGTAGTGATACGTGCGTCAGCAATGTATGGGCTCTTTTTGTGCGTTTTAATACTTTTCTTTAACGCGAATAATACAATACTATTGCGTTGGGTTACGGGTATTGCTCACCGGGATCGCTGCTATCCGATTGACGCAGGGGATGCCAATTTCCAAGCATATAATAATACACAAACGGCACACGGTTTGAGCGCACAGTTATTCTGTTCGGTTAGTCTTACGTGTCGTTTCGCGTGAGGATATCCTACGTCGGTGCGTTTCAAAGCTGCATTCGATTTTCGGACGTTAATATTTAAATTTATTTTGTATACAAATTATTTGCCTGGAAACAATAATATCGAAGCTACCGAGTTTTTTATTTTACACGGGTAAGAACACAATAATTTATTATAAGTACCAACATTTTTTTTTTTTATGATAACATCTGATAGACTTTTTAATTACCTATTTCGTATACCCTCGCACTGTATTAAAACGGTTATTAATTATTGATTATTGATGATATTAGCAAATTACTTATTTTTTTTAAAAAGGTTTTTTTGGAAATTAAACTTATTTGTATAACAGATGCCTCATAATCTTCTAATTATTTCAACAATTGTATTCAAAAAATTACTATAAATTTATTCAAATATATTTTTATTTAGGTACGTACCATAATAAGTATTTTTCGTTTTTTTTTGTTTCTCAAATATTCTATTTGAATCTGGCACATCTCAATTATCCCGCGTTTCATTTATACAACTCCCTCTGTTGATTTCTATTTTAACTATTTCGTTGTAACTGTTTACGTTATCTAGTGGTGAAATCTTTAAAATAATATTATTATCAAAACAATTTGACGTAGCCAATAATATAATACAATTATTGTTGAAAAAAATAAAATCTATTGAAATTATTGTTTCAAAACTACCAATAAAGTAAAAAAAAAAAAATACTCAATTTATTATTATCCAGTAAAGTTTGAACAAACTAAAAACAATTAATGTTATTAACTTCAGGAAAAAACTCGAATGTTTACAAAATAAATGGTTATTATTTTTTTTTTTTATAAAATTAGACGCTGAAAGTGATGGAACTTTTAAATACAGGGTGTCCCACCGCGTTTTATCTATAATAAAAATAGATTTCTTTTTCAATCGAATTTTATTTCAGGGGGACACATTTACAGAGAAAAATTAAATTTCTATTTTAATCTCTAAATCACGGAAAAAAATAATTTGAATTTTTCAGTTTTTCAAATTTCCAAAATAGCCATTTTGTAAAAGATATCATTCTAAAATTGTTAATGCACCATAATTTCGTATATCCGATGTATAGTTTTTAAACAATAGTCGCTTTAATTTCGAACATATTTAAAAAGATTAGCTAAAGAAGAAAATGAAAACCCGCCTATTGTAAGAATAGTTATCAGTTGATAGTTTTATTACGATTGTGATTATCTATCGCGTAACGTAGTCATTTATTGAATATAATTTTTTCACATCTCTTCTCTAGATGTTTAAACGTCTTTTTTACGAAAATATTCAACGCATATACACGTATGTTAGATTAAAATAATTGTTGGAATAATATATATTACAAATCGATTTTTCTAGTAATTAAGGGGTGATAATACAAATTTAATTTATTAACAAATATATGTCTCCTGAAAGAAAATCCTATTTGAAAATATACACAAATTGAACAAAATTGGTAACTTAAAAATTTGCATGAAGACATTGGGACACCTTGTATATATGTAACATAACACGAATTTAAATTGTTATGCATTATTTTAAAATGACTACATGTACCTATCTCAAAATCACAAAAATGATGGTATAAAATTACATTTTAGATTCCGAGCGTGGCGAGGGAGCAATTGGTTTTACAATGCTGTTTATTTCTTCTTTTTTTAGATTCCGAGCTTAGCGAGAGAACTATTGGTTTTACAAATATGTTTTTTTTTCGTTCTAGTCTGTGGACACATTTTTTCCTAGTAAACTTGCTCCAATTTCTACGTGTAGCAACTTTTCTGAAAGCTCAAGTTGTCTAGATGGTACTTTAAACAGGTCATTTTTTGATTTTCGACGCCATTTTTTAAATAAAAGTACTTAAGTGGGAAAAAAACGTAGGAAAACGTACAATTTCATGATTTCATTATTTTTTTAAAAACGGACGACGTTTTCTACTAGAAAAAATAATTTAACCGAAAAATCACAAAATGCCTTTTTGATTTACTTTCTTACGGTATCATCGCCAAAAATTTTGAGTTTTTAAAGAAATTTAATTTTTTTTTGCTGTAATTCGGTTATAAATACACATAGAGAGTTGAAACTTAGTAATAACACTTATATTGGACTTACTTAGACGTGGTTAAATTTCCAAAATCATCGGAGGACTTTCTTTTTCTTAATAAACGTTTTGAAATTAAATTTAAACGAAAATCGCAAAAAAAAATCATGGCACTTCAAATTATGTATTATCAAACTGCGCTCGGTATCGTCTTTCATCAAGCAATGTTTTATCGTTGCTTACAGATACAAGTCAAATAACCTTATGTATCCTACCACCTTCCCAACTTCTCACCTACAAAAGGTGCTGTACCCGTCTCCAGTATCAGTTCTTTTTTTTTAAATGTTATCTAAAAATATGTGATGACTGAAAAAACAATAAACATTAGTAAAAATAAACTTGGTTTTATGAAATAATATTTGTGTATCTCTATCGTATTTAATAGTTTATTTTAAACTTCGAATTATAGAATATATAAAAAAAAAACAATTAATTAATACACAATAATTTATCAAAGTCACTTAAGTTTACGGTGAGCGTAAAGAATTTGTGCATAGAGTTCTCTGTGGAACAATACAAATTAGAGATTGAACCGGGTTTCCATTGTCAAATATTTCGGAAAATATTCGGTTCGTGTGAACCGGGATTTAAATAGTATAGATCTCTGCCAAACTATGATCATGTTTATTTAGTAATTACATAGGTATTTTACACTTTCTCGTTTCTATCATATTTTTTTCAAATTCAATTTAATTCGTTTTATAATTCAGTATACACTATGCAATTTATGATTTACATATAAATAATAATAGCCTTCTGGTAACGAATACATTTCCACTGTTTGGCAAATTAATACAGTTGACATTTGTTCGTGTGCTATTGTCTTCATTTTTCTAGCTTGTTCTATAGGTGTTTTCTTCTTTTTGCTTAATTATTTTTTTGTTTTTGTACTGGTGTTGTATTTAATGGATATCTTATTGTTTCAAACTAATATATCTGTAATAATATTGCAATACAAACTAGTTTAAAAAGTAAAAGGAGAAACAAAATCACGCGATCAATGGGAATTGTAATTTCGGACCTTTACCGACACTTCACGATTCACGAAAATCATACAGGGTTCGATTGAACTACGAGTGTATTTTTCATATCATTCTACGTTTAACCGGCATTCGGACTTTTACCTAACATTTACATCAGTATTAACTATTAACTGTGTAATAAAACTGTAACTATATGTTCAACTTTCTCCGTCCAAACGATTTATATACATTTTAATTATTAAAATTACCGTTATGTTTAACTAAACTATACCTGTATTATTATTACGACGGTTATATATTGTACACACATTTTATTTCGGTCGTTTTATTATTTGTTATTAATTATAATACCTAATAAAGATAAATTCAAATATTTCATTATGTAATTTTACTCTACTTTTATATTATATACCTACATATTTTACTATCAGTGCCTATAATGTAAACGGCATTATATTGAAATTTAAATAGGTGCACTCGGTAAGCTAATTATTAATCTTAAAAGCGCATAATATATGTGAAATACCTACCTGTAACGTATATGTAAATCAAAATAATAAAAAAAAAAAAAAATTTCAAAAATACGCCGATAAAAGTTTATAATTATACACGTGTATGCGTGTATGTCTACCTGATTATATAGTTTCAGGCAACGTACGTACGATCCGAATAACCTCCCCCCCTCTTCCTGCCTAAACGAGAATTTTAATAATAACCGTGCCGATTTGAACAATATGTACATCGTGTAATGTTAGCTCGTAGGTATTACATTCACATTAGGTATTTACAATAAATTTCGTAAAATGCATTATAGACGAGAAGATTTGACTGTCTCGTATTCTCACGCCGTCGTCATCTCGCCCATCATTAAGTCCGGGTTTCGTCGGGAACGAGCTGGTGGTTCAACGGATCCCAGGCGATAATTATAATATCGTTTAACGGCGCGGGCGGGATTCGTTTATAATTTTCGGTACGTTTGCGTTTCATTTAAACGAGTTCGGAGATTAAGGATATTATCTTTTGTTTCGCGTATCGGGACATTTTTTTTTTTACTTAAGAGTATCGTGTCCAATAATACGGGCACACAGTAAAGTCCGTTGATCACTCGGGTGAGTTAGATCATTTTGCTCGCATGCGCGTCTACTATAACCGTGTGTTAGTTTAATATATTATCTATTAATAATTACCGATACTAATTATAGTATCATATAGTATACACAATCCATAGAAGAGAATTGCATCTGTGACAAAGTATATTGTATGTATTTTGTTGGTAAAATTTAGTACAAACGTTTTTTTAGAAATCATAAACTTCCACAATTTTATATATTATGTGTTACAAGTGGTCATAAAATAAAATTGAACAGAGTTTCGAAAAAAATAAAACGTTTCGTCACTGATAATATTCTCCTCGATATAAAGTGAACATTTCGTGTGCTTATATTATTACTATTTTCATTTTGCCACTATAAGTATTTGTGACGATGATACGGGATCGCTTTTGAATTTATTCGAATGTGAGTTTGGACTTTTATAGTTTGATCGGTTTCCCTTTTTTTTCCCGATAATTTCGTTAAAAGTGCCTACTACACGCAAACTCTGAAAAATGGGATGCATTCAATTAGGAGTTAAATACAAATAACATTGTCAAACTTAAAAGATAATTTTATAGCCACGAATTAAATACAACGCCCTCGCGAAAAAATACTCTGTAGCAAAAAGTTTTAAAATTGACTTTCGACGGTATTTACTTCTGCCGTTTTTTTTTTCTACTTGTACCTTTTGTATTGTAGTGTGTGTTTTTTTATTTGTGTCCGATTTTAATATATTATGACCTACAAATGACCATGCCATAAATTATATGATAATTGTTTTCGAATTTGTCTCATTCATTATGTATGAACGAATGAACTTGTGTATGCTTCCCGTTTCGCGTATTTTAAATTTCAATATTAATTATATTTACCGTTATATTGGCTTATTTTACTAACAGATTACAAATAAATCCCATTGTATTGTTTCTTATTATGGTTTTTTAAATTAAATTTCAAAGACATTTTCAAAATTTAACAACTATTTTTATGTTTTGTAGAATCTGCATGCTGTATAAGATGGTTTACATATTCATCTATAAAATTTGATAAACAATGCAAAATAAATGCTAAACGAATAGGTAATTTAAATTATAATAGCACCCTACCCCCCATTCCGAGTTTAATGAACGAGAAGCAAAATAAAAGCTCGCATTGTGGTATTTTATGATTTTTTTTATTTTTTATTTTTATTATTTTCTAAATTCAATCCGGTCGGCATCGGTCGACTATTTTATCCGTACGTATATAAATTCGTGTGTGTATGTTTCGATAAAACATGTTCGATAATGTTCTTTATTAATTCCCATGTTAAGAATTTATCGTTACATAATATATATATCCAATATCGTGTCTTTCGATCATTTTAACAATCAATTGCGATTGCAATGTTATTTATTACGTAATTTGTATATGGATGGCTTTTAATACCAATATTATAGATAAAACTTTGGCGAGCGGCAACGTTTGTTGTAATAATATGATATTTAATATGTGATAAGTCTAATCGATTGATTTGACTGAACCGAACAGACTGAATGAACGTGTCCTCAACGAGAAAATAATCTGTGTAATTGACAACCAGTGATTAATGTGATTATTAATTAATTAATCAATGTTATTACAGTTATTATCAGCATAGTGTGATAATATGTACCTAAATAAACAAAATATATTTTGCACTAACAATGAATTAAACATTAATTATTTTATTTATGTTGAGTGTTGTTATTTCTGTAAGGATGTTGTATTTTTTGATACTTGAAACGCTAATGATTAAAGTGTTAATTAATTATTAATCATTGACTACTAGTCATCCATTCAATCAGATTACCTAATTAGACTTGCTCATATTCGATAGCGGTGATGTTATTTTCTCGATGACTATCACCATATTCAGTTCAGTTAGATCAGTCTTTTAGACTTACCCTATTATATGATCCTCGATTGTATCTCTTAAATTCAATACAATTGCCTAGATTAGGTATTTTAAAATAAGTTATTACTCGTGTTATCCACTTCAGAAAACAAATTTGTATTAATACTAACTAAACACAATTGTTTTAAGCACTTCTTAAAAATTCTTAAACCATATAGATTTTTTTATTTGTTGAAAATAAATATGATTTTCTATAGTGCAATGCTCTGATTATATTTCAAATATGTTTCAACACGTTTAAAATAATATTAAATTTCATCTAAATTAGATTTTTTATGACGACAGTTTTGTTCACTCTGCTTTAGTATATACCAAGAGTATGTCTGAATTAAAATTGCACGCCAGTCATCGTTGTGTTACTAAAAGACAATAAACATCTATAATTAATAAACGTCCGTTTTTATCTTCTCAAATTGATCACAACAAATTATTAAAATTCCCTTTTTTTTCTTTTTAAAATTTCTTTATCTTCTTATTTGTCGTACCTATATACTTACTAAGTTTACCATTATATTAATTATTTATTAATACTCAATATATAAAAAAGGGTCTTGTTCGTTATAAATAAATAAAATAAAATGCATTATACTTCATATTATGTTAGCTTATAATATAAAATAAATAAACCTAATTATATTGTAAATAGTTTACAATATGGCACATGTTTATTTGATTTTAAATTCCTAATGAATTCCTAATTAGTTTTACTGAGATATGGTGTTTTTTCTCTGAGGAACACTTTAGTTAGTAAAAATCATCCAATTTTTTTTCTCGGCGTACATTAAAAGATGTTGGTACTTTATTTGATTATTTTTTCTAGATTCCTAAAGGTTTTCTATAAACATTTTTTTTAAAACCGATAACAAATGACGATGTACATATACTTTGGTTTTATGTTTGTTGGTTTCTGGGTTACAGGGGAAAACAAATCTGCCTGAAACTATAATCTTACCTTTTTACCGACCTTCGTTCAGAATAGTTTGTCAATCGAAACTTTTATTGTATTTTCTTTTTATATATCACCCTAGATAATGTCTTACAATTTCCAAACTTTGCACCAAAAAAAGTGTGACTCTCGTGTACCCATGGTGTAAATAGTATGTCCCGTTTTTTTTTTTTTTTCTCAATAATATGTAACGTCTTAAATATATGTAGTGTAGTGTATGCTATACTACAGTTATACAAATCGTATACAAACTAAAAAGGTTATGTAATTATTGAAACCATAATATTCTGTTCCCTGTTAAATATAGACGATAAAAAAAAAAAAAAAGATAATATTTTTATGTAATACGTTGTATACCTATGTGTTGAAAATAAAACAAAAGAGACGCATGGATAATTTAATGAAAAAAAAAAAAAATAATAATAATATTTAGGTACGGCTAATATATAATAAAATTATCGTCGAACGGCAATCGGTTTTGTACGGAAAATGTGCGTGACAATATTAATATCGACAAAAATATATCGCGTAGGTGATTTCAGTGCGCGTGCATACAGGGCGTGGACACTAAAGTCTGTACACTCGTAAAATATGTCGAATGTTCGCGGTACGCTCTGTATAATAATAATATAACATGTCTACCGCATGATGATAATATTACGTTGTACATTACATGTGTGCAACGCGTATACTCTGCGGACTGTTGGCACATATCTCCGTTCGTTGGTGGCCACAACGACAAAAAGAAACGGGGAGGGGGAAAAAAAAAAACCAATAATATTTATAAAACCGTCACTGTTGTATAGACGAAGTCGCCTGCTGTTGCGTTTTTCAGTGTTCAGCGTGTACAGCTCTCGCGCGACAAACTTGCTCACGTGAACAGCGCGTGTGGATGAACGGACGTTAGTATTTGTATAAAATGTAAAATCGTATTTATTTTTTATTTTTTTTTTTTTTTTTTCATACCCCGAACTTTATATAACGTACGAATATTCGTGTACAGCACACGTACTCGTTCGATAAACAAAAACGAAAAAAAATCGGAAAATTTTCCTCGTTTACGATAACTGATATTTTAGTATTTACCCAACCGTATGCGCCTATACTCTGTTATGTTATACAATAATAATCTTTCAAAACGGCCGATACTTATTACGATGAAAACGAAAAAAAAAAAACAACAAAACGCATTGAAACGCCGACATTTGTGCCGATTCGTGCACGTTTTGAAGACGACCTCTACTCTCGTCGACGTTACATTGCCATCGTGCAATATTATATCCGCCAAACAGTCGATTCGAATCGATAATGTTTACGTTTCGGAAAACTCAGGCCGAGTGCTGTGCCGTCCAGAATTCCGTTGCCCGCGAATCGTATACACAACAGACGGTTCGCGTCTCTATAACGGGGATGCCGGTCTTTTCGTCCGTTTTCGCCGTAGTATCGCTCGTACAAACGGCTGGCGAAATGTAAAATGTCGTTCGCGGCGGTCCGTTGACAACACCCCCCCGTTGTTGTCGTCCTGGTCGTCGCATCGCGAACCGACGTGGTATTAAACTCACGGTTCGTTGTCCGCGTACGTGCATACGCGTAGTGGTTTCTTCCGATGTTCAAATTTGTAAACGAGATGTGCCTAATCATTTTTAAACCGCGTTGTAATTTCGCACACTCGTGAAAAAATTAACGAGAAATAATCATTATTGGTGCGTATGCAAATGCAGGAAGTGCGTGTTCGCCCTTTATGTTCGATAATTGTTCGATTCATTTGTAATATTAAAATTAACTGGCCGAACTCGAATTTGTACAGCCACGTGCCGTGCGCTCTTCAGACGAAGACGGCAGACGCATGACGTGCAACGTTCTCTAGTCTTGTCCGTATAGAAACGTTAAAATCTCGCGCGACCACATGAGTTCATATCAAACATAATTGTATACAGAGTGTCCTATGCGAAGATATACCCACTGTATTATCCCCGGGGATAATAAAGATAATCAAATTCTGTTTTTTTTTTTTTTTTTTGTACACATTTATTACTCGCTGGGATCAGCACTAGGTACAATAATATTTATATTGCAATTAATTTTTTATGTTTTAGTAAAAAATTTAAAAAAATAACTTTACTTCATTGTTTTTGAAAAATTTGAAGATTTTTATATTTGTATAGAGTTTATTTGTCTGAAATTTGTATTTTTATTTTCATTAAATTCATGATTTTTAATAATTTTTTAGAGTTCAGAGAAAAAAAGTGTACATTCAGTTGATATTAATAATAATAATCATTTAGATAATGTATTTACACAGCCTGTTGCATATAACTATAGGTATTTTTCTCTGAACTTTAAAAAATTATTAAAAATTACGAATTTAATGAAAATAAAAAATTGATGCATTAAAATTTTCAGAAAAATAAACTCTATAAAATGATTATCTCCAATTTTTTTAAAAATGATAAAATAAAGTTATTTTTTATTAAAATATAAAAAATTGAATTTCAACATATATATTTACAGTCCTTATCCCTGTGATTAATATATATATATATAAAAAAAAAAACAGAATTTGATTATCTTTATTATCTTCAGAGATATTACAATGGGTATATCTTCATGGGACATTCTGTATAGGTTTACATAATTTAATTACAGATTAGTTTTGTAGCGCTCGTCCAATCGGAAAATCGTTATTTTTACTCTGCTGACAAGCATTTTAACAGCCTGAACACGAGAAGAATAAAACACCATTCAATCGATTTTGTTATTGATCTAATAAATGTATAATACATTACATTGTAATATTGATAACGATTTTACTGATATGTAATAATAATAATAATAATAATTAACAACTGCTGCACGCCTATTATTTATTTTCTAAAACGTAGTATAATTTTCTTATGAAAGTCATATCGAGTATTTATCTTAAAAAAAAAAAAAAACCAGACTTCTATACCGTCTACTGCGCATACAATGTTCAAGGTGAATTGAGTAGTCCGTTTTCTAAATTTATCACATTTTAATAAGAAATATCATCATCATTGTAAAAATGCTATAAGGCGTGATTTAATCAGACTATTGGTGACTATAGTCCAATAACATTTTATAGCACATTCGAATTCCTTGCAATAGCTATATTACTTATAGATTTGTTTTAGAACTTAATTAACAAGTCGTTAAAAAACAACAAATTTAATAGGTTATCTACACAATACAAGGTTATCGAAATATCATATAATCAGGCGAGTATAGGCAGATTTTTTTTAAATTTTATCCTTGACTATAGGTAGGTACACATACATTATAATAGCGTGCCCCCATATTAAATTCCGAGTTTACCGTGGACAGGAAACGACTATTACTTTTACACTGATATTTTAAAGATGTTTTCGTCCCGAAAACATTTTCTCGGTTTAATTTCTCGCGCTAGCCGAAGATATAATGGACACCCGCAGCGATAACACAATATTTATTCATTTGGCATTTTGTAATTTTAATTCTTAAATTTTACTTAAAATCGGTTTTTTTTTTTTAGTATATATTGCCTATTACGATAGTTTTCGGTCTTTGAGTAAAAATAATCACGAAATATTGGGCCTGCCCGTTTTGCACAAGAGTAACTCGCAACCACACGAAATAGTGACCCGGATCCCGTCATCTTAACGACCGGATTACAGGTTTGCAACAAAAATTTACCATTATAATATTACACGTACAATAAACTAGTAACAATAATTGAGTACGTTTATATTGTGATTGAGTTAAAACGGTTTGAAATTAAACGGTTTCTCTAAATATCTATTATACATAAATGCATAATGCTTATACCCGTTTTTACAGTACCTACGTCCAATGTCAATAGATACGATAATGTAAAGCGCGACTTAGCGAGCATTTTGTAAACCGGTATAATATTTAATTTTATTGTCTTATTAAAATCGAATCGAATAAACTTAACCGTATTATATTTTGACATAATAGGATTCGAGGAAGTATTAAACGAGAAAATCTGGACGTGACTTTTTTTAAAACGGGTAATAATAATTGACCACGCGACGCGCATTTTAAAAAAATGACAAAGTTAAAGGATATATCAAAACGCGTTTATACCGTGTACCAGGGACGTGTTTTTTCTGTCGTATTCATTTGGTAAACCGTGTTTTAAACGCTCGAGAGACGGTTTTAATTTTTAAACTATCTCGTTTGCACGAGCGTTTTAATCCCGGAAACGGTTTGGTGTCTTCAAACCGTTTGAAAACGTGTTTACCGTTTGTACGCGATACGCGTAAGTTTTAGTTTCCGAACAGTTAACATTGAAAACCGATTTAACGTCATCGCGTAAACACGCTAATTGTCATTGTATTGGCCGTTTCATTAGACGCGAACCGCCACCGCGGTTGACTGTCGCAATAATGAAATTATCGTACCCGTGCCATCGTCCGCGCCAACCGGATTTAATATTATTGTCAATAAGAGAAACAAATTGCCGCGCGTGTTGTATTAAAGCGACGGCGTTCCGGATTACATTATCGTGCGGGTGCCGCACGTCACATAGCGTAACGCACGGTTGTGTGTATTTCGTATTGTGTGATGATATAAAAAATGATTAATCGACGAAATCGGATTTCGTTCGATATCCGACGCGCGGTTTATTCCGGTCGGTCGAATTGATTAATAATTATTAACGGCAGCTCGCGCTGTGTACCGCAGTGCCGCGAACATCACGGTGGATGCGCACGGGGGTGGCTATGCGCGGGTTGGCGACTGTCGGAAGTTATTCCAATATACCCGGCCTATTATTATTATTATTATTATTGATTATTATTGATTATTATTGATTATCATCGATTTCGGAGTTCGGACGATTTAAAACGGTACAAATCGAAGACGCGAGATGCTACGGCGGGTGGTCTATATCGATCAGCGAGACGCGGATACTTATGTACACACGCACTTGTAATGAATTATCGATGACGGTTTCGTCTGCCAGAACCGTGCGCTGCGTACGCGATAATATTAATCGACACGATAACATGCGTATGGTCTGACGATCGATTTTTATTAAACCGCGCGTTCGCTGTTGATCGTAATCTCTGAACCGCGCACGTGTAACTTCTAGGCAAGCGTGCGGTACATTATACGGTGGTTCCGATATCGTTATATTCGTTTCGTCCGACATCAACCGCAGTCGAAACGGATCTTTTAAAAGAGAAATCTACCGGTGTACGCGATTTTCCGTTTTACTCAATACCGAGCGCGCGCGCGTTACATCGCAACTGTTGCTCTTTTCAATGGTATATATTATATTGTTAATTGTTTAACGTTTCCAAGAAGAACGGCGGTGTTAATTATACTGTGCGTATTGTTTAACCCGTAGCGAATAAAAAAAAATCCCGTCTCGACCTTCCACCGTTTCCAATATGATATGTTATTTTTGTATATTATCGATGTGAAATGCGACCGTGATGACTAAGAATGCCACTGCCTATACCGATTTAGTGCGAAACGTACGGAGTTATTACGTGTGATACGTAGCATTATACAGAAATACGTAACGGTGACAATTTTTCGTGTGTCCGATATTAAAATGGGGAATTTAATGGAAAACCGCATGAAATTCCTGTAAAACGATACGAAAAACGTACATTTTAATTAAAACGAAATATGTATCTCGAAAGTCGTACATAAAAACGGGATTCGCATTGACTCATCCCTGACTGTATAATAGGTAGGCGCTTGTATTCTGCCGGTACTAAAAGTTTTGCTTCTCCTGTAAACAATTTTAAAACAGCGGCTTACGACGTCTTCTACTTAGGCTATTATTACCTTATTATTTTATACAATTTTGTAACGATATCCGTTTAATGGGATTTCAGATACCGTATATCTTTGTTTTAAATCGTGCAAACTTAGAGAGAGATCAAAATGTCTACGACCGCGACATCGATACCACAACATAATGTGAAATTGCGCCGTGAACTGGGTCTCTTCAGCGCAGTATGTCTCATTATAAGCGTAATGTTGGGTAAGTGATTTTTGTTATTATTATTCTTTACGTTCGTCGTTTTACCCAGTCGAATAAATATTATTGTTTATGTTTTATTCGCTTTAATACAGGATCGGGAATTTTCGTGTCGGCGGGGAACGCTTTGAAGAACACGGGATCCGTGGGCATGTGCCTCGTGATTTGGGCGTCTTGCGGCCTCTTGTCACTCTTGGGTAAGTTTTTTTTTCTAAACGTAAAAATTAATAGATGATAATAACCCCCCCCCCTTCCATACAAATTTTATAACAAATAAGGGTGCGAAAACAAGTTCCGTGCAGGGAAGAAGGACTTAAGGACTTAATTTTAAATTGTTTACAATACAAGCAAATTACATTTTGAAAATACATACACTTATGCAATTTAGAACAACAAATAAAATGAGACAAAATTACGCAAGATAAACTTATAAAAACAAACGCCAGAAATTGATTTAAGTCCCTCTTCTTCGAGATTACAGATATAATTTCATATAATAACCAGGGTTCTGTCGTAACTTATAACATTTTCATTTTTATTTTGATAGGTCCTAGAGACACCTATAAGTAAGCTATGAATTTATTTCGTTTATAGGTAATCGACGAGTCAAATTTGACATTTTATGATGCATATTTGTGGTGTTATTTTGCTATCTTGGTTTGGTATATTTTAACATTTTTATTGCATATTTGTGCGTTTATACGAATGTTATTAAGAACATTTTATTATATTTTTGTGTTATTAATAGATTAACCTTTTTTTGAGCTAAAAGTTTCGAACTCTGTTGATAATAATAATATGAAAATACTTATATTAATATTAAAAATAATATATTTTTTTTTTCTACAGTTTTCTCAATGTTCAATTCAAATTAAATATTATAAAGTAACAGTTTACAATTCCTACGTTAATAATATTATTAGTAGGCATATTATTTACTATATTATAATGATTTAAACATTAAATCGATTATAAAATTCATGTCAATACGCTTAATATTATATTAATTTGATTGCAAAAAGCGTCAAAATGTTTTTGTTTGCGTTAAATATATATATATATATATATAAATTTGGTGGTAGGACAGTTTTAATAATAGTCATCTAAAAATTAATAACGAACGGTTTTGTTTTTCCATTTTTTATCGCACGCTTTAAAATGTATTATACTTACCGCACTACTACGTCATCATGCGATGACACGACTTAATAATTTTGGTAATAAAATACGTTACAATAAATTAAAATCAAATAGTTAAAACGCACTACAATTCGAGGCGAAATTTCAATAAATATCCCATCGTATTGGTATAACTACATTTTTTTAATGATATATATTTGGTAATCTATTATATAAATACGATGTATCAAAGTTGAATGTTATTTATGTTATCAGTGTTATCACAGTAAACCCTAAAATTAATAAATTTCAGTCATTGGCAGATAATATTACATAATGTATTATATATGCACGTGCATAATACGTGTATACATTAATATATGTAGACATATAAAAAAATTATAATAATTATAATTAGTATTTTTGAATATTGAAAAATATGTCGAGCATAATAATACATTCTCTAGCAATGAAATTCGATATTGTAATATTTGTTTATTTTCGGGTGTTATTTAGAGGGATATTAAGAAACATTTTTTTTTTGAAATCTGTTTTCCCCAAAAGTTTATTTTCTTAATAGTTCATTTTCCATGAAATATTACATTTTCGAGTACAAAAAAAAAAAAAAAAATGATTTATTTAAATATATTATGTACAGACTATATACACACAAGTGTCTCACGAATTATACATCTGCGTTTTATAAATTATTGTCAAAATTAGTGTTACCGACGACACTTTGTGATTTTCCATCAATAAAATATTATTATAATGCGAGAATGTTTAGTGACTGTACCCGCACTGTGCCAAAGTTCAGACCACTGCTGCATTGAGCTGACGTCCAGAATAGCGGGTATTTTTATTTCAAATTTTCGCGCGGAAAATACTAAATGCGATGGAAAAAAAAAATAAAAATTTACTTATTTTTGAAAAATTTAGATTGGGAGAATCTTTTTCGGTAAATATGAAAATTGTGGAAAATTAGATTGGATATATTAGATTTGGAAAAATTTAGGAAAAGTAAAAGTATGTGCTGCAACCATTATTAGATAATGTCAGTGTGATAAGCGTTTTTAAATGCGAGAAACCTTTGTGTTGAAAAATAGTATTTACGATTTAGGTTAAAACAGCCTACTATGAAAATTAAATAACATTACTTTGCCTAGGGAATCACGTATCTATTTAGCTACATATTATTATAAATTATGAAAAAATGTTATGACTTTTTTAGTTATAAAAACGGCCACTTTTTAATTTTGAATATATATTTACCGTCAAATTTGAGTAAAATTAAAATCAATAGATGAATGTCACAGCCGCATAGACGATGTCTATAATTTTCATAACGAGTAAAAATTCTTTGAATCACTTTGAAGAGTTGGTAGATTTTACCGTAATATGTATGGTGAACGTCATACTTTTGAAGAAATTTTATGGCAACAGAATAAAATCTACGGGATCTTTTTTAATGATTTATTCGAATAATAATTTCGGTTCGATAAATGTATTAATTTTTCCAAAAACGTCGTTGAAATTCGGTCCTATACGTGACCCCGTAAATGTATTCATTTTAATTTTGCAAAAATAAAAACCGTTTCGATGTCCGACAGGGGCCTTGTCGTACGCCGAACTGGGCACGGTGGTGAACAAATCTGGCGGCGAGTTCAGCTTCTACCAGGCCGCTTTCTCCGACAAGCACAAGTTCTGGGGACCTCTGCCCAGTTTCATATACTCTTGGGTGAGCATCATGTACGTCCGTCCCGCCGAAGTGGCCATCATCATACTGACGTTCGCCGAATACTCCATCCAGCCGATCAGCATAGCCACCGGGATGGACGAAGAAAACGTGTACGTGCTGAAGAAAATCGTCGCCATACTAACGCTCGGTATGTTCTGGAAAATATTGTTCTTTGATTTAAAAATAATTGCCGTGTTTCGGCGGTGCGGTTTTTAAACGACCGGCAGTACTGTACAGCGAATAAATCGTTTTTGGCGATATTTCGACCAAAGCGGCAAACAATACAGCGGGGAATCGTTTACCGAAAATTGCGTCGCCATAACGCGGTGCGTTGCTTTCATAATATTCCGGGTGCGTGTTCGGTTCGGTGACGCCGCGCACTCGTATACGCGCCGAAATATTATTGTTATTTCGTAACGACGTTTTTACCTACGTATTCCGTTTGTTTCAATTTATTTTTTTTCTCCGATTTCTCAGGTATCATTACTTTCATCAATTACACCAGTGTCAAATGTTTCGTCAAAATCCAAAACTTATTCACCATGTGCAAAGTGGCGGCTTGTATATGCGTCATCGGCGGCGGACTGTATCAACTCTACATAGGTAAAATGTGATAATTATTATTATCAAATAATAAATACCCGTATATTAGTCATAAAAAAAAAAAAAAATCAAGAAACACGTTATTACACTATGTTTTTAACAGGTAACACTGCGAATTTGATGACCGGTTTTAAAGGCACGACCCTATCGATCGAAACGCTGCCCATAGCTTTTTACAGCGGACTTTGGGCGTACGACGGATGGTAAGTCATCGCCGTTGTTATTGTTGTTTTTACGATTGGGTATTCGCGATTTTCGATATTGATACAAGTAATGTTTTACGCGTGTTACAGGACCGCTTCGACCGTGGTCTCGGAAGAAATCAAAAACCCTCAAAGGTACATGACTTTCTATTACCCATCGTTTCTATTGTGTAACTCGTCATTTGGTTGGCGGAACTCAAATCGGGGCTCAAATTTGCAACCTATTAATTGTTTGACGTTAATTTATCGATATGTTACAGAAATATATTGCTCAGTATTCTCTTGGCAGTGCCGTTCGTCACGCTCATTTACGTTTTGATAAACGTATCGTATCTAACGGTTTTGACGGTCGACGAAATGATGGAAGCCCCCGCCGTGGCGGTCGTAAGTACAAATTTTACTCTGTATAATGTAACGATACAATTTCGATAAAACCGTTGATGCCTATTTGTTATGTTAAAAAAAAAAAATTATTTTTTTTTGTTTTAGATATTCGGAGCTCGAGCATTAGGTCATTTTAGTTGTATCATTCCCTTTGGTGTAGCCGCAGCAACGTTCGGTTGTGCGCTCAGCGTTCAGTTCGGTATAACAAGGTCGGTTTCAATTTTCATTTGAAAATACATATATGCATACGAAAATTGATGCATTTGTTTAAGGTTTTTTTTTCTTCGATATTGTATATTTTAATCATTGCATATAGGTTATGTTTCGCTGCGAGCAGAGAAGGTCAGATGTTAGAAGTCTTCTCTTACGTGAGCGTCAAAAGGCTAACGCCTGCTCCCGCAGTCGTTTTACAGGTCAGATATCATTAGTTCGTAGAGCATAATAAAATAAATTATCATACATTTTTAATTAACTCTATTCGTTTCCATACACGCGTGAGAATTCGATAGTGAAACTAACGATAACGGGGTTTTTTTTTTGTCTTACAGGGTCTGCTCACTTTAATTTGTCTATTGTGCGGAGACATCGTAGCGTTAATAGAGTTTGCCAGTTTCTTGGTGTGGATGTTCTACGGTATCTCCATGGTGGCATTGTTAGTGATGCGTTTTACCAAGAGAGACGTTAAACGTCCGTTCAAAGTAAACACATCACATTGTATTGTCGTAGTAACGACATTAACATATTACTATCGCCTCTATGGTGGTGCCAAACGTTGTTTTCTCCCCCGTGTCCTACTATGGACGTTATAAAATATATAGGATACTATATGTATATGTATAATGAGGGGGGGGAAATAATTACTTGGATAATAATGATCCCATGATGAAAGAATTCATCTTATCGGATCGACGAATCAAAATATTGTTCTGCGGGTATGTATTTTGTTATCAATTGTCACCTCTATGGTGGCGCTAAAAGTTATTTGTCTCCGATGCCCTGCTATGGGCTTTATAGGATAAAAAAAAATATAGCATGGTGAAAGTATTCATCTTACGCGCTTATTATAATATAATTTCCAACAGCATTTTCGATATACCTACTTGATTATAAATTAGGTTATTATTTTCTTGTATGGGAACTTATACTCCGTCCCGAACACACACCGTCACACCGGCGACCAAATACTGTGATCGGTATTATATGGTTTATAAAGCTGACGTGCGGATGGCAATAATGTTTACGGTAACGAATTGAAATTCTATACGAACGCTATAGTTGTGCCTACCTACCCATTACCACCTATCTATCTGCCCCGCAGGAAGTATGTAGCTAAAAACACGTATCGTTTGAGCACGCAACGGGGTTAAGCGAAATGTTCGCCGTTATTAATGTATACATTTTTTTTTTTCCCAACCCGTTCTGCAGGTGCCCATTATCATTCCGATATTCGTGCTCGTCATGTCGACCATTCTGTTCCTGACGCCCATAATCAGTAATCCCAAACCTCAGTTCCTCATAGGCCTGGTGTTCATATTGTCAGCGTTTTTGATATACATTCCGTTTGTGTATCAGAAGACGAGGTTCCCGATAGTCGGTGCGTACAACTATTAACATTGTTATTTATTTATTTGATTGTTATTCTGTTTTTTTTTTTTTTTGTCTTCTGCAGATGATTTCACCAAATTCATCCAGATGGTGATGAAGGTCGTACCGCCCGAGAACGACGATGCCGATGAGGAGACTTGCCGGAGGTGCGTGGACGATGTCGACGACATTCCTGGAGTCATCGATGTGATGCTCACTGAAAAAGTGTAACTACCAAGTATTAATCGGATTCCAGTACGTCCAGTCCAGTACTCGAATCGTACCCCGCCCCTCCCGTCGCCACATTTGGCGCACATCAGTCTGTGATAATAGTTTAAAAAACCGTCAAAACACATAATAATGCTGTATTTAAGTATTTTATTTATTTATTATATTATGTACATTGTACCTGTGTGTACATGACTAAATTATTGTGTTTAACTTATAATGTATATAACATTTTTTTTTTTTTTATATCTAATTTATTTACTATTAATAATTAATGGTTTTATATATATAATATTTTAAATGTATTATTATTATGTAAGTTTTTAACTTTCTTTTTTCTATTCGACATTATACTTTTATTTAAATATACTACTATACATTTACCAGTATCCACAAATTAAACTTTTTAATTTTGTTATGATTATGATTTTTCTTCTTTTAAAATGTTGGAAAAATACTCATATTTTTTTTTTACATTTTTGCTATTGGATTTTTTTTTTTTTTAAATAATTTTAAAGCCAGTAAGACATATATATATTATTTTTTATATAAATTAATCATAGACTATGAGATAATAAAATTATAAGTTTACAATTTTATTTTTTACTTACTTTATTTTTAATACCTATGTATTTTATGAACTATTTTAAATATTGATATAAATACAATGATACTTATATAATTTTACAATGTTGGTATTGATATATATCAATGTACACTAACTATATCTAAGTACCTATTTTTAAATGGTAAACAACCCAATTTTTATATGACAAACACAAAAGGGTCAAATAATAATTATTTAAATGTATATGTTTTTTAAATAATCATTTTTTCCGAGTTATTACTGTAGATACCTTTATACTAACTACAACTGCATTTTAGAATTTTTTAATTGTATATTATATATCTTGTAATTGTGTGGATATATAACAGGCACGATAAGTGATTCACGCAGCCCCTTGGGGATCACTCCACCCTTTCTGGGGTTTACATATTCTATCTTAAATTAAGAAAAGATAAATATTTTAGAATATCAGTTACAAAAAACCTCGTTTGCCTTAGATCAAAAATTGAATATAGCAACAAATAATATACATAAATATAAAGTATTGCAATGCTAGATTATCGCTAAGTATTAATTGATAAACATTTCAAAGATAAGTTTCTAATCAATGACGGAATTTAAAAAAAAAATCTTTAAATTTATAATTTATACTTCTGGAGATCATTTTAGACCAACTTTTAAAGCATTGTCTTCTTATTACAACGTTGAAAAAAATTGTACTTCCAAGAGAGCGAATTACACCAAAAATAATCCGACAGTTTTTATTTGTATTTCTAAATTATTCTTATTATTACTCATCATTATTTTAAATGATCACTATTAATATCCCATATAAGGGGTTGAGCAGAGAGGTATTGTCAAATAGTCATTACTGAAACATTGATAATTAAAAATAAGTAAAACAACATTATAAGAACCGGTAGTTTATCTAAAGATAACAAATTAAAACAACTTGTAATGATATATTTTCATAGAAAAGTCTTTTATGTCCACAATAGTAATCGGAACAAAAATTACACAGTAAAAACGACAAGGGTAAGAATCGTTAAATGCATTTTACTTAAAAATTACAAATATTAGTGGTTGTTGACCTCTGATCAAATAACTTCCATCGTATGGCTATATATTTCATAAGGTACCCCCTGGATTTGTTCTTTTTTTTGGGAGGGGAGCTAAATATGTTATTTTTAAAAATGTACAGAAATCCGAAAGCACACACTTATGAAATAAACTTTATATTAGCTATAGAATATAGTACACAATATTAATAATATTATTTTTATTATTATTGACTTTAATTGACTTAAAACTAATATTTGTGATTTTAAGTAAAATGCATTTGATATTTTTACCTTGTTCAATTTTACCGTGTCATTTTTTACTTGACAGTTTTCTAAATTTGTCCATACTTTTGAAAAAGAGTATCCCAAAATAAATGTTCATAATTATAATTTTTGTTTTTTCTTTTATATGAATTGTAAAATCTCTAATTGGACATCTAAATATTACATAAAATATTTAATTGTCTAATATTGGCAGAATTGTATTATACTTAATCTCAAGCAGGTATAACATTTCTTAATTTGCGGTAACTATTGTTATATTGTTATAAACTATAATTTTGTTCATAACGTGTAAGAGATGAAACTATGCAAATTTCTGTTTACTTATCTATAATAAAAGGAATTGGTTATTGAAATCAGTTATACCAATCAATACAGAACCAAATTAGTATGGATTATCATACATAAATAATACATTTATTATAAAAATTACTACTTTAAAACATTAAACTTCGACATTCCGACATGTAGAATTAGCTTTGGAATTAACAGTTTTTAACAAGGTTCTAAGGGTTGAGCCAGGTCCACACTCAAACGTATCTGGAAAATTTGACCCTATCGGCCGTTCGTATAGTATGTGCATCGTCTGTTCCCATTTTACAGGTTTGCATATTTGTTTGGGCAACTGTCTAAAAATCAGAGAGCTGTTATGGTAACGTTTTCCATCAATATTCGAATGAACGGCTATTAAAGGTTCTTTGATGTCTGTACGGCGGAGTGCCTCTCTAAATGGTTCCACAGCAGGAAGCATAAGATCTGTATGAAATGCTCCAGAAACATTTAACCTTTTCATTTTCTGTAGGTTGAATTGATTTAAATTTAATTCCAAAAACTTTAATGCCTAAAAAAAATAAAATACTATAATACATCATAAGCACTTCATATTATAATAAAATTGTTGTAGAATTATACTACTCACTTCTAAATGTCCAGCAACTACTTTACAATTAGGATTTAAATAATTTGATATTGCACAAACAGGTTTTTCGATTCCTTTATCACGACACCATTCTCTGGCCATTTTCAAAGCATAATTCAGTTTGGAATCTGGTCTTATGTAAACATTTGCCATTCCACCAGGTTCAATTTCTGATGCATAATGCATTGCTTCAGCCCGCACTTTTACTAATTTAACGGCTAACAAATATCAAATATCTAATAATTAATGTTAGTTTATTTTATATGTTAAATAATAGATTAATAGATGAAAATTACCCTGTTCAAATGAAAAGCATCCTGCAAATGTGAGGGCCGCCAATTCTCCGATACTGTAACCAGCAACAGCCATACAATTTTCAATCGCACTAGGTTGCTCTTCTTTCAATTTTTCAACGGCTCCCATAGAACACACAAAAATTGCTGGTTGAGTGTACATAGTTTGGTCGAGTTTTGTTTTTGGCCCCTCCAAACACAGTTTTTGGAGATCATATTTTAGCACTTCACTGGCTGCTTGAAACATGTCAACGACTTGAGGGAATATCAACAAATTTTTGCCCATACCCACGAACTGGGTACCCTGGCCAGGAAATAAAAGTATTGACGTTTCTTTGGGGTCCACCTTTGGTCGGAGTGAATGTTGTGCCTGAGATTGGTTTTTGTGCGGTACATAGGAACCTGTAAAAAAAAAATATTTGTTTAAAACACATATATATAAAAAAAGGTGTCCAATAAGTGGACACCTTTGTGGTTATTCAAACCTTTCGGGTATGGTGAAGTCGTCCAATTTTCGGTGTCCCCTTCGACAGTCGACTCTTCCGGAACCGTTGCATCATCTAGCAATTTCTTTACGTCGGCAATCCGATCTTTGCCATCTGGACCGCCGCTGTCGGCTGACAAGTGTCTGCATTGCACTGCAAATTTCTTGTCAAGGATACAGGGCGATATCAACGAACTTGGCAAATTTGGGCTTGCGTTATTACGGCTGGTTATTTGCAGACAGCCGTAAAATCGTTGGCACCGGCCGCCAATGGACAAGGCATTATTGAACATCTCGACATATAATTAGGTATCCACGATAAAGTTGAAATATTACCAGAGAAAACGAAATAAGTTGAATACCAAACTATAAGTATTCGAGTATCCGGAAAAATTTCAAATTTACTTTTGATATCAACAAAATAATAATACGAGATAAGACGAATGTTATTATCACGGTCTTTATCTTAAATCGCGGTTATTATTGAAGCACATGAGGCAGACAGTGCTGACGGGAAACGAAATCCAAATACACTAAATAATAAACTTAAAAAATTCACCTAGTCGAAATTGTTTATGTATTCAATTTTTATGTATTTGCTCTTGCTCTATGCATTTGTCTGTGCTGTCATTTTTCGTTTATCAATTGCTAACCTTAATTTGGATAGATTTTCGACGTATCAATGTACCATACATTTTGAAAATTCCGAATATATATTACACATATGAATTGAAATAAACAAGTTCTTATATTAAGATTATAAAATAAAATACTTTTAAATGTTTTCCGTTTCTAAGACCATGTACGAAATAATTATTTATAACATGTTTAATACATCACAATTCACTGACTGATGTATTCTTTGTTCTATGATTACTACGAAAAAAAAATGTTGATAAGGTATTGGAAAAAAATAATATACGTCTGTTCAAGTGTGAATACATTTTGAATACACTAGTCTCCAGGGCCGTCAATTCGTTGACATTAAATTCGTATGGACATTAATTTCAAAATTTGATTGTTGGGTCTTTATTTTGTTGAGATCATGTTTCTTAACACGCCAAGAGAACTGAGTGTATCCCTGTTCGTGTTACGATTGGGGTTTATGGAAAGGAGATGTCTAATTATTTGAAGTGGTTAAAAAGTTATTTAGCATGTGACTAATTTTCAAGACAAATAACGTTGCAGCTTAGAAGGGTTTAAGCATTTTTAAAGAAAAACCATATTTTAATGTGGGTGAAAATAAAATCGTTTTTATGGCGATAAACTGTCAGATTCACACGATCAAATATTTTTTCAAATAGTAGACGTACCTACGTCAAATTTTAAATATTTCAGAAACATTTCTAAAATATTTGACAGTTTTGTCAAATATTTGATTACTAGATTGACAACAAATTGTTATCATCGTATATTATGGTTATGAAATATAATTAACCTACATATGCAAAAGTTGTCATTTGTAATCCAATTTACAATCGTAATTATTATTAATTAAATTTTATTACCTAAACAAAATTTTAGATAAAATCAAATTCATTTTAAATGACACCGAAGAGAGCATTACTCTCTTGTATATATTGTTGTAAACCAAACACTGAACAAATCGGAGTAGATACCACTAAAAAACCAGGAATTGTTTACATTTTTATGAATTTGGGTTTTTGGGAGAATAAATTGTTATATTATATAAAGTGTATCTACGATGAACACATATTCAAAATTACAAAGAAATGTATTTAATCGTAATTTTTTATGTAAACCATGTGTATGTATCTATATAATGTAGGTATATTATATTCAATATTTACCATTGAGTAATAAAAATATACTAAACAATAAGAACAACATTTTGATGAAATTTTATCTACATGGTGGTTAGTATCTATGATAATTGTACAAGTTACTTTTGCGAGGGTAAAACGACTTTTATATTAGACAAATCACTACTGAGTTTATTCAAGGATAAATTGATAAAATATTTGATCGACTGATCTATTTTTCAACCAAATTTTCAAAGTTTGCAGTTTACCAAATATTTGTTCGTGTAAACTTTACTGAATCGATTTTTTCACAAACATCATCATCATCATCATCTGAAATCAGCATTTCTGAAAAAGAAGAAATCCATATTGCATGAGAAATTGTTTCAAATTTTCATTTTACGGATTATACAGGGTGATAGATCATCTATCGTAAAGCATGCGTTATCTTGAAAGGTAATAACTTTTTTGGAATTTGTTTTACAGGACATTTAAGAAACAAGCATCTCTACAATTTGCATTTGTGTTTATTTTTTATCACTCTTGTTTTTGGGAGTAAAACCACGACTACCTACTTTTGGTAACCTGTATTAGAAATTCCATAAATAGATGGAGTATAAATTAAAATGCATTTTGCCGTTAACATTTATGATTTCCGATAGTGAGAGAGTAGTGGTGTATTATAAAACGCCTCGAAAAAATCCACCGAGAAACTAATGGGCGTCGTGAAACCTGATACGGACGAAACGGAATTGGCTTGAAACAAATATCTGACGAAAGAAGCCGTTTACACGTAGAAAGAAAACTATAACATATAATGTCATCGAAATATTTACTGCCAAATGTTTACCTCTACATATGAACATAATATTATCGTACATTATATGTTAATAGAGTATAGATTAGATTTTAATTACTATTGTAATGAATAATAATTAACATTTGATTGTTTCATACATCTCACTATAAAAAACTACAAGTACAATTTGTTTCAAGACTGTTCAAATTATCTCTAAAATTAATATGATTAATATTATTATGCTTTTAAATTACAATTTAAAAATTAAAGAAGGAATAAACAAACATTTTCTATCCCTCTTTTTCACACACTCGCACGAACAATTATAAACAAACAACTGANTAATTACAATGAAAACATAAAATACACAGTGACACAAAATTAAAAACAAATGACGGACAGCGTGACCGAAAATCGAATAATCATTATTACGTCATAACATTTAAATATTCGAAACCATCGGTTTTTTTTTTCATTTGCGAGACAATACCTAGGACAATTTTTCGTGGTGTTGTTATATTCATACAGGCAATACAATTGTATATATTATATATTACCGATGACATTTTTGACGTTGACGAGGTGTACCGATATTTGTGGATTTTTTTGTCACTATATTAAACATGAGTAAATCTGATTATTTAATTTTTATTCTGGATCGTATCGGGATATTTCATTGGTAAAGTATATAATCAAAGTGGTTTTCTAGGGGTATATTAAGTATATTTTATTTTGACCACAGTTTGCATAGTGGCGAAATATTAAAAGGAAAAAAATAGTTTGCCTGTCATTTTTCAATCAAAGCAAGATTTTTGGTAGAAAACATTGTTCGCAAAATATAAATTAATTAAACAGGAACGCCAAGTTGCCATAAATATTAATTAATTTTAATATTTTTGGTTTTTCCCAATTATTTTAAAAATTAATTTGAATATCTACTATACATAACTTACTAAAATTAATTGTCTTGAAATACTTGCAATAACTAATATAAATGTTCTAAATATAACGTTAAGATCCACGACTCTGTTCTATGAACCTACTTGCAAACGTAATTATTACCTATTCGCACCGGTTATTTTAATGTTAACTCTAGGTAATAAACCTAATAATTTTGAAGTTTTCTTTAATTTTCTTTTGGAGATGAAAAATTGTTTGAAAAATAGTTGTATTCTATAGTTTTAAGTTAAATTGTCTCGAACGTTTAGTTTATAGTTCATAGTACTAATATTGTTTTATTCTTTGTTATATGTCTCTATACTCTATAATGTTTAGTGAAATAATTATAAATATGTATTACTTCTGTACTCTATGCCCATCGAGCGTTTAGAAATAAAATTTAAAAAAAAAAAATAAAGTTATCAATATACGACTTTGATTATCAATGGTTATACCGGGTGATTTTTTTTATCGTTAAATACTTATTACTTCAAAAAGTATTGAATATTTTTGGATTTTTTTTTTTTGAAAATTTAAGAAACGAAAAAGTTTTAAAATGTTATATTATCATTTTGTTTGTCACTTTTATTTTAGTGTGTGAGACGACTACCTATTTTTGATTTTCAAATGGTAACCTATATTGAAAATACATTTTAGTGTGAACATTTTTGATTTCCATCAATCTATTGACGAAATATTTCACTTTTAAGTTTTCATCATTTGTGTGGTAACACGGTGCGCGGTGTTTTAATAATGCACCACTACTCTCTCCTGAACTCAACTTAAAAGTGGATTATCTAGTCAATGGATTTACGGAAATCAGAAATCCAAACACTAAAATTTATTTTAAGTTATGCTCCATCTGTTTATGAAACTTTTAATACAAGTTGCTATTTGAATTCAAAAGTAGTTAGTGGTTTTATACTCAAGAATAAATGTAAAATTGTAGTGTTGTTTGTTTCTTAAATTGTCTACAGAACAAATTCCGAAAAAAGTTGATACTTACCGAAGTAATGAGTGTCTTATGATATAATTTTTACCCTGTATAAGATTAATTATATATAACGATTGTATAAACAAATAGTTATAAGGAATCTTTTATCAATAACAAAGAATTTTTATTTGTTTTTATAAAAGTTATGAACTTAAAGATCACAGTAAAAATATTTTGATAAACAAAAAAAAATTCTAAATTATTTGTTCAACTTGTTTAAAAATTTATGACAACTTATCCAGGGTGCCCACGAAGATATATTCATTATAATTTCTCCGAAAATAGTAAAGATAATCAAATTCTGTTTATTTTTTTCACATTACTCATGGGGATAAGGTCTGCACAATGTGTAGTACACATGTTTATATTTTAATTAAATTATACTTTTTTTTAAATAACTTTTTAATTTATTATTGTGAAAAATTTGACGTTTCAACTTTTTATTTTCATTAAATTTGTGATTTTTAATAACTTTTTAAAATTTAGAGAAAAAAGTTTATATTTAATTAGTCATCATAACAATAATTATCATGTTATACTAATTATTTTTTTCATTGCCTATAATTGTATGCAGCAGCCGTAATCGTATTTGCTAATTTGACTATTATTATTATTATGGGCAATTAGCTATACACTTTTTTTCTTGACTTTAAACAATTACTAACAATCATACATTTAATGAAAACAAAAAATTGAAACTTCAACATTTTCAGAAGAATAAACATTATAAAATGGCAACGGTTTGCACTTAAAATAGAACAAAACCTTGTGGGATTGGCATTGTACATGATATATTAAGTCATATTAGGTAAGTAACTATTTATCATTGCCGTACATTTCCCGCTTTCGGGGTTTCCGAAATATTATAAAAGCTGCTTTAAAAGCTCAAAAATAACTTTCTTTGTCACCAACGAGATTTAATTGCGAAAATGCGATAAAAAAGTTGTCTTTCATTTTTTGATTGGAGCAAAACTTCTGGTAACAAACACGACTTGTAAAAAATAAACGGACTTACTTCGCACTATCCTAGGCGAGAATTTTGGTAGGTACAGGAAAAATTTAATGTATATATGTATGCAACAATTATTCATTATAACGATTCTGAGCGGAGTTCGGTTTTCCATGTTTAAAAGGCCATAATATAATTTACGAGGGCGGAATCGTTTTCGGCCAAAACGAAACTTTCCCTTTTTAAACAGTGCTACTTTTCGGCCATTTTATAATGATCGTTTTCGGCTAATACACTATTCTGGGCACCAACGCAAATTGTTTAACATAAAAATATAAACATTACAGCATGCATACAATTATTGTAATTACGGTTTTTTAGATTCCAAGTGTAGCGAAGAATGTATTGGTTTTACTAAGCTGTTAATTTTTTTTAAATTTTTTTTATCCTGTGTACGAAAATTCTACCAGAAATCTTACTCAGATATATACGCGCGGTACTGTCTCTGAAAGGGAACGTTGTCCAGATGGTACTTTAAGGAGGTAATTTTTTGATTTTCCAAGTGGTTTTTATAATATCTGGGAAAAATCAGGATAAAACGTAAGAAACAAAGGAGATATTTTGGATTATTTTTACTAAAAGATGTGTTACAATCAGAATCTAAAATCGAGTTATCCTTCACAATAGTAGTATAGGCTCTAAGACTGAGTGAATATTTTTGCTTAAATCGCTAAACCCTCTGCGGATATGATTATAAATTATTAAAAACAAATACCTAATTTACCTAATGGTACATCTTTAAATGCATTTTTTCTTCTTAAATATAAAAATGTATTGCTATATAAATGTATTGTATATAATCATTATAAACTGTACGGTTTGTTCTACAATAGGTATACAGCGTAAGTACTCTTATTATTGGCGGTCCTATACCGGGCGTATTCACGGGGTTTACGAGCATTTTATTTTTACATAATATTGTTCAACGATTCAATTCAAGTATAAATGATAATAATTTAATCTAATATTTTTATTCGTGCAGAAATCGTCTAGAGTACATAAATCCGTATGGACAATATATTTTATCAGACTATAATTTAAGTACAATTATCTAATTGATGAGGTCAGTACATAAGTTATATCTAATAAAATATAATCATGTGCATATAGTTACTGTAATAATAATAATTAATACCCTTTTTTTATGGTATTGTTAGATAGGTACTTATATAATATTTATATACATGTAACGGATAACGAATTGATGGAAATCCACGAGTTGGTCGAGCTGCTATAAGAATATTTAATTCGTTTAAAAATAGATTTTTTTTTTTTTATTTTTTAGTGCTAAATAACTGGTATTGATCTACTATTACTTTTTTTTTATTTTATTGAAATCATGAAAAACTGATATTTTGTGGTAATTGATAAATAATTGTGGACTCGTTATTTTTCTCTTACATCAGTAGATAGTATGTATTACGGTTTTAGAAGGATGAACCATAGAATAAGTTCATAGGTTGGTCAACTCACAACTATATAGGTAAATGGAACAACCCTTCCTCATCAGCGTTCTGGTTATTTAGCCGAAAACGTTTCAAATGAAAGGGAAAATTGAAGGAAAAATGTATAATTATATACGTTGTTAAGGTTTCCAATAATTATTTTCTCATGAAATTAAATTTGAACCGTTTAAACAACTTGTTAAATTTTATCTCATCCTTATGTTAAAATTGTTACTACTGAACTTATAATATGACGGGGAAGACTGAGAGCAAAAAATGCATTTTCGAAAACAGCCATTGATGTTTTACGTTTATGTAATCAATTAGTTTTTTTTTGTAATATTTATCATTTACTGAAAATATTACGCACCGATATCTATTACAACTCCCGAAAGAACATTTTCGTATATGAAAATACTAAAAACGTATTTAAGAAACATAATGAGTAAGATAATAAATATAAATGTGACGCCATCAGTTTTCTTAATTTTAATAATATGTATAGAAACATTTGGATGGATTAACTTAGCATTTCATAAAGAAGTAGATATTATGCTCATCGAGTGTTTGATGTATGATGGCACTAAAGTCAAGAAATATAAATGTCATTTTATACATATATAAATTGAAATGAATTCGGAAAATAATCTGTATATCCCTCCTCCAACAATCATACCTGAGAATGCCATTGGGCGGTTCAACTGGAAGTTCATACTACTACTTACATCGGTATCCATATTATTGTGATTTGTGTTTTAAATAGATTACAGTATAATAATATACTGTATATAAAACGCGATTAAAATTTCTTGTATTATTATTAGAAAAAAATATTCTATGATGAGCGAGAGTAAGTATATCGATAATTATAACTATTAACTAATATAACTATTATATAAAACGTTTGCGAGACTATTATTTATGGTTTCACAATACATTTTACTAATAATTATACATATAGGTACTTATTAATATTCTTATTTGTCGTCTGTGCCTCAATCATTGAAATATTAATTTATTAATACAGATAATTGTATTGATTTTAAATTGAACAGTTTACACGGGCGATCGCATAGATAGAGCCGGCTAGTGAATCGACGGTTATTTTTTAATTCGTATTATTCTCGTTCTAGCTCTCACACGACGATGTTTCTATTCGTTTATACAACGTCGTTTGTCCGTTTGCATCTAATACAGTGTTATAAGTATACACACTTGATTGCGTGTCTATATATAATCGGCGTTTAAAATAAATAAAACATTATATTTATGATTGTAAAATATACATACTAACCCAAATATTAATTTTTTTTCGGTTCGTCAACGGTAACTTTACAGTTTGTTTCGTACCTATTTATACATCGAGTTGGCGCAATCAGATAAATGCACCTGCTTGCGACCACGAGCACCGTAGAAGCATAGAAACAGCGAACTTAGCTGATGATAAGTTGCACGAGCCTAATACAATAGTGAGACCCACCATATCTCTTCGCCAGAAAATCATACGATTTTAAAAAATTGTAAGTGAACAAATCTACAATCAATTAATAACTTACATACGCGCAATTAAATTAATTTTACATTAAGTACATTCAATTTTTTTTTTTTTTCCACATAGTACGATTTATAATAAACTTCCTGTGCAATTTGTAAGTATTTCTATTTGGCCTAACAATTTCATCTAGGTACTATAAGTAACTACTCACAAAATTAAAATTACTTAATTAAAATAGCTCAAAATTATTTTAAATATTTTGAACGTTTTACCACGACTAAAAAGGCAAAATTATTTTTCTGTCCAAATTTCATGTTAGTACGAATATTTTTCACTGAATTATAAACAAAGTTAAAAACTTAATAACAAAGCTGTCCTAGGATAATGAGAACGGGTGCAGCCGGTAATTTAATGTATATCTGTTAGCAACGATTAACCATTGCTAACGAAAAAACAACTAAACAAAGTGGAGTTCAGTTGACAGTGTAGTTACTTTGGCAACAATATACATTTTCTTTAAAAATATTTATTTAGTATTGTACCTATTTTCCGGTTTTTTACGGTTGTCCTTTGTTTTTTCCCGGATTTCTCATTTATTGGGTAATTAGAAAGAAAATCAAAAAAATGACCACCTTTAAGAACCAATTAAATAAAATTTCCTTTCAAGAAAGATACTATACTTGAAAATTGGAGCAAGGGTTTTGGTAAAAAAGTTGCTTACAGATTAAAAAAAAAAACAATACGAAATAAACATCGTCGTAAAACCAATACATTTCTTGCTTCGTTCAAAATCTAAAATAAAAACCACGGCATGAAGGTGCATACGTATTATATCAACCTTATAAAACATTAGCGATAGAGTAGATTGGTTTAATCCCGTGTCTAATATTAATTATTAATATTGAATTTTAGTCATTATAATAATATGTGTTCACGGTCAGATTTTAAGTGATCGGCGTACATTTTGTTGAATTTTTTCATTGGGACAGATTATATTATTAAATAAAAAATGAAGCCGAAGCCGCAGACCCACGTGAAACTACAACGAGAACTGGGCCTGTTCAGTGCGTCGTGTCTTCTGGTTAACTTAATGCTGGGTGAGTGAGCATTTTTATATTATTATTATCTTCCCGTGCGATATTAAAATGTGTTCCGCGAATTTGTGATTCTGTCATAACTACAGTTGCACACTATATAAAAGAACAAACATTATCTATGGCTTCAACGCTTCATAAGAAAAATACAAAATTACATGGTAAAAGGTCAAATCGGCTGATCCTTGCGCTCATGAAACTCGTTTTTTTCAGAAGCTTCGGTCTTTAATGTCGAGAAAATTAAATTCCCACCGCACTATTCATAATGTCATATACAATAACAGGTTAGGTTAGGCAATATGATTCACAAAAAAAGAACACGTTAATGTCTTGTTATACCTTTCAAGAAACCCATTATGGAGACGAAACTTTCAAAATGATTTTCTCTCCCACACAAATTTGTTTCGTGAAAATGTTTTACTAATAGGGTTTAAAAATAAACCACTTCTTCCCCTAAAATATTATTATACGCACATGCCTGCTCAGTAAAAATAAAGTAAAACATAGTCTGTTCATACGTTTAAACGAATAGGTGCCGATAAGCTTTTTTGGGCACGGTGGTTAGTATTAGTGACCACTTCAATTTTTTGTTTTTTGCACCTAATAAGAATTTATTTTTTATTAAAACTTAATAAGTTAACAAGGGTTAATAAGTTTACCTTAAATAAGTAGAGGGACTGTTCTACGTATCTAGGCGCCAGACCATCATGGCATTATTGTATAAAATATAACTTTAAATTGTATTTTTAATTCACTTAAAAACATTGTCGTCTGATGTTTTGGGGGGAATAGACTTGGGCCTTGGTTACGGAACTGCAGTATATGCAATATGGTATGAATTATTTCGGATGATTATTTTATTTGTACTCTCCATTTTTTGATTATGTAAAACAATACTTATATTATAATATTATGTGTTTAAAATTGAAGGGTCGGGGATTTTCATATCTTCGGCAAATACATTACAGAACACGGGATCGGTGGGCATGAACCTAGTCCTCTGGACGTGCTGCGGAATGCTGTCGCTCATGGGTAGGTATAATATTATTAGTACTAAAAGTTATATACGATTTGATGATTTAACGAGACCTGATGAATTGATCGCACTTCACTTTACCAGTGTATAACGACAATTAATAATGTACATTATACACTATACATTTGTTTAAAGAACCGGAAAAAAAAAATTATATATTATAATATGGAGTTCGCGTAAATTGATTATGTTCAATATTTTCATATTATTTAATTGTACTCAATTTTAAAAAAAGACGTCCTAGAAGGATGGGGACGGGTGCAGCTACTTTTATGTTAATTTAATGTATACCTGCAAGCAACGATGAAAACTATTTCTTACGAAAAAACGATTCTGAGCGGAGTTCAGTTGATAGTTATGCTTTGTCAACAATATATATGCCATATTATAGTAAAATAAATAAATAGACTCTGTATATTTTCTTTAATAATATTTGTTTATTGTTGAACCGATTTTCTCGGTTTTCCCAGTTTTTCAAATTTGCTAAGAAAACTCTGGAAAAAATGGAAAAACGACCTCTTTAAAGTGCCTTTCCGTATCGATTTGCTTTCAGAAAAGTTGCTACACGTAAAAATTGGAGCAAATTCTCTGGTAGAAAAGTTGTCCACAGGAAAAAAAAAAAAATATCTTTGTAAAACCATAAGCTTCTTCGTTCCACTCGGAATCTAAAACTCGTTATGAATAAAATGTACAGTAAGTTAATGGGCAGGTAGTATGTAAAATTGACGTTATCAATCGATAACATAATATGATTGATGTAAATTTCGTTTTCGATTTTTGTGTTAATTCATTACATAGAATACGTTAGAGTTTAAATAATTATAATTGTATAGGAATGGGATTTTCTTTTTCGTGATGATGTAACAAGTGCGCATAATAGTTTTGTAATAAAATTGGAAACCGTGGTCATAAGTTATTCTGATTTTTTGCCGAAATTTTCGGGTTTATTATTCACTATACCAAAATAATATTTGAAAAATAACAATACAATATTATTAATTAAAGAATTTTATTACGTATACGCAGTGACGTCATAATACAATTTAATTTTTTCGGATACAAATCGTTAGATTTGTTTTTTTTTTTTTTTATAGATACCAACGAACAACATTTAAATTTCAGGGCTTATAATCGTTCGAATTCCCACGTTCGCCTCTAAATAATTATATCCAGTCCATCATTATTCTTCTTATTCGGTTTCCGAGAGTCACCGCGACTTATTTTCGTAACACATATACCCACTTTCATCTATCCCTATGTATCTTCAGCTAATGCTTATAGTCCGTCATGTACCTATTCCAATATCTAATAGATTTATCCTGCCTTTGCCTGTCCACCATTTTTTCAACCTACGCAGCGGTCTCTTGTCATTAGATTTCCATTCCGGAACCTGTTTACGGCCTATTATCATAAAAAAAAAAAATAAATAAGTATTATACAAATTATATATATTTTTTATTTTTTTGCTCGCAACGTCTGGCCGCAGGAGCCATGTCGTACGCCGAGCTGGGCACGATGGTGAACAAGTCCGGGAGCGAGTTCGGCTTCTATCTGTACGCGTTTGGCGACTTGAACAAGTTCTGGGGACCGTTGCCCAGTTTTGTGTACTCGTGGGTGACCATCGTGTACATCAACCCGGCCGCCATGGGCATCGTCGCACTGACATTCGCCGAGTACACGGTCCGGCCGTTCGGCTTGCGGACCAATGAGGAGTCTACGGCAGCTTATTCGCCCGAAGTCGAACACATGCTCAAGAAGGCCGTCGCCCTGGCTGCTATATGTAAGTGTAATGTGTATACACAGAAATCACATATATTGCTCTTAACTTTAACGCCAAGTTAACGCGGTTAGTTTACCAACAAAAACAAAATTATATTGTCAACTATTACAATATTATCTGCAGTGTTATCACTTTAAACGGTCAACTACGATCTTTTAATTTGCCTTCAGTTTTATAACATTTTAAAATTTCAATGACCATCTCGAGGGTTAGACTTCCCTATTAATTGAATGCACGGTACCTGTTTAAGGGGATGAGGTACGGCCGTTTTCACGGAAGAATATTAGATTTCAGGCCAATGAACTGGAGTCAAATTCACACATTACCGCTTGACCATAATGGGTTTACATTTTTTTTCTTAAATATAAACTCGTACTTAAAAATGCACCAAAACATTTTTTTTTTTTATGTTTTCCCTACAAAACAATAAAAAAAGTAAGTATACGAAATCAGATAATTTTTCAAAGCTGAAATTAAACTACCGGAAATCTGTTTATTCACTCCAGATTATTGGTTTACTGTATGAAAAAACAAATCTCTTTTATTAGTCTTAAACATTTCCCTCTAAATTGTTTTTGGTTGTAGATAAATAATTGCGTTTAAAACATATTAATCTCAACGTAATATATACGGTAAGTAAAATGTGGAATTGTATAGATATACAAATTGCTAAAAAATATTATTATTCAAATTATTTATACCTTTATAACTACCATAAAAAAATTTATTCGTGAATGAAATCTATTTATAAATAAAAATGTTCTCAAATCTACCGATTACGTTCAACGCGGCGAACACTTAATTATTAATTTTTCGTTTTAGGCGTCATAACGTTTATCAACTATATCAGCGTCAAGGTTTTTGTCAAAATTCAAAACGTGCTTACCATATCCAAAGTCACCGTCTGTATAGTGATCATCGTCGCCGGACTCTATCAAATCTACTTGGGTAGATATACTTATTTATGCAATATTTTTAATAATTACGCATGAATTATAAACTATTTCCGAATAATGTAACTTAACTCTTAAGATAAATTTGATTGCGTTTGGACCGTTAGCGACCGTTGAAAAGTGAATAAACTGTTTTATATTTTGTTGTGCCAGAACTAAAGTAATTCTTATTATATAACTGGTTATTGAAGTTTTAAATTTTACTTTGATGTGATTTTTAAATATTTGTTAAGACAAATAATGTCTGAACGTACAATTGTATTATTTGAAAAACCGAACATACTTCAATGTAAATAATTTGTGTGATCATTTTTACTAACCGAAAAAATATTTTTCGAAAAAAAAAACCCACACTCTTACTAATACTGCAAGTATGTAGCTTTATAGCAACACTGAAGATCTATGAATGAGTTAAGTTAGCTATAGTTAATTACAAAACAAATTGTTTGTTTAATGCATAGGAAAAATCCAAACTTTAATGACCGGTTTTGAGGGTACGAAACTATCGATAGACTCGCTGTCTATGGCTTTTTACAGCGGACTTTGGGGATTCGGCGGATGGTAAGTGTTACAATACCCCTATGCTATAATGTAGTCGTTAAAATACTATTAATCCTTTGATTTCAATATAAACCGTGCGATGTGCACGTCACTGTAGGACCGCTGTGACCGATGTCTTCGAAGAAATCAAAAATCCCGAAAGGTACCCTGGGTTTGATCGATATTACTATTTTGTATAATAAACCTTTACCTCGTTTTACAGAAACATATTGTTGAGTATTCTCCTCACGATACCGTTCGTCACGTTGATTTACGTTTTGATTAACATATCGTACTTGACGGTCTTATCGATCCCGGAAATGATTTCCGTTCCAGCCGTAGCAGTCGTAAGTATATTATTATAATAGACGTGTGACAATATAATTAACATTTTTTAAATTTTTTTTAGGAATTCGGTATCCGAGCATTGGGGATTTTCGGTTTTGTTATTCCGATCGGCGTAGTCACAGCGACATTTGGATGTGCGCTAAGTATCCAGTTTAAAACGGCCAGGTCAGTGTTCAGGTTCATTGGCGTACACAAAAATAGAGGTGGGGGTAAAGGGGTCAGATCCTTTCCCCGAAATGTCTTTTTTTACAAGTTTTGTTTATATAAAGTTTTTAAATTCAGCAGAATAGTATCCTATATTACAGAATAAAAAAATGAAATCTAATTTTATCAAAAATCATTTAATTGGTAATAATAGTGATAGACGATAGTATAGGTATAATATACTGATAATATGTGTTATCCCTTACGAGAAATTATTATAAGCACAAACCCCCATACCTCTACAAAAAAATTCTGTGTGTGCTACTGTTTAGATCAAGACGTTTTAAGATTAAACATAATCATTCTTGATAAACGTTGACCTACGTGTGTTATCGCAGGTTATGTTTTGCCGCCAGCAGGGAAGGTCAATTTTTGGAGGTTTTCTCCTACGTGAGCGTCAAAAATCTAACGCCCGCCCCGGCCGTCTTCTTACAGGTTAGATATTTATATTATTTAATAGCCATATATATATATATATATATATATGTGTTTTTTTTAAATATTTTTCGTTCCTGCCGCAGGGTTTACTGGCTTCTGTTTGCATATTGTCTGGCAATATTATATCGCTAATCGAATTTGTCGGGTTTTTGGCTTGGATGTTCTTCGGCATCTCCATGGTGGCGTTATTAAAAATGCGGTGCACACAGAAAGATATCTACCGTCCATTCAAAGTGAGTGCAACGTTTTCTATAGCCGAAAATCTCTTATAGATATTATTTTCTCACTCGTTTATACAGTTTGTAGTTTATTCATGGACTATCAAGCAGGTATAAAATTTGTTTGGATGACCGAAATATTAAGTATTATAATACTGCCCTCATATTACACTCGAATCGCGATAATTTTTTTTTTTAATTTTTACTCTGCAGAGTATTTTTATAACAATATATACTATATGTACTACGTGTCCATTTTGCCTTTCCTATACAAATATAGGTCTAAGTAGGTTTAATAGGGGATTGGCAGACAAAATCAATAGGTCTCAAGTCAATTATAATAATTCTAAATTATATAATTTATTTATTTATTTTTAATTCAACTAACCTAACTTAAGCCAAGCCAACGTCTGGAGTAATTATTTTTTACTAAATATTCAATATTGAATAAAATTAATAAAATAATTATCATGCTACGTGAGTTACAGATTTTCTACTTACAATCGCCTACTTATGGTACTTAATAGGTTATAAATGTGTTATAATCCGATTTACACCTGTCCTGTTAGTTCTTTATAATCTATATCATCATATTATGTTAACTATGTTTATAAATCTATCAATTTTAAATGTATTATTGTCTGGAAAATCTAACAGGAAGGCTAAGATTTTCCTAGTACGATATTCTCCCTCTCCAACCACGGTAACATTATTAAAACTTATTCTGATTATGATTATCCTAGACACTGTGACAACTTAGTACTGTTAGTTTTAATATTACAGTAAATTGACTTATATCAAATTTAAAAATCAAACCATTATAATAATATGTACACAATGTGTATACAACTCCGTTGGTTTTTTAAATTTAAATTTTTAATGAGATATAAGCAAGTTTAAATTGTATATGAGGGTCTGGCGTCATCTTAATAAGTCTATGATTAAATATCTGATTTATCGGATTTTTTTTGACTATTTCTATGCAATAATAATAATAATTTCTTGTTCCGTTAGGTGCCGATCGTCATTCCGGTGTTAGTATTGGTTGCGTCTATCGTTCTGTTCCTGACGCCGTTAATCCAATCGCCAAAACCGCAATTTCTCATTGCTCTGGCGTTAATACTGTCAGCGTTTGCGGTGTACGTCCCGTTCGTGTACCATAAAAAAAGGTGGTCGTTTGTGGGTAAGTAATATATTATGCATATAATATAGTGATTTATTTATTATGATAACGTCGATTTTCTCAGAGGTATTTAAGTACATTTGATTTTGGTTTTTTGGTTCAATCATTATGTAATTATTTAAGCTTTATCTACTTTTACATTTTTACACCCTTCCCAATATACTCTTAACTGCCTAGTCTGAATTTTTTAATTTCAAATAATAATCTCACATTTTCAACTAGCTATCATAAATAGATGATAATAGCGTTTCCCTACCCCTCCAGTCTAAATTTTAAACTCATACAAATTGTAAATCCAATATTATTGTATCAAAATGTTTAGAGAAATATTCTATTTTCAAATATAGGACGCATAGTATTATCTGAAACAATTTTTCTCATACAAAAATTAAAAAAATTGAAATATCGTTCTAATTTTTGCCGTTCCATATTTTAGATAATGCTCACCTCACCAAATATATGGTTTAAAAAGGAGGATTGCTATTTGAAAAATCATAAATGTGTTTGTATTTTTGTTAGATATTTTAGGTGCAAAATAAAATTTTGGGTAAAATTTTGATAGTATTCTACGATCGGTACACAATTCTAAAATGACTAAAACCGCTTCTGAATCAATTTTACTCAAAAACTGTAGATATCACTGAAGCGTGAAAAATATATCGGTTTTACTATGATTTGTTTCGTGTATGTGTGTGTAAACAAATTTTTTTCATAAAATCTGCAGGAACTGTCGCGTCTAACATTTTTGATATAGTTTATGCTCTGAGACGGTCATTTTTACAACTTATCAGCAATATAAGAGTTTTTTGTTTTGTTATTTAACGATTTTTTTTTCTCTGTATAATTTGCAGATAATTTTACCAGAGCCATCGAGAAATTAATGGGCGTCGTGAAACCGGATACGGACGAAACGGAATTAGCTTGAAACAAATATCTGACGAAAGAAGCCGTTTATACGTAGAAAGAAAACTATAACATATAATGTCGTAGAAATATTTACTGCCAAATGTTTACCTCTACATATGAACATAATATTATCGTACATTATATGTTAATAGAGTATAGATTAGATTTTAATTACTATTGTAATAAATAATAATTATTATTCGATTGTTTCATACATCTCATTATAAAAAACTACAAGTACAATTTGTTTCAAGACTGTTCAAAATATCTCTAAAATTAATATTATTATTCTTAATATTATTATTGTTATGCTTTTAAATTACAATTTAAAAATTAAAGAAGTAATAAATAAACCTTTTCTATCTCTCTTTTTCACACACTCGCACGAACAATTATAAACAAACAACTGATCGCAACTATATCAATATTTAATAAAATAATATATTTTGAAAATGAAAATATTAAATACACAGTCGCACAAAAATAAAAACAAATGACGGACAGCGTGACCGAAAATCGAATAATCATTATTACGTCATAACATTTAAATATTCGAAACCATCGGTTTTTTTTTTCATTTTCGAGACAATACCTAGGACAATTTTTCGTGGTGATGTTCTATTCATACAGGCAATACAATTGTATATATTATATATTACCGATGACATTTTTGACGTTGACGAGGTGTACCGATATTTGTGGATATTTTTATCACTATATTAAACATGAGTAAATCTGACTATTTAATTTTTATTCGGGATCGTATCGGGATATTTCATTGGTAAAGTATATAATCAAAGTGGTTTTCTAGGGGTATATTAAGTATATTTTATTTTGACCACAGTTTGCATAGTGGCGAAATATTAAAAGGAAAAAAATCGTTTGCCTGTCATTTTTCAATCAAAGCAAGATTTTTGGTAGAAAACATTGTTCGCAAAATATAAATTAATTAAACAGGAACGCCAAGTTGCCATAAATATTAATTAATTTTAATATTTTTGGTTTTTCCCAATTATTTTAAAAATTAATTTGAATATCTACTATACATAACTTACTAAAATTAATTGTCTTGAAATACTTGCAATAACTAATATAAATGTTCTAAATATAACGTTAAGATCCACGACTCTGTTCTATGAACCTACTTGCAAACGTAATTATTACCTATTCGCACCGGTTATTTTAATGTTAACTCTAGGTAATAAACCTAATAATTTTGAAGTTTTCTTTAATTTTCTTTTGGAGATGAAAAATTGTTTGAAAAATAGTTGTATTCTATAGTTTTAAGTTAAATTGTCTCGAACGTTTAGTTTATAGTTCATAGTACTAATATTGTTTTATTCTTTGTTANTATCAATGGTTATACCGGGTGATTTTTTTTATCGTTAAATACTTATTACTTCAAAAAGTATTGAATATTTTTGGATTTTTTTTTTTTGAAAATTTAAGAAACGAAAAAGTTTTAAAATGTTATATTATCATTTTGTTTGTCACTTTTATTTTAGTGTGTGAGACGACTACCTATTTTTGATTTTCAAATGGTAACCTATATTGAAAATACATTTTAGTGTGAACATTTTTGATTTCCATCAATCTATTGACGAAATATTTCACTTTTAAGTTTTCATCATTTGTGTGGTAACACGGTGCGCGGTGTTTTAATAATGCACCACTACTCTCTCCTGAACTCAACTTAAAAGTGGATTATCTAGTCAATGGATTTACGGAAATCAGAAATCCAAACACTAAAATTTATTTTAAGTTATGCTCCATCTGTTTATGAAACTTTTAATACAAGTTGCTATTTGAATTCAAAAGTAGTTAGTGGTTTTATACTCAAGAATAAATGTAAAATTGTAGTGTTGTTTGTTTCTTAAATTGTCTACAGAACAAATTCCGAAAAAAGTTGATACTTACCGAAGTAATGAGTGTCTTATGATATAATTTTTACCCTGTATAAGATTAATTATATATAACGATTGTATAAACAAATAGTTATAAGGAATCTTTTATCAATAACAAAGAATTTTTATTTGTTTTTATAAAAGTTATGAACTTAAAGATCACAGTAAAAATATTTTGATAAACAAAAAAAAATTCTAAATTATTTGTTCAACTTGTTTAAAAATTTATGACAACTTATCCAGGGTGCCCACGAAGATATTTTCATTATAATTTCTCCGAAAATAATATTACCAAAATTAATTTTAACTTATACTCCATCAATTAGAGCAATATTTTGAATTTAAAACTTAAATCGAAAAAATTTAAAACAATGAAATTTGTAACGCCGTGCCACGCTGTATTAAATATTTGCAATTCGCCTAAAATTTTCTTTCGGGATTTTCTCAATTATTTTTAAAACCTCCATTTAAATAAAAAAAATCATTTCCTTATATTACCAATCCAGTCAAATTTATTTTCAGAAATGATGCTACACTTGATAATCGAATCGACATTTCTAGTAGAAAAGTTGTTCGCAGTAAAATAAAAAAAAGAAAATAAAGAACATTGTAAAACCAATACATTCCTGGCTCAGTTGAGAATCTTAAATTAAAAGTTATTACATTGTTCAGAAAGATATTGACATTAAAAACCTAACTCTGTGTTTTGTTGCCAGAGTTTTGGTTAATATATACATTATTATTTAAATATTAATATCAATATTATTAAATATTTATAATGCATACAGCAATAGGTAATTATAACTATTAATTATTATTGCTCAACGGTGCTATACACTGACATACCTATATAATGATTAGTGATAATTAGTGATGTATGTACAACGTAAATTGTAAATACCAACCTATCAAGCATTTTACTATCATTCTCACTTATACTACATTATGTTATTAAATATGATTAGATTTAATCAATCGTCCGATTTTTAACATTTAAATTTAATATGACGTAATAGTTAATAGGGTAAATAATTAAAAATATAATATTGGCTGATCGGACCACAACGCACACATTCTCCCGCTATCTCCCTATAAATACATCTCGGATTGTCTCCGCACACAAGTTTTTTTTCTCGTTACCACAGTACGTTACCTACTTCGCGTGTGTCCAACTCCGCATCAAGAAACTCAATATAATTGCAATCTAGCTTACTTTTTTCATCGAAAATCATTAATACATTTGTGTATGTTTACGTTAACACCGCTATTCAGGAAGTTCCGCGCAGGTCAGGTAAGAATCTTAATGCCCTTATTACATTTTGTACTTAGGTATTAACTTACTTAATGTTTTTCCTACTCTTATAGAATGAAAAAAAAAATATAATTTGAATGTTCAGCGGGGTTAAGAATTCAATCGTCTCATACTCTCTTCTCCTCCCTTTTATTTTATTTATTACACCTACCAATATTATATAATCTAACCTATATATATATGTATAATTGAATGTCGTGACAGCATTTGTCCATTGTGAAAATAAACCAAAAGAAATTTCATTCAATTTTTATATTACCCTTCATCGATATCTCGAACCGAATTACTGGAAATTTAGTTCGTTCAGTTTATTGGCAATTATCAGTTTGATTTCGATTCGGTTTGGTTTAGAACTCGAACAGTTCGCAGTATCACTAATAAAAATATCGAGAAAAATTAACATCTTACGAATCGTTCTGTATAATGTCGTATAGATGTGGTATGTGTATATGCTGTATACTGCTACAGTGATGCAAATAACATTTCCACTTTTTAAAAGTGTATATGTTTGTACAATGAATAGTACATAAATTACCTAAATATATATATATATATTCGTCTATAATGCGACTGATTATTGCAACAGTGCGCACTATTAGTTCAAAACCATATTATATGGTCAATAGCGATCGTTTCAGTTGCAGGTGTACCTAAGTAATATCTTCAATAACCTTTTATTTTAACACAACTATCAATGACTTTTAATCTACCGAATTTAATAATTTATATATATATATTTTTTTTATTTAATTTAGGTAACTACCTTATTTTTGTCACCTAGAAAACCTCATCGAATCAAAATCAGTGCGGATCGCACGGTGACGTATAGCAAGGTCATTCTCGAGATATCTCTGCCAAAATAGGGTAATTAAACTTTTGTCTATAAACATCAATAATTATATAAGTACACTTATAACTATATCTTAATTTTTATTTGAAGCTATTTGGTTAGTTCAAACATATTTGTTATCAAAAACAATTAAATAAAGGCTAGTTATAAATTTAATTTTTCAAAATATACAATTTAAAGAAAAGCAAATAAATTAACAAACATTTTATATCCACATATTAAAGTGCTATTTTAGTATAATATAAAATGTAGAGGGTTAAAATATGCATTTTTAGATAATTATTAATATTGAGTCCAACTAAAAGACTCATTCGAGGTCCATATTAGAAATAGTTGAGACACGTTCAATAGGCTTATTGTTAATATAATTATAATTGATGGCGCTAATAAGAGTCCAAAAATAGATTTTGGAACAGGTGAAAAATAGGGAATTAATCAGTAAAACCAACGTTGGAGAATGTGTTTAGCCAGACAATAAATTATTTAAACATTTTATGATTAAATCTAAGCCTCTAAATAGTCTTAACTATTAGAACATAGTCATGTTATGAATAAAAAATTAAACATTTTTTTTTTAAATTTACATTGGAAACGTTCTAATTGGATACGATAATTTATTGTATATATGGATCTTAAAAGACTGAGTTTTTTGGATAGCCTATTTACCAAACAAAAACATTCAACACTACAACATATGGATTGCTGATTAGATACGTGAACTAGGGTCAAGAATTATAACGAGAGGGACAAAGATCATTTAAAAAAGTCATTAACATTAGAAAGCTGAGAGCCAGACATACTGAACGATTAAAAACTAGGGGTGAAAGACTTTGTGTGTGTTACGACCTTGTACTTAACAAAATTTAACGAAGTCTCAACTACTTTAGACTATTGAATAAATATATTCAATCAATTCTAAAGTTTTACAAGTGAATACATTTTAAAAAATTGTTTTATATCGTTGGTAAAACATAACAACTTGTAATATTTAAAAACTCGAAAAAGGTATATTAATTACAATTAAAGAAATTAATATTGGAGGATATGTAATTACCCTGAGGTACACGTGATAGGACTATCTAGGGAGGTTAGCCTCTCTGAAACTTCTCCAAATCAGGTAAATACTAAGTACCTATATTATAATCAATAATATTAATCACTATTATATGACGGCTTAAGCCCCCTTTCAAATATTTGTGCTATTTATACTCATATGTTTTAGAAACAAAAGTTGAATATATCTTTGCAGTATGCATATATTAATATTATACTAAAGTTTCAAACAAATTATGCGTTAAAATATTTTAGATTTGATACACTGCGAGTAACGCGTCGTACATTATAAAATTCAAACAGTGATGAATATACACTGTACTGAAAAAAACTGAGAAAAAAAATATTCCTAAAACGTTTGCAGTAGTGTGAAAATCGATTACATACGCAACATATAATATAACGTCAAGATTGTCGAGTCGATTTTTTTCTCTCACTGACCCTGCACTAGTGTAAGTGCGTATAATAATTTAATAATTGCGTATATTGTGCATAGTAAACGTACAGGTATACCAGTCACTGGTCACCGCCACTTGAATATTATAAAAATAATGTTATTCTATTATTTGTATAAGAGTATACCTACTTCTTACAGATAAAATAAGAAGAAAAATGACACTGCCGCCGGCACCAAAGACCGCCAAACTGAACCGCGAACTGGGTCTGTTCAGCGCGTCGTGTCTAATTGTGAGTCTCATGATAGGTGAGTCATAGCAAGTGTGAAATTATTATCCAAATGAAAAATCGAATAAAATTAATAAATATATACGGTGGATGTATTGTGTTCTTCTCCTAAAATCTATTTTATTTCAAATTAATGTAAACTAAGAATGTTCAAATAATCTCTTTTTGATACGCCCTGTATCATGACGTACCGAAGATGTTTCAATGAGTGAAAAATTGGGTTGGCTAAATTTAGTACATTCAAATTATGTATAATAATGTAAAAAAAAATGTTATTTCTGTAAATCATTCTTGGGATTATTTTGCAAAATACCTAATAATTAATAGTGCAATATTATTTACAAAGACTGCAGTTTAACTAAACTGTAGTTAAGGGGATTGGTAACATGAAGTTTTTCAAATGGTTTCCAATTTCGTTAAATTTGTATTTTTGTTTTTAAATTTGAAAAAAAAAATCTTCATTATTAGACTTTCTCACCAATTTTCTATCTGACACAAATTTAACGGTAATTTTTAAATCCGAATATGACATTTTAGACCGAGGAGCCAGATAAAACAGTATGAATTGAGACTGACGGATTTCAATTATTTTTAAAATTACCTACGTTGAAATTATTCTTTAAATGTTAATTCTCTTTATAAATAAAAGGTAAAATATTTAAATGTATACCTATTCGAACATAATTCAAAAATGCAATCAAATTTATTTCATGATTTTCAGTAAAATAATTAAATTTATTTTTCCAACATATTCTATTTACAGAATGGTAATCAAAAATGTTTACAATTTCTATAGTTTTGGCAGGCTTTTAAGTTTAATTTGACTAAAATATGTATCGTCACCATTCTCCTTAAGACAAGAGTGCAAATAAGCATTGGTAATATTATTTTGTCAGTAATACCATTATGTCATGAATATTATGTAAGTTCGCAGTGCGAAATATTATTAAATACTATTTTCTTTGTATTTTAATACGACCAATGTAGAGGGGAGAAGGGCTGAACTCTCTTAGTTCCCCTTTTTGGGGAACTCCACTACCCTTTATGTGTTAAACATATTGTTTTAAATTGTCGTAATTTGTTTTTGGTTCTGCACTACAGGATCGGGAATTTTCGTGTCTGCAGCTAATGCGCTAAAGAACACCGGATCGGTGGGCATGTGTCTAGTCATTTGGACGTTGTGTGGGGTGCTGTCGCTTTTAGGTAATGATATTTATACTAAACTTTAAAAATTTGTATTTATGTTTACTACGCGTACTAAAAGGTCTCCGCCAGGAATGGATTAAGCCACCTGTAGACCCTAAGTACAAATTGAAAAAATTTCCTTTAATACCATGGGTACTTTTGACAACAATTTGTTATTGAGTTTATGTTAAACTTTTACTGATGTAATGTACATATAATATGTAGTACCAATAACTGTTTATTCGTAAATAATAATTTCTTATGTATTGATAATCGCCACGTAATAAAACATTTGTCTACAATTTATTACAATAATAATAAATTGTTTATCGTATTGTGCACCATTCATCCTAAACGATTATATTATAAAGATCGAGGCTAAGCAAAAATTCAATAATACATTTTACATAAATAGACAAATTGTACATGTTTTAAATTTTTCTTGGTTTTAGCTCTCTTTCCATAGATCGTTTGTTTTTCGTAGGCTCTAAACACAGTGCCTATAGTGGCTAACGGTTAATATTAAAGATATAACCACGGATTAAGAAGTTATGGAAAGGATACGCATTATATCAATACTCGGTTAGGAAATGTGTAGTGTAGGTATTTAATTTCGCGATGTTAACTCATTCTATCTGAGAATGTTTAACTCTATTTAACTATCCAGTAGGGAGAAGCTGTCCAGCCATTAAAATTGTCGAACTTCTCTCCACTATCCGACAATCATGACGTGTTTATTTCATTTCTTCTTAAACCGTGCCTAAAACCTAATAGGTTAATATCAATCCCGCCCACGTCAAAAATAAAAATAAAATATTCTTCAAATTCTCGATTCGCATAAAGAATTATTTAGATTCTGAGTGAACGAGGATTATCGTAGATCTCTTATGATCGATACGAAATATTTTTCGCAGAGATTCCTAAAACCAAGTATGAAGTATAACGGCTCGTTTGGATTTGCTTTTTGCTTATACTCGCGTCTGTTCTTTTTCACAGGTGCCTTATCGTTCGCCGAGCTAAGCACGGTCGTGCCCAAGTCTGGTGGTATGTTCAGCTTTTACCAGTGTGCGTTCTCAGACCTTCATCGTTTCTGGGGACCGTTGCCAAGTTTCGTGTACTCGTGGGTGAGAATCATGTACTTACGCCCGGCCGAGGTGGCCATCACCTGTTTGACGTGTGCCGAATACTCGGTCCGGCCATTCGGCCAGTGGCTGTCAGGGGATCTGGACACTGAATTTGCGTTGAAAAGGGCCGTCAGCATAGCGGCACTTTGTACGTGGCTTTTTTTCCTTTATAGAGTTCACCTAAAATGTTTCGAAACAATATTTATTTTATCAGTCTGTCTCACGCGTAACAAAAGTATTCCAAAATTTCACGATCGCGGCTCTCTGGTTCTGTTTTTATCTAGATACACGCGTTTTAATTTTCTCTTTATTTTAAGCGTTAATCATTTATTAAGAAAAGTAAATATTAAAAAGGGCTGATATATTTACTAGTATGGTAGGCAGGACATAGGGGAAGTAGGATGCATATTATGTCGGGTTTCATAAACGACTAATGAGTTGTTATCAAACTGATTTTATCATAATTGACTGAATAAAATGATTGGCTGTTGCAGAAACGACTTTTGTCTATTTATCAATTTAACAAAAAAAACTTTTCTTATCGAACTGATAATTTAAGGACCCAATTTTGGTTTGATAAATATTAAAACACAAAATAATTTTCAGTTTTTCACAATATTTTCTTGTCATAATAAATTTTTTTATACGTAATGCGTTAATTTCCTAATTCATTTAATATTTCTAACTAGTTTTAAAACACGGAAATAAACAAATCGGGTTATCGGGTTTATCGTCGTGTATCATTGATGATAAATACTGAATTATCATTGTACATTGTGATAGTATGCCATAGAACCACATCACGTTAAAATTGTTTAGAAAGGTTTATGCAACAAATAATAATGCATGTCTTTTGGGCACAATAAAGTTATTTATCAAATGGTTTATTGATATGTTATCGTCAGTCAAGGACTGACATGTGTTTTCATGATATGAGGTCCTTTAACTAGACTTTTTATCCAACTTTTCGATCGTTTCTATCCACTCTGACTGTATTATAATAAAACTAATACTATAGGTGTCGTCACGTTGGTCAACTACTCCAGCGTCAAATGTTTCGTCAACGTCCAGAACGTGTTCACCACGTGTAAAGTTCTCGTCTGCACTCTGATCATCATCGGTGGATTGCGTCAACTATGCTTGGGTAATCATAATTCGTGGATATAATTTTTGTAATAGCTACATTTCAAATGATTTCCAATCCAGTTTTTCCTAAAAACCGGAATAATATTTTTTTTTCTTTTGTTAAGGAGTGATAATAAAAAATAAAAAATAGTAGCTAATTTAATTTATATGTGTGCTCAACGATAAACTATTACTTATAAAAACGATTCTGAACAGAGTATCATTAGTCGTATTTTTATCTTATTAACTATTGTCAAGATAACTCGGAAATCAACAAAGATTATACAAACAATTGCCAGTTTTCCCATTTATTAAGAAAACTCCAAGGAAAACCATGAAATCATTTTCTCAATGCACCAATTAGATAAAAAAAATGCTACAAGACAGTCTCCACACAGTTTTTGATAGGAGCAAGCTTTCTAGTAGAAAAGTTGTTTACAGATACAAAAAAAGAAAAACAACATAATACAATCAATAAAATCCTCGCTTGTTCAGAATATAAAATTTGAATATTAATAACAATTTGATATATAGGGAAAACACGGTGGTAAACCCTGATTTACTTTGCTTAAAAATAATATGTACATAATGTATTTTTCATATCTTCCTAGTATGACAATGAATTTTATGTTCCGTAGGAAACACGGTGAATCTAATGACCGGTTTCGACGGTACGACGTTGACGTTGAAAACCTTTCCTATAGCATTTTACAGCGGACTCTGGGCATATGAGGGATGGTAATGATAATTTTATTATAATCTAAATAATTTCCATGTGATTATCTAATGGTCGATTTTGTTTTTTGTTTAATTGCTTAATTTCCTATTTTGTTAATGAAACTCGTGAGTTAGTTACAGCAATATTTTTATGTGAAAATAAAACTTCTATTACTGCAGTATTTTAAATAACAAAAATGAAGTTGAATTATAAAAGGATACCTATATAGTGTAAAGGATCCATAAATTATGAATAGGTATATATAGTATATACAGTAATATACACGAGAATACTTAGAAAATATTTAATCACCATCTTTCAATTTGCTTGTAGATAGATACCTAATTACCTGGGTAAAAAGTTAATAAAGTTAATTAAAGTTTAAGAAGTTAACCTTGATACTTGCATTTATCTCATTAGTGTTGGTTTTAAATTATTAGTTCTATTTTCTTTTCCTTTGCCTTCATCCCAACTATTATGGGCTAAACTCTCGTCCTAAACTTTCACTTGACCCGATATCCTGATTTCGTATACACCGGCCATATTAAAATATCATTCTCAGTCACATCTAACTACTTGTTCTTTGGTCTTCCATTTCCCTTTTTTTCCATCTATATTTTCATTACCATTCTTCCGATTCTGTTCTCCTTATAACATGCCCAAACCGTTTCAGTTAATTTTCCCTAATTTTGTATACTATCGAAAACTGCTCTTATGTACTAATTTCTTATCATCCTATTTTCTGTCACCATTACACCTATTCACCTAAAGATTCTCATCTCTGCTATATTTATTCCTGTTCTATTTATCTACCTACACTCCGAACTATCCAATTTTAGGACTCCTCATAATGTTTGACAACATTTTACACTACCTGACGACCTGATAAAACCCCATTTGTCGTCTTTTACGACTATAACCGTAGGAATATCCTGATCCCCGTCTATAGTACTATATTACTTTTTATATCGTACATTCGTATCCCGAAAATATTTTATTCCACGATTATGGATATTGATACTGAAAAATTCGTGTTTCTTACAGGATGGCATCAGCAGTGGTCGTCGAAGAGATCAAAAATCCACATAGGTAGGTTAGGTTATCATATATTTATACAGCTACATCGTCATATATGCGTTTATGTTACAGAAATGTTTTGTTAAGTATCGCCATCGCAGTACCTTTCGTCACCGCAACTTATGTTCTGATGAACGTATCGTACATGACGGTTCTGTCAGTCTCGGAAATGATATCCACCCCCGCCTTGGTGGTCGTAAGTCAAAAAACACGTTATGCATAGCTTAATGTTTGATGCCGTTACTTGTTACTTATATCCAGTGGTGTATTGGTAAATTAATTTTTAGGCATATCCTACGTATGCAAATTTTAAAACGTAGACATTTTTACACAGCATTTCAAAACATGTACTTTTATCATCGTTTTTATACTTTAACCACATTCTGTTAGTTGTCTCTAAATACCATATCAATTATTCTTCAAATATTCACCAAATAAATACAAATTCTATAAATTTATATTTATTCAATGACATTATAAAACTTAAAATAAGTATTAATAATTTTGTTATACAATTTTTCACAAATTCCTAGTCCAAATGACCAAACATCATTTGGCAACTACAATAAAAAGAGACGATATATTTCGGACGATAGGTTGCCACTGTTGTAGGTGAGAAGTAGAAAAGGTAGGATATAGGGGGGGATTTTAGGTATATCTGAACGCAATGATTAGCCATTGTTAAGGGAAAACTATTCTGAACAGAGTTTGGTTATACATGATTTAAAAGGCCACAATATTTACGGTTTTTGTTAAAATTTGATATTAAAATTCTTATAGAAAAAAAAAAATACCACATTAAACTCAACTATTTCTTGTAACCATTAGTATAACTTACAATGAACCTCTTTAACAAGAGGTTAACTCTAACGAGTTATATGTATTTCTGTTAATTTATATTAATTTTATCCACGGAGTACCTACCAAATAAAAATTACGTAAACAATTTGCAAAATTAAAATATCTATAAATAGCTCAAAGTGGCTCAAATATTTGAAACCTTTACCACCTTTAAAGCTTTTTACTAAAAAAACAAATATGAGTTCTGATCAAATTTCAAGTCTCTATGAACATTATGAACTGAATTACAACAAAAAATAAAATTTAAAATAATAAAAGCATTATTTTCGTAAATTTTCCCGTTTTTCCTATGTTATTTCCCGGTTTTCACAGCTATTTTGAAAAATTCTTAGAAAATAAAAAAATGACCTCCCTAAAGCATCACCGAGATAAAATTTCCTACAAAATCCTAATGTATGAAAATACGTTTTTGTATATAATATATCGTATTATTAGGCCACGAAACACATTTTATTTAAACTAGCTATTTTTTTAACCACCCAATCAAAATATTCAGAAGCATATAAACATCTGTCTGACTTTTATCTCAATATTATATACGAACATTATTTTTAGGAATTCGGAAATCGTGCACTCGGCAATTTCGCCTGGTTTGGCTGGGTCGTATCTTTCGGCGTGGCCATCACTACGTTTGGTTGTTCGCTCAGCATTCAATTCGAAGCAACGAGGTAAGTCGTGTAGCCTAACAGTGTTTTATAGTTTATACTTAACCGATGGATTTTTAATTTGAATTATATTATACAGACTATGTTTCGCCTCCAGTAGAGAAGGTCAGTTTCCGGCGATATTCTCCTACGTGAGCGTCAAAAGGCTGACGCCCGCGCCGGCCGTCTTTTTACAGGTCTGTATATTACCTTTTAAACTTTTAAACCGACTGGATACAAGAAAACATAGATGCAGTTGGTTAATACAAAATTTGTATTGACTATTATTATTATTAACTACATTAATATTGACGTAAACGGGCGTATTTTAACAAAAAATATCGCCAGAAGTGTAGAAATGTTTTTCTGGGCAGATTCCATATAATATGTTTGGATGAGAAAAACACTACATAAACTATAGTAATTTTTATTTTAAAATGTTGATAATTTTCGAAGAAAAATGGGCAAGTCAGGGTATACCTAATCCAAAAAAACACTGACAGATATATTTCAGTAGGCATTGTAATCAATATACGAATGAAACTACAACTGGAAACTCGACATGCTAAAACGTTATAATAGAAAAATGCTAGTGGTGCGAATTACTAAAATTTATTTTTTTTCGACAGGGTCTGCTCGCCGGCATTTGTATACTGTGCGGAGACGCAATCTCATTGATCGAGTTCGCTAGCTTCTTGTGTTGGATGTTCTACGGGTTCGCCATGCTGGCGCTGCTAGTGTTGCGTCGCACCAAGCCGAACGCCGAACGTCCGTTCAAAGTGAGTAAATTATATCGTTGCATATATTATTATTATCGACATTTTCACGCTTCAATAACGAATCGTGAATGATAAATGAAAATCCAAACAACAGCCGATAATCGGTTTACGGTTAAAATAATTTGTCCTGCAAGTTGCGTTCAACCTATTATTGTAAATCTATAGTTCAATGATCCATATTTTGAAATATGTCAATGTGTGTTTTTATTTTCATTATTTTATTTCCTAATTATTTAACCACTATAACAGAAATTATAAAAAAAAAAAAAAAAAAAGAAAACAATCAAAGTAACTAAAACAAAAGTTTAGTTAAACCCAAAAACCGAATAATGCGTTAATAATGCTGTTTTTATCAATAAATCTTAATTTAATGAACCAATTCATCTTGATTTGCCTAACACTTTGAATGATGTCGATACTTTTATCTGTTTTTCCAATATCATGTATTTTTAGAAAAAAATTAAAATTCATCATATATTTATTGGTAAAAATAAATATTTTATTGTAGTTATAGAGCTCAAAAACAATTCATTTTTAGCATTTTCAAATTTAACATGGTATGTATTTAATTCAATTTTTTGAGATTACCGGGTATTAGTTATTTATCCCGTGCTCACAATCTATCAAAACATTAAACCTGGTACCCGGTAAAAATGGAATAGAATTGATCGTTTAAGAGTTGAACTAGTTTCCCGAAGTTCGTTCATTCTGGGACTATAATTGTTATAATAATTTTAAATACCAAATTAGTCGATTAGTTTTCGAGTTATCAAATACGGAATTTCGTGATTTCGACTACTGTTGAATATTCATTATACTCGTAGATTACTAAAATGGCCAAGGTGATGGGAATTTGGGTTGGCATAATATTATATGGAAACTGATCTCGTTTCGTCCACAGATACCGATCATCGTGCCGATTTTCGTGCTCGTCGCGTCCGTCTTTCTGTTCCTGACACCCATCTTCACCGATCCCAGACCGCGGTTTCTGGTCGGCTTGGCGCTGGTCCTGTCGGCCGTCTTGATTTACATACCGTTTGTATACTTCAATTACAAGCTGTCGGTGATGGGTAAGTGTACCGTATTCGTGACTTTTCGTTATTATTGTTAATTTTTTTTTTTCGGGTCCGCAGATGATTTCACTGCCTTTGTCGAGAAGCTGTTGGGTGTGGCGCCACCAGAAAGCGATGAACCATCGACCGATATGGCGGTGACGGCGGTGGGTGACAATGGCCAGCAACAGAGTCGGTTTTAGTAGCGGTTATCACGAAAATATGAACGGCAGTGTGCAGTTGGACTCCCGGAAAATGTCACGGTGTGGCGGTGCCATAATTATAGAAAATATGACTCTAAAGAAAAGAAAATTCTGTGGAGTACAACAGCATGGAACATTTTCACAAATTTTCGAATGAGTTGTAATTGATGTTACGTCATAACTGCGATACCGAATGACGATTTGTGATTCAACCGGGAACACAAAATTTGTAATTTTACCCATGTAAAAAGTTTTATATTAAAAATAAGTATTTATTTGCTTACTGGTAAAATTTGTAATTTTACTAATGTAAAAAGTTTTGTATTAAAAAAAAAAGTGTTTATTTGCTTACTCGCAATTAAAATTATTTTTTATTTTGTGTCATGATTTTAATATTATTATAGTGAAGTATCTGCAGTTCCCACGCATGCTCAAAAATTATTAATAAATGCCATTGGACGGCTGCCGTCGTCTTGATTCGGCACTTTGTATGTATTTCTCTTACGAAGACGTCGTGTACTCTCTTAAGTCATACAACTGCGTAAAATAGCAAATTTTCATTCAGTAGGAATTACTCGGTGCTATTAATTATAATATTAGATTGAATTGGTCTATTATCAAACTTGAAGATAAGAATATTATCTGTGTCATGTCGTCATTTGTTTATTTATTTTTTTGTCATTTTAATTTTCAAGCGAAACACCCGTGTGTGAAATATCTCGATTTATAAATACTTATATATCGCTTAAAAATTAAAATAACCAAATGAAGACACGGCACTGATTCTTTTATCGTTAATTTTCAGTATAAAGGTAAATTCACTCTAATGTTAAAACTAATAGCACAGAGTTGTCTCTGCCGAATGCATATTTGTTATGTCGTGCGGTTGTATGACGGAGGCAGAATTGTATGCGAATATGATGTTCTCTTGACCGTGATTATCTATACGGTAATAACGGTAGACAATCGCTGATATCGGGGTACATAACATTTCAAAATTGTCTAATTTCGTACCCAAAGCATGTTATTATATCCGGTTATAGAAAAGTCTAAAGTTTTCAGACGAAATCTATTAATACTCAATTTTACTCTATACGTTTTATAATATTACTTATAGGTATTATTGTTATTATTATTTATAGTTCTATCGTCGCCTATAGCCTGTCACTATACATTTTCACTGTTATAATGTTTTATGAGAACAATATCTGATATTATGTGTATAACACTAAAAATTTGTTCTTAATGTTATTTTATTGTACGATATCATCGGCATTATAAATTTACGTGCCGATCGAATCACGTGATGGAAACTTTACGCTCATACTCTGTCAGGCGCATTACATTACATTTATTATTATTATTATTATTATTATTTTTGTTTTGTTTTTTTTTTCATTCATGACACACGCAATAAACGCGAATTTTGCGTTCACTAACTTTTCAGTCTTGAATATACTTCTTTAGTAAATATGGTATTATCGACACGTGCTTGACGACAGACTTACCGTGGTCGGGTGATTATATTGACGTTATCATAGACTACTATAATTGTTTTACTATTCAAATGAGTATTTTAAATTTCAAACGCACGCACAGTGCACGCAACTATAACAATTGAATAAGATTTCGTTTTTAGATGTTTACGATAGATTTATTACTATTCGTTATATTTACGATAAGTTCGATCTGTCCTATAATATAATCGACGAGTAAATGATTTAGAAACGAATATACCCGGTGTCGGGTATTAACTGGTTTATATTTTACGTTTTCGCGAATTTGCGGGTACCGTTTTGAACCTTTGCGAGTCATCGACAGACACGAACATTAAAATTTTATATACTTTTAGTAATACTTAGTCATAAACATTTTTCGTAAAATTTAAAAAAAAATGACTGCCATTACGAATTCCGTAAGACTACACCAAGAGCTGGGCCTGTGGAGCGCGGTGTGTCTCATTATCAACGTGATGATCGGTGAGCCTGGCGTAATGTTGACCGCATTCTTGATGTGATCCCGTTTGGATTTTTCCAGGATCTGGAATTTTTATATCGGCCGGAAACGTTTTGAAAAACACCGGATCGGTGGCCATGTGTCTCATCGTGTGGATCTCTTGCGGACTACTATCGCTTTTGGGTGAACTGAAATAAATATAAATAATTATTATAATATATTTTTTTTAAATTTGGGCACCGATCTAAGTATGAGTCGTAAAACTGCGATTAAAAATACTTAATTCAGTTTTAAAGGCACACATTAAATAATTATTTAGAACACGATAGTCGATAGTGTGATTTTTTTTCAGGAAAAAAAAACAACACTGTTTACTATTAGAAATTAAATCGATAATTTTAATCAGAAAACATTTCATGTGTCCAAAATTTATTGACGATAATTATGTGGACATTTTTTTTTTTTTCAAATGTCGATACTATTCGTGGATAAGCCACTGTTGTAGGTGGATAGTTAGGAACAAATTCTTAACGGAGTATAATTAGTCGTATTTTTCTCTTTGTTACTAAATGATCCCAGAATGAACTGTTGGAAATTTCATAGTTGTTTTAAAAAAAGTATCACTGGACGGAAATTCCGTATCTATTAATGTACTGTGCGAATAAATTGGGGTATTATTACTAAACGAAAAAGTCTGTGTAAAATACTCAGAATTCAAAATAAATACATAAAAAAAAATAGTCTCACAATAAAATATTATTATTTATAACTTACACAGCGTTATAATTTTTACCGCAGGAGCATTGTCGTACGCTGAACTTTGCGGTGTAGTCAACAAGTCCGGTGGCGATTTTAGCTTTTTTCAGTCTGCGTTCGGTAACACCCATAAGTTCTGGGGGCCGTTACCCGGTTTTGTGTACTCGTGGATGACACTCATTTATATCCGGCCCGCCGAAGTTGTCATCGTTATGCTGACGTTTGCCGAGTACTTTGTCCGGTCGATTGGTCTGTGGCTGTCCCTGCAACCAGATACGGAAGCAATGCTGAAAAAAACCTTCTGCGTGTTCGCAATCTGTACGAGCTCAGCATTATTACTACTGAATTAAAGCTATCATTTTATTATTATTCTTTTTTTTAATAACGCTTATTCGTATCTAAACATATTTTGAATAAAATACGAAGTGGGACATTAAGCTTGTATCGTGGCATGGGTAGACCACGAACGTACAGTTGTGAATTCGGAAAAGTATATTGCTCGATATTATATATATGTAGTTATACATTGTGATTTTTTTTATCATGAACCAGCAATTATTTCAGAGGATTTTAAGTGAATTTGATTTCGGTTTTTTCTAATAATTATGGAATAGTTTAAGATTTATTTTAAAACCATTTTTAATTTTTACCCCTACTCCATATACTTTAAATAAGTGCATACTTTTGAATTTCAAATAGGAACACAGACTTGAATAGCGAAATATTTTTCTAAAAATGTCGGTATTCAAAACACTAATATCAGATTTACCATTTATGAGTTATAACAATTTAAATTTTAAACCAGAAGAGTAGAGAAGGATCAATGGTAGGCAATTTATTACTCTTCTTTACTCCTCACGTCAAAACTTTAAACTTTTATAACTCATAAACGGTAAATCTGATATTAGTGTTATGTGTATTCAAATGTCTAGAAAAATATTCTCTATTCAATTATGTGTTCAAAAATGGGTGTTCCTGTTTGAAATTCAAAAGTATGCACTTATTTAAAGTATATGGAGTAGAGATAAAAAATTAAAAATGGTTTTAAAATAAAATTTAAACGATTCGATGATGATAAGAAAAAAAAATCAAATTCACTTAAAATCTTCTCAGATAATTGCTGGTTCTTGATAAAAAAAAATCACTTTGTATATTTAGTTTGAATACTAAATGAAACGATAATCGTATACTAATTATAGTAGTTTTTTCTGTGTGACCGGTGAGAGAACCTAGAAATTAACAAGAAATTAAGCCCTATATCATAGAGAAATTGATAATTGTATATCTAAATATAATAGATGTTATCCAGTCATTTTTTTTAGACATTTTTCATAAAATTGTTGCAAATGAAGAAATGTGTTTTGAAAAATGTACAGTTCGGCGATAAATGTGAATCTTTAGGTAGGCTGTACAAATGTTAAAGGATTTGATTCTAATCAAACATGTGGTCCAGTCGTGAAAAATGCGTGTCGCGTCATTTCGACGCGGTCATTTTGACACGAGACAATTATGGCATATTTTGACACAACTACAACTCGACGTATTTTTTTTTTTTTCGTTTAATTATTATTATTGATTTGTTTTTCAAAATAAATTATTATTAAATGTAAAATAAATTTACTTAAGAAATGAAAAATATATTTCTTATATACACAATTTCGTCGTTTACGATCAATTATAAAGTTGAGCATGATCAATTTTCAAATATTAAAATTTTGTATATTCTAATAATATCATATCTGTATATAATCTGTAGAAAATGATTATTTATTATTATTTTAAATGTTGTTTATTACATATATACATTTATTTTGAAAAATAAATCAATAATAATAATTCAACAAAAAAAAAAAAAAAAAAAAGCGTCGAAATGTAGTTACGTAAAAATGTGCCATATCGCCCAATTTTCGTGCGTCGAAATGCCGTAGATTCGAAAAATGATACGTTCTCAGAAATCAATACAAGAAATTTCCATTGGTCATTTTAACATTTTCTTTCGTGTATCAATACACATATATAGGTACCATCACACTGATAAACTACATCAGCGTCAAGTATTTCGTCAAGATCCAGAATGTTGTTACAGTGAGCAAAATTGCCGCTTGTATAGTAATTATTGGCAACGGCATATACCAAATGTGTTTAGGTAACCACATTATTTATTCATTTATTATATTTATCGTATACCGTTACGCAGTGGCGTGATTAGGATTTTTTGTAGGGGGCGAATGACAAGAATTTTAGCACACAGATCCGTGGGGGACGTAGCCCCCCACACCCCCTACCAATATATACATTTTTTTTTCTTTTAAATTAATCATCATAAATTAAAAAATGTAAAAAAATATACAAAATTTAATTACTTGATTATGTTTTAGCATAATATATAGCACAATCAAAACCTAAAAAGAAAAAAAATTCATGGGGGCAGATCTGTCCCTAGATACGCCACTGCCGTTGCGCGAAAACCAAAATTCAATCAGTTTCTTTTGCTCGCAGGAAACACGAAAATGTTGACGACCGGTTTCGAAGGTACTTCCTTGACAATTAGCACGCTTCCCATAGCTTTTTACAGCGGACTTTGGGCATTTGACGGATGGTAATACGTGTATAATATTAGTTTTCGTTTGTATAGAGTTTTTTTCTCAAACCGACAATTCGACTTTTACAGGGTGGCTTCTTCCATGGCCGTCGAGGAAATAAAAAATCCCCAAAGGTATAATTTTATAATGTAATACCCAATTTTTGGATTTTCAATTTCGCTATGTAGCCGTTTCGGCCGCTCTCATTTATGGTCCTTTTAATTTTATGTAAACTGCATAATAAAATTGTATCGTTACAGAAATATTCTCCTAAGTTACGTATTGGCTGTACCGTTCGTTACCGTTATTTACGTTCTGATGAACATATCGTATTTAACGGTTCTGACTAAGTCAGAAATGATTTCTTCCCCGGCCGTGGCAGTAGTATATTAATTTTTTTTTTTTTAAACTATTTTTCGTTTTCGATGCGAAAATGTACCCTTTTTACAGAAGAATAAAAAGAACCAATTCATTTTTCAGGCATTCGGGACTCACGCCCTCGGACATTTTAGTTTCATCATTCCGCTTAGCGTGACCATATCAACTTTCGGTTCGGCGCTCGGTATCCAATTCGAAACTACGAGGTCGATTTTTATTACACATTATATCAACACTTGTACAATAATATTTACCGTCGTCTGTTTTGTAGGCTGTGCTTCGCCGCAAGTCGAGAAGGACAAATGTTAGAAGTCTTCTCTTACATAAGCGTGAAAAGGCTGACGCCTGCCCCGGCCGTCGTTTTACAGGTCAATATTGCGTGTTACTAGTTGTGTGCTGTTCATACACGACGGGTTTATAATTGAAATGCTTAAAATGCCAAAGTGCATGATGAATCTATATTTTGACCATTTTCTTTTACATTTGAACTCTAATAAATTATTATAAATCTAAAATGTTAAAACAATAATATTCTTATATACAGGGTGTTTTGGCTCTCATGTTTTGTTTGGCATGCGAAAACATTATCATATTAATCGAGTTCACCAGCTTCTTGGTATGGATATTCTACGGCATTTCCATGGTGGCATTGGTAGTGATGCGTTACACCAAGAAAGACGTCAAACGTCCCTTTCGAGTGTGCATAGTTATTTTATTCCAGGCGATCGTGTTTTATTATCAAAACTGGGCAATCATTATGATTATAAAGTGATGATGAAGTTTATAAGTTACTTTTATTAGTAACTTTAAACTTAATCATTTAGTATACCTAAATTCTGAATAACTTTCTAATTTAATGCGTTAAAAGAAATAGATAACTTGCTTTTTAGTTAGTTGGGTATTTTTTAAAAAAAATATATGTTTACATATTTAAATACTTAGATGCGATAATAATATTGATGATCATGCATTTCATAACCATGGTTATCATTTATAATAATGGTTCTATCATTAAAATGGTATAGATTTGGGTAATTCAATTTTTGAATTAATAGGTTTTTAGGTTATTGATAAAAAAAAAGTCTAACTTGACTTCTAACTTAAGAAGTTGTGATTTTATTTCCACCGGATAATAATTTATAAGTTTTTAGACATTTTGTAAATTTTAAAAAAAATACTTCTAATCTGATTTTATTAGTTTTTTTTAATTATAATAACTAACTATTATCTATAAAGTTAGTAATTTCTATTAACATGCTCAATTTTGGTAATTATCACTAAACAATAATAATTATTATTTCGATCATAGTAATACAATTTCTTTCGTCAATGCAGGTGCCGATTGTTATTCCGATATTCGTCCTCGTCATGTCTGTCTTGTTGTTCCTGACGCCCATAGTCACACAGCCCAAACCACAGTTCCTCATCGCGCTGGCATTTGTTTTGATAGCCGTCGTGATTTACATCCCGTGTATATATCAAAAGAGACGATTATCGATAGTCGGTATGTATATAATATAATAAAAAGAGGTGATACCGGTTTAGAACGCTTATTGGTGTCGATAAATTGTTGTAAATTCTCCCTGTCACAAATTCTGAATGGACTTCGATTGTACATATGTTTTGATTTTTATGATTTTCGTCAAAGTATGAAAACTCTAAATGCGCAACAAAAAATATTATTACATAACACGTATCATAAAACATGTTTAATAGACCTTTAAACAGAATCGTTTTTCGTTAGCAATGATTTATCGTTGCGTACAGATAAATTATTAACAAATACCTATTTAAATGTATCTTGCCTATACAATTTTTCACCTACAACAATTTTGCACACTTGTCATCAGTCTATCAACTCTATATTTATTTTGCATTGTGTGTCCGCAGATAAATTTACCGAAACGATAAAAAAATGCATGGGAGTCGTGCCACCAGAAAAAGACGATCCACATTTGCCGGCTACGGAAGATTACTGTGAAAAGCAACCGAAACCGTAATAATTTTACTATGGACTCACTCAATCGATGAAAAGTTCCGAAACATTTCGATAAAATCTCCATACCTGTCACCATAATCATTATTGTAATATGTTTTATTATATTGGTTATAAACACCAATATTATTGTTTTCCTAATTTAAAATAAAAATTTTTATCTTCGTGTTTACAAGCTGAAAATATTGTCTCTATTCCATATTCGTATACTATTATATATATTACTGGTAGTGTTGAGTAAATATACGAGATAATTGCCAAAATAGTTATCTAAATAAAAAAAAAGAATACTAAGGTTGTACTATAAGTACTATACGTAGTAAAAGTATACCAGAGTTAGTAAACATATTTTACATATTAACATATAAAAGATTGTATGATTAACTTATTAATTGATTCATATTTTAGATCTTGAGTGGAGCGAAGAAGATTAAAATTTTACAAAGATGTTTTTTTTTTTATCTGTGTGCGACTTTTCTACTAGAAGACTTGCTCAGATTTTTAAGTGTAGCAGCTTTTCTGAAAGGAAATCGGTGTGGAGAGGTACTTTAAGGAGGTCATTTTTCAATTTTCCCAAGAGTTTTCCCAGCGAATGTGAAAAACCGGAATAAAACATGGGAAAACCGGGAAAAACCGTATAATATTAATCAAATATTATTAAAGAAAATATACAAAGCCTATTTCAGAGGTTCCCAAACTTTTTATGGTACGACTCATTTTGGAAATAATTTAAATTTTGGAAACGCACAATAATATCAAAATCCCTATTTTTTGGTTTATTTTTCATTTCTTGATGATTCATAAAATTCATGAAATAAACATCATTGTAAAACCAATACATCCTTGCTTCACTAATAATTTAAAAATGTATTATTTAAATATAACGTGACCCACTAAAAATATGATGGCGACCCATACTTTGGGAACCTCTGGTTTATTTGATTATTTTAGTTTAAAATGACATATATTGTTGACAAAGCATCATTATCAAATGAACTTCGTTCAGAATAGTTTTTTTGTAAGCAATAGTTTATTGTTGTTTACAGGTATGTATCAAATTATCTAAATTGTCTTTTAACTATTATTTTCAATATACAAGTATATACTTGTATATATAAATAATTATGATTTAAAAACATTAATCTATAAGTGTCATGTACATGTGTTTTATATCCTAGATAACGGTTCCAGATAATTTATTTCTTACTTATCTAAATGAGATACAAGATAAAATTGTACCTTTAGAGCTAGATAAACTACAACACTATATACTACCTGTATGATAAAGGATAACGTTTTACTACGATACTTGATTTTGATTAGGTAGTTATAACTTATAACACAGCAGATAAGATTACCTACAGCTAATATTATATGCGTGTATTTGTAACATTTTTCAACAACTTTACTTGTACTACATTATTTACATAATAATATTATAAATCTATGCATATTGAAATCATTTGTGCTGTAAAAATCAATATCAATTAATGTCATTCGTCGGAAACACTTCACTGAAGATGCTCGTCAAATTCGTTTTTAATCCGCACGATTACGTTTTTCATATAGGTATTATAGGTAGTGAAGACCACTGCAAAATAGATTTGTATGATCACAATTTTTTTTTTGATACGCATTCCCACTCTCAAATATTTCTTCACTTCACCAATTGTCATATTTAGCTCACCATTTCTTATTGGCTTATCGATTAGTATTACCGTTAGTAGTAGAAAACTACGACTTGTAGGCCTAATGAGGAAGATATGCGCATTACTCAACGAAAATACATCACACTGTGATCACACTTGCCTGTTTCGTAATGGTTAATGCTATATAAATATTTAAAATTTAATCCACGATAAAATTTAATCGTCAACATTTGCGAATAGTGTGGGAGATTAACCTTTGGTCGGTCGTGCAACGATCCTGATTAAATTTGAATAGTTGAATGATATTCGTCTAAATACGATCTCTTTATTCAATAGTCTGGGACCGGCTGCTTAACATTTGCGAGTACAATTATAATTATCATAACGTTCGTTTAGAACCGTTTCGAACCATTTCGGGGCGTCGCGGTCCCGTTAATTTTGAAAAATAAAACCAATAATTATATTATTTAATTAAGGCCAAAATTATTTCCAAAAAATAAAAAATAATGACGGCCATTACGAACACCGTAAAACTACACCGCGAACTGGGTCTGTGTAGTGCGATATGTCTCATCGTTAACGTGATGATCGGTGAGTGTGGTGGCCTAATGTTATCCGCGGACTATCGACATAGTGATGTGATGATTTATTTTCCGATTTTTTTAGGGTCCGGGATTTTTATATCAGCCGGCAACGTTTTAAAAAATACCGGATCTGTGGCCATGTGTCTGGTCATGTGGACTTCTTGCGGAATGGTGTCGCTTTTGGGTAATATCGCGACCACGTATTTTTTATTTTTTCATTATTATTATTCTCCTTTATCGATGTCTAATAAAAAAAAAAAAAAAAAAACCCCATACGTTTTCCTCCACAAGTTACTGTATACTTTATATTGTTCCCGTGTACTCTATACAACGTATTTATAGGTGCCTTGTCGTACGCTGAGCTTGCCGGGGTGGTACAAAAGTCTGGTGGAAATTTCATGTTCTACCGGACAGCGTACGGCGACATCCACAAGTTCTGGGGACCGTTACCGAGTTTCGTATACTCGTTTATGACCATATTATACACCCGGCCAACTGAAATGGTCATCAGCACAATGACGTTCGCCGAGTACTCAGTTCGGCCGATTGGGCTGTGGCTGTCCTTGCAACCAGACACGGAGGCCGTTCTGAAAAAAACTCTCACGTTGGCCGCAATCTGTGAGTGCTCAAAATATTATTAACGTTAAAATTATGTCTAAATAGCGCCTATCCAAGTGTTTGGATTAAATAGTTACAACTGTTTCACAAGAAGTGAAAAAAAAAACAGATTAGTAAAACCAATAAATACCTATCCTTATAAAATCAGAAAGCGAGCAAGTTTTAACCGTTACCGTCATCAATCATAATAGGCACCATTACTATGATAAACTACATGAGCGTCAAGTATTTCGTCAAGGTGCAGTTCGCCGCTACAGTGAGCAAAATTGCCGCCTGTCTGATAATCGTCGGCAGCGGTCTACATCAATTGTATTTAGGTAATCGTATCATTATTATAACGTACGCAATACAATATTAATATTTATTACTCCACCATTCGTCTATCTACTACTGTTGTAGATATTAGGATTTCTCAACGGGCTATGATAAAGTAGAACCGTCAACATGGGGCATAACAGTGGTCTGCGGTTAATCTACCCTCTAGACGCAGCCAAACTGCACGAGTAGGATAGAAAAACAAGATAAAAGCATTCTGAAGTAGGATACGGTCAAGCGCCATCTATAGATTCTATAGTTGATGGCACGTATGAATATTAATAAGCAACACGAGTAGATTATTATTATCGATTGGTAGATAGTACTGCAGACTCACAGTTTTAATTACAACATTTTGAGAACTAGAGAACTTTGAAGTCCCAGCTTCTTTATACGGTTACAGAATTGTTAGATGACCGTACTAACTTCAACCATCTACTATGCCTCTGGACCGTAAAATACCATACTGGTACCCATGTACGGTGTCCCTGCGGTTATTTGGCATTTATGTTTAGCCAGAGTCTTTGGCGGAGATTTAATTGAATTTTAGGGGGCCTATTTAAGCGACGAGCAAAATAAAATGAATAAAGATGGACATACTTCGTACGTGGGTGTAGCTATTGTTGTATAGGTAGGAAGTCGGGAATATAGGATACACTCCGGAATTTAATGTATATCTGTAAGAAACGATAAACCATTGCTAACGAAAAACCTTTTCTGAGCGGAGTTCAGTTGATAGTGATGCTTTGTCAAAAATATATATATTTATGCCATATTATGGTAAAATAATTAAATAGGCGTTATATATTTTCTTTAATAATATTTGTTTAATATTATACCGATTTCCCCATTTTTTTTCAGTTTTTCACATTTGTTGAGACAATTCCTGGGAAAATTGAAAAATAGCTTTTCTAAAGTACCTTTTCAGTCAGATTTCCTTTCAGAAAAAGTGCTGTTATTTTAAATCGGAGCCAAGTTAGTGGTAGAAAAATTTACAGAACAAATCGAGAGATATTTTGCGATTAAAATGGTCCTAACGAGCGATGGTTTGGGTCTCTGAGCACACCCAAAATGCATTAATTTTTCCTTGTTAGGTAAAAGAAAAAAAAAGAAATGCAAACAATTTGTTTGTTCGGGTTTGAACTTCCGAACCCTAGGGTTTTGAAACTTGAAATTTAACAACAGTTATTTAACATAACATAATATAATACCCGCATAATATCAGAACTTCAAAAAGCTAAAATTTCGAAACTATGTCAGTTCACTCAATTCTTATTACACTATCATTCTCGAATCGGCGATATGCGTATGTTTTAAACAAAATATTGAAAAATTAGATTTGTTTCACATAATTTTCTACTCAAACGATTTTTGTCGGAATTCAATATTAATAAAAAATAATAAAAAAAATATATAAAAAAGAAAAATAATGCATTAAACTCAAATTTGTTTTTTGAACACAAAGTAAGGCTTTTAATAAACCTTGACTATTAAATTTTCAAGCATTTCTATCTAGCAAGTTTAACAATTTCACCACAGAGTACATACTGAATAAAAATGACGTACAAACCTCGTAAAATTAAAATGTCTATAATTAGCTCAACAATGACTTGAATTTTTTGAAAATTTTACCACGTCTAAAAAAGTATAAATAAGTTTTCTGTACTAATTTTAAGTCTCTATAAATATTTTTAACTGAATTACAACAAAAAAAAAGCATTATTTTCGTAAATTTTACGTTTTTTTACGTTTTTCCCTTCTATTAGGAAAACTGTCATGAAAATCAAAAATGATCTCCTTAAAGTACTACCCCAAGCAAATTTTCTATCAAGAAAGAGTCTACTTCCTATACACTCGAGCAAGATTTCTGGTAGAATTTTTGTACACAGTATACAAAAAAAGAAGAGAAAAAAAAATTAAACATTTTTGTTAAACAAATACATTCTTTATTACCCTTAGAATTTAAAATCATCACTTAAATTTTACCAGTATACTCATTCGTTGACCCACATTTGGATAAAATGTTAAAAGCAATAAAAGTTGCATTGTAATTTCTAGGTTAATATCATTTTGGAGGGGTTTAGAATGATTATTTATTTATTTTTTAATATTATTAGGGGAAAATGGATGATTAGAGAGAGCTATGTCCTCTTCCCTAGCTCTCCAATTTCCACTAAAGTAAAAATAGAAATTTAGGGTTAAATGCGTTCAAAATAAATACCTCTTATACTTGGATTACGTCTTAAATATTGAACAACAACGTCACAATTTCTTGCTCCTATTCCTACGCATTTGTCTGAATAACAAGGTACTTACATCCAATTAATCTCGTATGTTCTTAAAGTACCTCCATTGAGGTCTCTTACCTCCACCCAGTATCGATATCCGTGTTCCCACTTAAAGCAAATTAAAAAAATAATATATTCATTCATTGTTCACTGTATGCTCAGTTTTTTTAATCATGTTATTGTATAGGTACTCAGTTTGAAGTAAATATATAACGCATTTACATAAACACACATAATTTTAAAGAACAAAAATAAGTGTTTGATTTTCGGTTTCACCCTAAAGTGGTTTCTATAAAAGTCGAAGGAAATTAAAACATCTACAAAAAAGCTCCTATGAATACTTTGGAACATCCTTCTGAACAAAAACGCCAATTTATTTAAAAAAATATGTTATTTGAGTACATCAGGAGTTCATGAGAGACGGTCGTCAGACGTTCAACAGGTGTTTGATTTTCGTATTGTATTGTAAATATTTTATATTGTTGTTAATATCTTACTTGTAGGAAACACACAAACGCTGGCAACTGGTTTCGAAGGTACTTCATTGACTGTTAGCACTCTTCCCATAGCCCTTTACAGCGGACTTTGGGCATTCGATGGATGGTAATACAATAATTGTTTTTATATTTTGTATTTTTCTTATTGTTGATCCACATAATATTTTTACAGGGGGTCTTCAACCATGGCTCTCGAGGAAATAAAAAATCCACAAAGGTATACACGATTCGGCCGTTTAGATATAGTTGTCGTTGATAACTGGCAACTGAATTTCATGTTATTTTTACAGAAATATTTTACTGAGTTATATACTGGCCGTTCCATCCGTTACTATTATTTATGTTTTGATGAATGTATCGTATTTTACGGTCCTGACCAAATCAGAAATGGTTTCTTCCTCTGCCGTGGCAGTTGTAAGTTCATTTTCGTATCGGTTGTCTCCTCCAACAGTTAAATCTCGATGATAGATCACGACAAAGATTATAATACTAAAAATAAACCAATGTTTTTTTCAGACGTTCGGAAATCATGCGCTAGGAATGTTTAAATTCATTGTTCCGCTCGGAGTGGCCATATCGACATTTGGTTCTGCGCTCGCGACTCAATTTGAAACTACGAGGTCGATTGGAGTTTTTATTATAAATTTAATTTCACAGTGCTTTGTATAATTTAAACTAATTTAAAATATTATTAATTTTTCCTGTCGTATTAATATTTGTCGTCTGTTTTCTAGGCTGTGTTATGCAGCTAGCCGAGAAGGTCAAATGTTGGAAGTCTTTTCATACATAAGCGTCAAAAGGCTGACACCTGTTCCGGCCGTTCTTTTGCAGGTCAATATTTACACGGTTACGATAAATTAATATCCATCAGAAATTTGGACCGAGAAATTTCATTGTAAATCGAAAACTTTAAAATAAAAGTATAATCTTATCACATTTATATATTATACAGGGTATACTGGCGCTATTGTTCTGTTTGGCGTCGAAAAACATCATTACATTAATCGAGTTCGTCAGCTTCCTGGTGTGGATATTCTACGGTTGTTCTATGACGGCACTATTAGTGATGCGTTTCACCAAGAAAGATGTTAAACGTCCGTTTAAAGTGAGCATATTTATAAAACTATTCGTTTTGTAATCGTTTTTAAACATATTATTTTATAACAATATAAGAGCCCTTTGAAAAATTATCATGTCGTAATATTAAACTCTTGAGCAGGTGCCGATCATTATCCCGATATTTGTGCTAGCCATGTCGGTCATGTTGTTCCTGACACCCATAATCACGCGGGGCAAGCCGCAGTTTCTCTACGCACTAGTGTTCATTTTGTTTGCCGTAGTAGTTTACATTCCTTTCGTGTATCAAAAAAAACGTTTATCGATCGTCGGTATGTAAATATCAAAAATATTATATATTGTGTTGGCCGTTTATAAAAATCGATTTGTCGCTAGTTTAGGGATGACGTGATAGTTAAGAAGCTAGGATGTGTAGAGATATTTAATTTATACCTGCGATCAATTATAAACCATTACTAGCAAAACACTATTCTGAACGAAGTTTGATTATACACGGTTTGAAAGACCCTAATATTTACGATCTTCGTCAAAATTTGATTTTAAAACTCTTCTGAAAAAAATATCTATAAATAGCTCAAATATTTTAAAAGTTTTACCACGTCTAAAAAAAGCAAATATGAGTTCTGTTAAAATTTCAAGTCTCTATAAATATTTTCAACTGAATTACATTGAAAACACAAAATTTAAAATATTAAAAGAATTATTTTCGTAAATTTCCCCATTATTTCTATATATTTTTCTGTTTTGCTTAATTAGTTAAAAAAACTACTAAAAACGCCTTGTAGGCCACCAACTATATTTAAAATTTGACAAAAAATATCTATTGTTATATTTCGATTGAAAAATATTTCTGGTAGAAAACATATGTTGCAAAAATTAAAAACAATGAAAACGGTAACGCCGCGGCGTGATGTAAATATTTATCGTTTTACCAGTAATTTTCTCTCGGATTTTTCCCAATTATTTTGAAAACCTCTTAGGAAATCAAAAAGCTGTCTTTCTCAATGCGCCAAATAGAGAAAATTACCTTAGAAAAGTTGTTTGCAGAACAAAAAAAAAACACATCATAGCAAAACCAATAGAACCATCGCTAAACTATCTAAAAATATCTTTATGAAAACTTAAGTAGTTATCAAATTTTTAACTAGTTAATGCCCAGCTTTTAATTGATCGAAAGTCGTCCCACACCATTGTCACAAGTATTTTGACAACGCTTTACTCTTTTCCTGTTTATATAGTAAAACTGCCAAGTTATCTGTATCGTAGCTTATGTTTTTCTTTTGTTAACATAACAACAATCAAATTGTTATCGACATGTAAGTTTTCGGTTATTTAATTAATCTATACAAAATTATTGAAAAAAAAAATAATAATAATAATAAATGACACGCTACGACACAGGTAAAGTGCTGTGAAACACTGCTATATTATAAAAATTAGAAAAATGACAAAGAGTTGTCCCACGCAAAACGGTTTTACCAATCGAATTGTGCGGTGTGTATCACGCTATCCTCTTAACTTGATCACAGTTTCATGAGTTTTTTCTTCTTTTAATTATGTGTTCATAGATTATCTTACCGAAGCTACGAAAAATTGCCTGGGAGTCGTACCACCAGAAAAAGATGATCCACATTTACCGGCTGCGGAGAATAATCTTGAAAAATAGGTGTAGTCGTGACGAAAGTGTCCTAAAGATTTTGACCAAATATTCACATCATTCTCTACAATCAACATGGCCCTTATTATATTTATTGGTTATAAACAGGGTTCGGAACTTGAAAGCCGTTGAAATAAATAAAATATTCTTAAAACACTTTATTGTAAGATCTTAAAAAACTTAAAAAAAAAAAACACTAAAATAAAAACTAAACAAATATTTTAAAAAACGAAAAACTAATAAAAATAATTTTTTTTTAAAATCGACCTAGAAAAAACGAAAATACCACCTTTAAATTTAATATCAAAATGCATGAATCTTTTTAAAAATTCATTAACAAGACGTAACAAATAGATAAGACAATAAAAACAAATATTTATGTTGGATATTATAAAATACAAAGTCGAAATTATTTAAAAATCATTGGAGGAAAAAATTCTAGGTAAGTTTACAAATTTTAAAAAATGTCGAAAAAAGAAAAACCTAAATAAAGGTTTTTTTTTAACTACCGAAATAATCATTAAAAAAAATAAAAAAAAAACTGCACTCAAATTTCATACTTGACCTCATTGTAACATGACATAAATTTTCATTTCACACAATCAGATTTGATGTTAAGTCGAAACAATATAATCAAACCCGAAAGTCCGAACCCTGGATATATATAAACCGAACATATTATATAATATTTTATAATTTATATAAATGTAAATATTATTGTTTTTCGAATTCCAAATAAACATGAATTGTATAAAAAAAAAAAATGGTCTACACATTACGTAGTTAATAATTTATAATGTCATTAGTATAGGTTTCATAACAGTCGAAAACGATTATTAATATAAAAAAAAATAATAATAATTTAAAGAAAATAATAGATTAATATTTTCTTAAAAGCAGTACACGGTTGTAATAAATTTCGTGGTATATTATTTAAATTTATTCCGGGAATATAAAACTGTTATTTTTTTTTTTATCGTGTTAATCGGAACTACTTCTGGGAGCTAAACTCGAATTTCCATCGCACGCTTATCGGTTTACGAAATTAAAAAAAAAAATTTGCATATATTATTCAAACTTAACATCATAATTTTTATTATTGTAAATTGAATATTGTATTTACAACAAACGAAAAATATCTTTTACTTGGACTACACAGAGATGAGTCTAACAAAATAACTTCAAGATACCGGATTTTTAAAATAAATGTAGACAATTCTGCTTAAATAATAATTCATAATTCATATTTATATGAATTTAATTTAATATTTTTTGGAAATTCCTGGGTACAAATGTAAATACATATATAGACACTAAAAATCTCTCATCCCCCCTCCCATAATTATTCTCCAGTTTAAAGTCTCTTTAATTTTCCAAGTTTGTTCGAATACAAACATACTAATAATTCATTTTCTTCTCCAACTTCTTTACAGGTAAAATTGATTTATCTAGTTTATTATTAAGGATTTCCTTTAAAGTTCTGTTCCGTTTCACTCATTAATTTCTTTTCGGTTAACTTACTTGAAAATTTTCGAACTATCCGGCTTATGTGCACTGTTAACCACTTATTGTTTACTTAATTACTTAGTTACTTACTAGTAATAAGTAGTTAGTAAGTAATTACTTAACTACTTACTTTTAATATTTAGCACCCATAATTTTATTAAACAGCAAATTAGATTTCGTTTTTCTTTTAGTTTATTGTGTTCTAATTCAATCTATCTGAACTCAATGGAACTGTAATAATACTACACTATTATTTTATTTACTTTCGGGCTTGTCTCGTAAATATATTTATAATTATTATATACAATTATATGTAAATAAATAAATAAATAAATTGTGTCGTTTATACGTTTACCAACAAATTTGTTATTTCCACCGCCGTTGTATGGAAATTTAATGGTACCTTAGTGTGATACCTTTAAAATGAAAACATTTCACAAATTTTCTAAACAATTTTCTTGTAGAATACACGTGTTTTTGAAAAACAATTTAATCGGACCGCGGGTAAAAACGAAAGTAGAACATTGAAATACGCGTTGTTATTAAACATAACATCTGTATCATGTCTTATCTGTATAAATAATAATTTTCTATTCGATTTTTTTTTATCATTCATAAGTAAGTTCTTAGAATACGATGTTAGTTGCACAGATGTCCATCTGCGCAATTGTGTGATTGTGAGATTATAAATACAGCTATTGGACGTCAACTGTTTGTCTCCTCCTGTAGTGTGTCTCGCAAGCCGCAGTCTGTGACCACAGGCTACTTCATAACGTTGCGTGTCCGTTTGAATCGTTTGTCCGACATGGTGATTGAAAAAAAAAAAATGACGGGAATTACAAAAACGTCCGGAGTAAGACTGCACCGAGAACTGGGCTTGTCCAGTGCGGTATGTCTCATCGTTAACGTGATGATCGGTGAGAGCGGCGGCGGCGGCAGCGGAAGTGGCGCAATTTTAATAACTACTGGACTCGTGATGTGATCTCGTTTCGATTTTTTCAGGGTCCGGAATTTTCATATCGGCCGGGAACGTGTTGCAAAACACCGGATCGGTGTCCATGTGTCTGGTCATCTGGGTATCTTGTGGACTGCTGTCGCTTTTGGGTAAACGCAATAGCGTGTTTTTTATTCGTACTCATTAAATATTGACGTTATTATTATTTTTATTCACCGTTCCTAAACAGAAAAAAAAAACAGCTACAAAAATACCTGTATGTGTACATACATGTTCCCCACAAAGATATGACAAATGCAGTGACTCATTACTGTTCGATATATATAAGATTTTTTTTTCGTTGATACTGAATTATTGTTATAACTCTGGACCCTGGGACAAGAATGAAACCGTTCTTCGTTTCTTAAATAATATTGTATTATCACTTTAAAGGCTTAAGTCACATTGTTCACTTTAGTATAAATATACGTATTCAAAATATATTTGTTTTTGACGTTGGTTTATTTATTTCTTGTAATTTTAGTGATCGACATACGCCCCTCTAGCACAAGAAATTATATATCAAATTTTATATTATATTATAAACCTTAAATCACATTTTGCCAAAAACAAGTGTCACACTTCTTGACCTAAGGTCCAGAATTACTAACATCATTGTTTTATAATTTTTATATTTTTTTTATATTGTTTAAAACTGAAAAAAAAATTTGAATTTATTTTTATAAAATCTAAAATTGTATAAATGTATTTTAAAACAAAAATTTGGTGTTATAGATGTTGATCGGTAAATCATAACTAAATGATGATAGTTATTCATTTTCTCTACTAAATAATATCAATGCGTTCATAATACGATAATAATTTTTATTATACACATAGTTATTATTATTTATTAATTACATTTTAGTCATTATTTTTAACAGTAGAAATGAAAACAAGCTAAAATTTTGTTCACTTCAAAATATTGTAGAAAAATAATGCCATCGAAATTTTGTTTTAAAATAAATTTATATATTGGAATCTTGAATTTTGTTTTAAAAACAATGTAAAATTCTTAAAATGTATTTTATATGCAGTATTGAAAGCAGAAAAATACGATTTTCCCCTATTATTTGAAATTGTTAAAAATTAAATTCATAACACAATATAATATTATGGGATTTCTTATACTAATCATCAGTTGTGTGCCTATTTAAAATAGGTTGGGAAGTGAAGTTTAATTTCATAACAATATAGCTGTTGTTCTATACAACTGGAATGGCTTATCGAATTGGGGAAACTGCGCGTCCAAAGCATAAAGGGACAAATATATAGATTCACTCATCCCCTGAATCGAATATAGATAAACTTTATTAATAACGAAAACAAATATTTAAATTCAATTTTCATGTTAATATTATTTATTAATCCCCAATAATAAAAATAGTTATACATTAAAATTTTAAATAAATATAGTAAATAAAAAATGTATATACAGAAATAAAAATAATTAAATGAACAAATGGGTGACCTAGAGTATTATGATAATAATAATGATCAGTGTAATACACGACCGGTTTCGAATTAAAAATTCACCATTAGGTATATCACAGTCAAAATGTAAAACGCTACTGAATATAAAAAAATAAATGAAGGAATATATAGAGAAAAAAAAATTATACAAATTGGCCGTCTTATATAAAAATCATTTATTTTAATGGGAGAGATTATTTAAAATGGGTTTAATTATAGATATATGTTAAGAAATATACATTGTTTTATTATTATTTATTGTCTAACATGTATTGATATGAGATATTATTTTTAAAATCGGTTTGTACATTTAAAATATTATTAAAATCATTTTTCTTTATTCCATTGTATATATGTAATTCTTCTAAAACTTAATTAATGTAAATTTTATTTTGAGTATTTAATATCTCTAAGTTTGTATTAATATCAAAGCTTATATTTTGGTTATTTTCTAAAATATGTTTAGCGAAATTTGAATTAGGAACAGTCTTTTTTAAATTTTATAAATGTGTTCTTTATATCTTTTTTTAAAATTTCTATTTCTATTTGTCTTACCTAAATACAATTTATTACAGGGACATTTAAGTTTATATATACCAGTGTTTTCAAAACAAAGGGGATTTTTTGTGAAGTTTTTAGTTCTATTGTTTATATGTTTGGTTAAATTATTATTAGTCTTAAAAGCGATTTTAATATTTTTTGTATTATTGTCAATGTTATCTATAATATAATTCGTAGAAATAATTTAAATTTAAATTTTGTTAAAAATAATTCATAAACGTATTAAAGAAACGCACTGAATAAACTAAATAACTTTTGTAGTATGAAATATCAAAAAATATGTGTAACGAATTCGTTAAAATTATAAAAAAAATAATACAAATAATGTAAAAAAAGCTTTTAAGACTAATAGTAATTTAATCAAACATAATATAAACAATGGAACTAAAAACTTCACAAAAAATCTCCCTTATTTTGAAAATGCTGGTAAATGCTGGTATAAATCTCAATATAATAGTGATAAATTGTATTTGAGTAAGACAAATATAAATTCTAAAATAAGATGTCAATAACACATTTCTGATAAAAAATTTAAAAAAAACTGCCCTAGTTCAAATTTCGCTATACATATTTTAGACATGTTTTATAATCATAATATAAGCTTTGATATTAATACAAACTTAGAGATATTAAATAACCAAAATAACATTTATATTAATTCAGTTTTAGAAGAATTACATATGTACAATGGAATAAAGAATAATAATTTTAATGTTATTTTAAATGAACAAACCGATTTTAAAAAGACGTTCTAGGATAATGGAGATGGATGCAGCCACTGTTATAGGTAATTTAATGTATACCTGTAAACAACGATATAAACCATTGATATCGAAAAAACGATTCTGAGCGAAGTTCAGTTGATAGTGATGCTTTGTCAACAATATATATGTCATATTATAGTAAAATAATTAAATATGCTCGATACATTTTCTTTAATAATAATTATTGAATGTTGTACCGATTTTCCCCAGTTTTTCACTTTTGCTAAGAAAACTCCGGGCAAAATGAAAAAACCACCTCTCTATAGTATCTCTCCAGTAAAATATCCTTTCAGAAACATTGTTATCATTAATTATTATTATTTTATTTAATTTACTGAAGTAAAATTGCTGGTAGAAAAGTTGCCCACAGAAAAAAAAATGGTAATATTATATTTCGTAAATTTTCCCGTTTTTTTTTTTTCTCATAATGAGAAAATGACCACTATAAAGTATCTCTCCACACCGATTTCTTTTCAGAAAGTTACTCCATGTAAAAATCGAAGTAAGTTCTCAGGTAGAAAAAATGTCCACAGAAAAAAAAATAAAAGAAATATCTTTGTAAAACTATAAGCTTCTTCGCTCTAATCAGAATCTAAAATAATATTTTATATTAATACATATTAGATCAAAGGTTCCTAAACTTTTTATGGCATGACGAAAATAATTAAAATTTTAGTAACCCACAATAATATCAATGACCGTCTTCTTAGGTTTATTTTTCATTTTGATGAAAATTGTTCATGAAGTTTGTTCAGTCGCATACTCTCATTTGTAAGTATAAATCCAATTTACTAGTAAAAATTTAGTTCACAGGAAAAAAAATATTTTTTAACCTAATTTTATACATTTTCTCGTTTTTCGTCAGTTGTTTTCCTGTCTTTACAATATATTGAAAAAACTCTTCGGAAAATCAAAAAATGACTCTTTTAAAGTACCTCCCTAGTTCGATTTACTTTCAGAAAAAGTGCTACACTTGTAAATCGGAGCAAGATTTCTAGTAAAAAATTTATTCACGAATAGAAAAAAAAAATAAACATCATTGTAAAACTATTACATTCCTTGCTCTACTCAGAATTTAAAAAATATATTATTTAAAAATTCAACGTGACCTACTAAAAGTATGATCGCGACCCTCTTTTAGGTTACGACCCACACATTGGAACCTCTAAATTTATATTTAAAATTAAATAATAAATAATAACAAAATAATTTATACTTCTAAACATATCTATGCATAAAATGGGTTATTCATTTTAAATGATCAGGAGAGATCGTTTAAAATGAATAAAAAACGAAATTTCGATTGTCTTTACTATCCCCAGAGATATTGCAATGTGTTTATTTTTGTGGAACAGCCTGCATGCATCTACAAAAATGTAATTCAATTTTAGTTTTATTTTTAAGCCGTTTTTTTGTCCAACGATGCAGGAGCATATTTATTGGAGGGGGGCTGAAGGGACTACATTCCCCCCCCCCAGATTTCAGGAAATATTTTTTAAGTCTGCTTGTATCTTATCAGATATAAATCGTAAAAGTTCAACGTAATATTGTATTAAGAATTTTATTATCAGAATATTTGTGTAATGTACTAATGTGTCCGACGATTTTGTTCGTAACTATCATAACTTTTCGCACGCAACGTAATAATAGTACGTTATTTTTATGTGCGGTACTGCTGTATTATCGTAATTTTAATTTGTTTTACCCAGAACCGATTGACTGATACGTGGCCGCTCCCACGCAGTCGTCATGCGAGCTAAAAATAATTCCAAGAAGTTGACTATTTAATCGCCTAAATGTCGTTAAGACGACGACCGATAGTTCAATGACCGGTTTTCGTCGTATAGTTTTTATCTCTTTTATAGTTAATTGTTAGGTACTTTTTGTTGTCCGATAAATATTTGGGCTAATTACCTGCAGGGCTAAATGACATTATAGAAGCAGAGCAATGAGATTTGGAAAGCTAAATGGCAAAATATTGAAGTAAACTTAAGGCCTGCAACTGTTGGACTCTGCTTTAAGTGTCTTTGATAATTTAATGTACCCAAACGTGGAAGCAGGGTTTACTCGTATCTTTCAATCTCCCCCCACCCCCTGGGCACACTTCTGCCAGTGGTCATTAATAATGACCATTACCGTATACTTACTGTCACCAAGTATTATTATAATGATTACTGCAGGAGCACTGTCGTACGCTGAACTCTCTGGAGTGGTCAACAAGTCCGGTGGCAATTTCAGCTTCTACTGTGCCGCGTTCAACGACATCCACAGCTTCTGGGGACCGTTGCCCAGTTTTGTGTACTCGTGGACGACTATATTTTACAGTCGACCCGCCGAAGTGGTCATCGGAACGCTGACGTTTGCCGAGTATTCCGTTCGACCTATCAGTCTGTGGCTGTCCCTGCTACCGGACACAGAAGCTATGCTGATAAAGACGATTTCTGTGCTTGCGATATGTGAGGGCTTTAAATTATCATTACTTAAAAATTCTACTATAGATTAGTGTTTATGAAGAGGAGGTAGCAATGCCACCATTGTACTCACTAGAATCTGTCACTGATGATAGGCGCTTAACTTAAACGGTCAGGGCTATTTGGGATACGCATAAATCCAATCCTTATTCATTCAAGGGGGCCTAGAAGCCCAGCCCTCCCTCCGGACATATTATTTCTGCGAGTTTTTTATGATTAAATAATGTGCATAATGTATTATATTATATTTTAATTGTATTTGTGTTGTAAAAAAAATTGTTTGGCACTCCCCCCCCCCCGATATTTGTGCTGATATATTATAGTAATGGAGCCAGTTCGAACTAATTAATCAGAAATGATACTAATTGAGGACTTAATCGAATGTACCCAAGAAGTAACAATGGAGATAACGTAGACATAGACAGATTTAGGAGTGCATAAAGTATACATGCAATAAATTAGAAGAATGACTGATCTGTAAGACTGCAAGCACCTATATATAGGTATACTAAAGTTATTTTGGGTGGAAAGTCGGGAAAGTAAATATAAATATAATTAGACCGGCCGGTAGTTTACCAGGTATACTTATTACTTATTACGAATGCAATGATAGTAATCATAGATTTACAAAACCTAAAATCTAATTTCGTATTTTCTGTAATTTATAACGATTTCCGTCGTGTCCATTGTCATTATATTTAGGTGCCATCACTCTGATAAACTACATCAGCGTCAAGTTTTTCGTCAAGACCCAGTTCGCCGTCACCGTGAGTAAAATTGGCGTCTGTATAATAATCATTGGCAACGGTCTATATCAACTGTACTTAGGTAACGCCACGTTGTTATTATAAATACACGTATTAACGATTTCACACAAAAATTATAATAAATATTTTTTTTCCGCGTCTCGCAGGAAACACAAAAACGTTGTCAACTGGTTTCGAAGGTACTTCCATGACCATAAGCCAGTTCCCCATAGTCCTTTACAGTGGACTTTGGGCATTTGATGGATGGTAATATTAAAAATATAGTTGTGCATTTTTTTAAGTTCCGAGCGTAACGAGGGAGCTATTGGTTTTAATAAGATGTTTATTTTTTGTTCTCCCAGTTTATGGACACGTTTTTCCTATAAACTTACTTCGATTTTTATGTGTAGCAATTTTTCTGAAAGATCATATTTTCTACATGGTACTTTAGGTTTTTTTTTGATTTTAAAAGTCATTATTTAAATAAAAGCACTTAAATAATAAAAAAGAAACGTAGGAAAACGTACAGTTTGACGATTTCATTATTTTATAAAAACACGGACGACGTTTTATACCAGAAAAATTATTTAATCGAAAAATCACTAGGTACCTTTTTTTGTTGCTTTTTTGATTAGGTATCATTGTTAAAACTTTTGAGGTTTTAAGGAATTTTAATTGTTGAGAGTTTTCTTTTTGCTATAATTCGGTTATAAATACACGTAAAGACTTGAAACTTGGTAATAATACTTATATTGAACTTACCTAAACGTGGTAAAATTTCCAAAGTTTTTTTTTAACAAGCGTTTGAAAATCAAATTCAAACGAAAATCGCAAAAAATATTGCGGCACTTCAAATTATGTATTACCAAACTTCGCTCGGAATCGTCTTTTATCAGCAATGGTTTATCATTGGTTATAGATATAAATGAAATAACCTTATGTATCCTACCTTCCCAATTTCCCACCTACAACAGTGGCTGCACCCGTTCCCATATTAGCTCTTTTTTTTTTTTTATTTTTTATCCTCGGCTCATTAGACGTACGATGTATTCATTTTATTATGTTATTTTTTAGGGCGGCTTCTACCATGGCGGTCGAAGAAATCAAAAACCCCCAAAGGTATACATGTACGATTTTTGCGATTGTTTTTTTCGTATTTTCGTCGCCGTTTTAGTACAACTTTCTCTACTTTAATATTCTTTACCTATTGTTGCAGAAATATTTTACTGAGCTACATACTGGCCGTACCGTTTGTCACTATAATTTACGTTTTGATGAACATATCCTATTTTACAGTCATGTCGAAGTCAGATATGGTTTCTTCCCCTGCAGTAGCAGTTGTAAGTTTTTTTTTTTAATCTTCAATGTCCTCACTAATGAGAAAATATAACAGAGACATTTAGAGTGCCCTTTAAAACTAAATTAATTGTACACATTTTTTGTAGGATTTTGGAACTTATGCACTCGGACGTTTCGAATTCATTATTCCGCTTGGCGTGGCCATATCGACTTTTGGTTCTGCGCTCGCGACCCAATTCGGAACTACCAGGTCAGGTTTCTATTATTATTCATTACTTTTTATTTTGCAGGTTTTGTTTTAAAATCGTATTAATATTTGTCGTCTGTTTTGTAGACTGTGCTACGCCGCTAGCCGAGAAGGACAAATGTTGGAAGTCTTCTCGTACATAAGCGTGAAAAGGCTGACTCCGACCCCGGCCGTCCTTTTGCAGGTCAATATTGTTTAATATGTTATGATAAAATATTATTTACATGATACTCGTGCAGAGCTTCCTGTAAATCGTCTTTAGCACTCCTAAATTTAAAATTACCACTCCAAAAAATCCTAATCAGCTTTTTCAGAGTAATATTTCATAATTAAAGAGCAGAACAGAATACTGGTTTCCTATCAACAATGCATGTGTGAATGAAAAATAATATTAAAATAGTTATGATAAATTTGCTTATAAAAATTGTAAATTAAAGGCGTAGTTAACTATTGCAAGAGTCGTGTTAAGGGGTTTGTAGGGAAATAGTCCCTGTGGGTCTTTGATGTGTCAATAATTTTAGCGCATCCGAAATTGGTGGTCTAGTTGCGCCTACGGTGCAAAGAAAATATTATAAACCACAAACATTTAAATAATAATATTATAACCGTGCTTTTATATACAGGGTGTATTGGCGCTTGTATTTTGCTTGGCGTGCGAAAACATCATCACTTTAATTGAGTTTGCCAGCTTCCTGGTGTGGATGTTTTACGGCCTCTCAATGGTATCACTGTTGGTGATGCGTTACACCATGAAAGACGTTAGCCGTCCTTTTAAAGTGGGTATAGTTACTTAACTATATAGTGTAGAGTTTTTCATTTGGCTTTTGCACCCGTGTATATTACACGGGTTCAGGCTTACCACATTCCACTAGTGTACCTGCTATAATAATATATGAAGTAAAACATAATATTGTCGTGTTACCGCCGACCACCGTGATATATCAGTATATTGTAATATAAGGTGATGGCTGGCAAAAAGTTTACACTGGTGTATAGAAGTGTTTCAGGCAGTTGGAAAACGCTATTATGTATATTCCAGTTGTGTAATCTTTACTGGACAATAATACACGTTTCAATTGTACTAATATAATTATCCGTCTTGCAGATACCGATTGTCGTCCCGATATTCGTGCTCGCCATGTCTGTTTTGTTGTGCCTGACGCCAATAATTACGAGTCCCAAGCCGCAGTTCCTCATCGCGCTGGCGTTCATTTTTTCGGCCGTCTTGATTTACATCCCATTTGTATATTATAAGAGACAATATGCATGTGTTGGTATGTATTATAATATAATTGAAAAAAATTGTCTACATTTCCAGCAGGTACTTACATGACCAACATCACATTTGGCTGTTAAGTCTAAAAAACTCATCTAAAAATTTTCACATGGATTTGTTTGACATTGTTGAAACATGCTCAAAATCAAAAGCTCTGAATATAAAATAAAATAAGATGCTGGTAAGTTGGTACCGAAACACGATTAAATGGTTTTTTATCGAACAATATTTAAGTGAATAGTCAGTCCAACAGTATTTTAGATTCTGAGTGGAGCGAAAAAGCTTATGATTTTACAAAGGTGTTTATTTTATTTTTATTTTTATCTGTAAAATACTTTTCTACCAGAAGACTTGCTCAAATTTCTAAGTGTAGCACCTTTTCTGAAAGGAAATCGATGTGGAAAAATACTTTAAGGAGATTATTTTATCAAGAGTTTCATCAAAAAATTTAAAAAACCGAAAAATAACGGGAAAATGTACGAAATATATTAAATAATAAAATAATAGAGTAAAATCGTTAATACTCGTAAATAAATATGTAAATAAAAAATGTATGTATAAAAATAAAATAAATAAATGAATGAATGCGTCGCCTGGAGTATTATGATAAGTGTATTATACGACTGGTTTCGAACTGAAATTTTATCATCAGGTATATCACGGCTAAATGTAAAACGTGACTGAAAATTTACAAATCGGTCGTTTAGTAATTTACTAAAATATTACTATTTTTTTTCCTGTGCACAACTTTTTTACTAACAATTTTGCTCCAACTGTTAATGATATCAATGTTTTTAAAAGGAAATTTAACTAGGAGGTACTTAAGAGATGTAACTTTTTGTTTTTTTTAGGGGATATTTGCATATCTCCATAGAGATCCCATACGTCCCATAGCCGTAGGTATTTGAATTAAGCATCCTGGTGTACCTATTCCGACCAAATATTTTTTTTTTATAGATGTATTATATATATCTATTCTAATCTATACATATATATATATTTTGCAAACAAACACATTTCGATACATAATCAATTATCTACACACCTTCTTTATGCTATTGCTTGCATTGAAGGTGTTGAGATCTTAAAATAGTTGAATTATTAAATAATTATTATAAATACTAATTATTACTTATATGTACACTGTATATTTTTTGATTTTCCCAGAATTTTTCTCAACAAATGAGAAAAACAGGAAAATGTACGAAATGTAGGTATAGTGAAAAAATATTTCAGCCTTTTTTTCCCCGTGAACCACTTTTCTACAAGTAATTATGCTTCGATTTACAATGATAGTACTTATTCTGAAAAGAAATCTGACTAGAAAGTTACTTTAAGGTCATTTTTCGATTTTTTGAAGAATTTTCCTAGCAAATGTGAAAAACCGAGATAAAACAGGAAAACCGGGAAAAACGTAGGAAAACTGGGAAACTCGGTATAACATTAAATAAATATTATTAAAGAAAAAAAGATATAATTCCTATTTAATTATTTTACTATACTATTACATACATGTTGTTGATAAAGCATCACTGACAACTGAACTCCGCTCAAAATCGTTGTTTCGTAAGCAATGGTTTATTGTTGTTTAAGATATACATTAAATTATCTATAACAGTGGCTTCACCCGTCCCCAGTATTCTAAGACGACTTTTTCATTTTTTAAGTGTCATTCTTCTCCAGAATTTCCATAAAAATACGTAATATATATAATTATAATAGGAAACAATTTATTTTTACATTCTTAGGTTCAAAAAATTGTTGATAACAGTTTAATAAATTAGTTTCGATCATTTTGTCAATAAAAAATTATATAATAGTTATATTAGTTAAAACTGTATTAAAAAAAACTGCAGTTTTCATTATTATAGTTTTTAAGACAAAAAGGCGTATTAGAAACAATTGTATACAATTCAAATAAATTATTGTAGTTAATGTGATTTGTAATTACTTTTAAACTTATATTTAGTCCATACAATTAGAAAGATTGTTCTTCTTCTTTTTCGCCTTCATCCCAACTATTTTGAGTCAGTCACCCTCGTTCTACACTTTCACTTGGTTAGATCTCCCACCTCGCATACACCGACTATCTTAATATTTTCGATCGTATCCAACCATTTCTTTTTCAGTTTTATTCTCTATAAATTTCCTCCTACATTTATTTGTATTACAACGCTTACTGCTTCATATTGGTTTCTTCCCATAATAAGCTGAAACCATCTCAATCAACTTTCTCTAATTTAGTCTACATGTTCATATCAAAGCCACGTCTAAGCTACATCTTATGTGCTCATCCATTATTATATTTTCTCTCGTCATTTTACTCATCTAATTAAGCATCTCTGCTACACTGTTCTATTTTTCTGTATGCCACCAAATTTGAAATATTGAAATTATAATATAATATTTTATTTTATAATAGGTTATCTTTTATATAAGAGCTGTTGAAACTGAAAAGTGTAATGATTTAATTTCTTGTTTTACAATTATTTAAAAATTATTTATTTATGTGATCACATATGATGCTGATGAGAAAGCTTTTAAAAAATGAAATATTCTATAAATAAAATAAGTTTTTTGAATTTTTTACTTAAGCCTTTCGTTGAAAACACCCTCCTATATTGTTCCATATAATCGTGTTGTAATGCCAACTTTCCTGGCACCACATTTTCTTTTACGAGTTTAAAGCTTGATAGTGAACAACATTTTCCAACAATGTCCAATAAGATCGTGTGAATATTGTTAGATGAGTGTTTTGAACTTTCAGCCAATACGGTGTTAGTCATTTTGTATCCAAACAACTTTCCAACAAGTCTTAGTAGAGATTTGCTTAAGCTCTGTAAACTTTATGGTACCCTATATATTTATATATAATTTGATTAGTTTTAATTTCTTTGCGCTTTTTAATTCCGTATAGGAATACTACGATATAATGTTCAGTTTCAACTTTTCCGCTGTAACTATACATGCATTTACACACATTTTCAGCTCTAATTTTACTCTAATCCTAATTTCGGGACCTTCGCATTATAGAATTATTGTCCAACGGTAAAAATTTAGGGATCTTTAAGTACATTGAATACGAATATTTTTAATTTTCGAAATTTCCCAAAATTGGAAAGATCCGTTCAAATGTGCCGTCACCGCCGTCATAAATTACATACAAACCAATGGAATATAACTCCCATTAGATTAAACTGAAAATGCCACACGAAAGAAAAAAGTCACATACATATTCAAAAGTCGACATCATTTTAATATGGCCTATAATATTAATATTAATTTCTATCAAACTATACTACACCTGAGTCCGTATAATTAAATAAATGATTTATAACTTTAATTCTGATTACACGTTATATATTTTATGTGTCCGCAGATAGTTTTACTGACATGTTAAAAAATTGCTTGGGAGTCGAGCCACCAGCAGATGAAGAATCATATACGATGGATACTATGAAGGAGGATAATCGGGAAAGTCCGCAACTGTCGTAATTTTACAGCGCACCCAACGAAAGGTTTTCGTTTTCGATTTGCCACACAGCTCATTCATGGCCGTTATTACATCATACGAATTATTTTATAACAAAATATATTGTAAATATTCTTGTTTTTCTAATTGGAAATAAATCTTACCTACGTATTTTATATACACCCAAAGTTTTTTGTTTGTATATGTATGCATTTTAACTTTTAAATCCCTAAATATCTGAATATTTTCGCAAAGAAAAATCTTACGAATAATGTTTGGACAAGAAAAAGATGAAAAAATAGAAGAATGAAAAATAAGATTAAAATAAACGAGCAAGAGGCTTTTCTAGAGACAGAAACGTATTAGGTATAATCCAAAGTAGAAGATTACGCTTGACGAAATCAGATTATACTTTTATGCAATAAACCTGAAAGAAAACGAAAGATACGTCTTGGACGTCCCCTTTAAAGATGAAAATATGTGGTGTTAAATATGTGGTAGGAGAGACGTGGATTCTCTAAATTGAAGGATGGAATGCAAAGTAAGTGCAATTTACCTGGATAATTAGAGAAGTGGTTACCGACCTTGTTAAGATTGTTAAGGCGACCCACATTAAAATACTGCTACTACTGATACTGCTGATAGGTTTGTCACTGTTGTAGGTGTGTAGATAGAAAGGTAGAATACATTAATTTATTTAATTTATGTATGTAAGCAAAAAGAAATATTGCTAACAAAATTCGATTCTGAAAGAAGTCTGGTTAAACAAATTTTAAATTATAAAGCAAGATTTCTGGTATACAACTAGAAGGGTAAACATTTAAAATAATGAAATTGTGGTGCAGTGGTGCCTCATAAAGATTTGTCTGTCATTTTTTATACGTTTTTTCCCCTAATATTTACGATATCCGAGACAATATTATCTAAAAAAAAAAAATACTATATTACGCTATTTTTTTTTTTTTATTTTGACCGTCAAGTTAAAGAAGAGGCTATTATAAGTATTCTGTGACAATTTCATCTCTCTATGATAATTTTTAACCAACTTACTATAAAAAAATCAAAATCAAAAACAACAAAAAACTTTATCATATTTTCTACATTTTTTCCAATTATTTTAATAACTGGTGGGTAACCCAACGATCTTACTAACCCACTAGATATAAAACTAAACAAAAAAAATGCCTTGTCATTTTTTTGATTTGAGCAAGATATTTTGATTGAAAAACATAAAGTGTAACGCCGTAAATTTTATCCTTTTTCATGTTACGTCTTTTTTCGCTTTTTCCTAATTATTATGAAAATCACTTGGAAAATTAAAAAATAAATTACTTGCACTTCAACTAGATCCGAAACTCAACAAAAGAAGGCTTTTGTTATTTATTAATTAGAGCAAGAATTTTGGTAGACAAATTGTTTACAAAAAAAAAAAAATTGTAATACACGCATAGTAAAACATATTACTCGTTATACGTTCAGAATCTAAACTCTTTTTGTTAGTTTTGGATTTTATACAGATAAACAAGAGTGGTTTTGAATAATAAACTACTTATACATATCATGTTGCCAACAATAATTACCTGAATATCGAATCACAAATACCTTAATTATTTAACTCGCGTATTGTACATAAATAAAAAAAAAAATTTTTCTAAGCTTTTTTTTTTTTAATAACCATAAACTCCATATCTCAAAGTCAATAAATAACAAATAATGATTACTTATTATAGGGTATTAATTTTATTACTGTCAACGACATAGTAGATATAATAATTTATCGAGGATTTTGGTTTTAAAAAATATTTCGATCGGTTTCGATTATTATAATTTTTTTTATACCAATATACTAATATACGATGTTATCCGTTATCAACAAATTCATTTTTATGTGACGTCATTTTTATTTTTTATTTTTTTCATTATTATTGCATTATTATACAACTAGTTAACTAATATCACTTTAATAGTCATTCGTTTAAATATATCGTTTGTGCAATCAAATATAAAGAGGAAATCATAAACATAGTTTTTTTCGTTTTAATATTTTTTTTTTACAAATGTTATATTATAATAGAAAATGTAATATTTTCGAGTCTTAGTGTACATCGAATTGGAAGAACAAATTGTTTAGTGACTATAATAAGAATGACGACTTTAACAGAAAATACTGCAGAATTACAACGTGAACTAGGTCTCCCCAGTGCAATATGCCTTATCATCAGTGACATGTTGGGTGAGTACGAGACGATAATCAATATAAGTTTTACAATAATTGGTGCTTAGCAACGATAAATATTTCCTTTTTATTTTACACAGACAAATGACTCGCGGACACCGATTTTTTCACGGAATTGGGGGGAAAAGTGTCCGCTTGCGCCCTCTTACAATTTTTATCCATAGTTCGTCTATGGATATAATACATCGTAATACTATATTATGGTGTATAGGTGTCAATCAATAAGTCATTGGTCAGAATATTCAAGCTTAAATAATCGTTTTTCTTCTTTAGTTGTAATTTTGTACGACTATATTCAATGTTAACGATTATTTAAACAAAAAACTATAAACTACCTTACACCGGATGTAATGATTCTAGGGAGTTCTGTGCTCAGAATCACTAAAAGTATAATTCAAATCGTCTTCTGAAATGTATGCTAAATATGAGAATATTTTCATAAGCGCAACCAAAAGGGTGCTGGGGAAACTTAGCGCTCCTATTAAAGGTTAGGTTAGTTAATTAAAATTAGCTACCAGAAAAAAACCCAATAATCTTTTTCATAGCATCGGTTAAATATTTATCTATATATTATTTCATAATCAATAAGCAGAACAAAGTACAGATTACCTACAGACAATGTATTAGACTATGAAAAATAATGTTAATATAGTTAATAATACATTTGTATATAATAAATTGTAAATTAAATGTGTAATTGCTTATTATTAGAGCATTTTAAAGGGGATTGTAGGGGTATGGTAACCACGGGTCTGTGATATTTCGATAATTTGAGCACCCTTAAAATTGATAGTTTAATTTCGCCTATGAATTAATTGCTACTCAGTAGAATACAATCAATGATCACAGAGAAGAAGAAGGGTATAGTAGTCCAATTTAGAACATTGTTCAGCAGAGCGAAACTTCTCTGCAACAATTTGGATTACGATCTATATAATTTTAACTAGTTCGTCCAATATTAATATACACACTTAATATTATCAGATTGATACCTTTTTTCACCCTATGAGAATCTCAACATTCGATAGCACAATTTCAATAAAACACTATCGAACACGTTCGACCGGTTAATGCGTCATCTCAAAAATGAAAAAATTGACTTACTACCCTTCTTCTCCCATGTCCTTTAATTTACTATTTTCAAAATGTTTTATTCTAAATTAAATGTTGATAAATATTTCTGTGCGTTTCTTATTTGAGGCGGATGGGTTTAATATTAAAATGTTCTCTATTAATTCATTGATCTTTTTGAAATTTTGTTTGTCTCTATTATTTTGTATAGGTTCGGGAATTTTCGTGTCTGCAGCCAGCGTATTGGAGAACACAGGGTCGGTTAGTATGTGTCTGGTCCTCTGGGTATTGTGCGGTTTGATATCGCTTTTAGGTAAATACGCACTGTGGATTATTTATCAGTACTAATAAGTACTATATATTGTACATGCTTACAATAATTATACTATTATTCGTATTCAAACTGACCTCATCTTTCAATACCGTTAATTTATGACTATTTCGTTTTCCATAAAATTAAGAAAATATTACAATATGCTGAGTGGTAATAATTGTTTCATCACAAGCATAAAATAGCGCATAGCATACTCGTATGGGATGTCTGTATATGACGACATATTTGAAATTTGTTCGCCACCTCCAGCATTTTTTTTTTTTTTCAATTTGCTTAAAGTGTATTTGCTTGAATTTAAAAATAAATATTCCTTGATATTTCCTGCAAATTCCTCTATCACAGTGTTGGATCCAGGAGAGGGGCGATGGGAGCAATTGTCTCTACTGTTCGGGTCCCAATTTACTATTAGATTGATTTTCGTCATAAATGTGTACCCCATATGAATTTTCAAAATCATCCCTCCTCCGCCACCTCCTCTCCCACCCTCGTTATCTCGTTATCTGTCCAGATAACGTATAAGTAACGGTATCATTACATCTCATCGTCGTTTCTTCTTGACTACAACACAGTGTCCCTGTCGTACGCCGAACTGGCCACAGTGGTGAACAAGTCCGGCGGCGATTTCAGTTACTATCAGACCGCGTTTGGAAGCGTGCACAAATTCTGGGGACCGCTGCCGAGTTTCGTCAATTCGTGGGTGATCATCATGTGCGCGTACCCGGCCGGCGTGGCCATCACGATGATGACGTTTGCCCAACATGTCGTCGAACCGCTGGGCATGTGGTTGTTCTTAGACCCGAGCACGGAATACGCTCTGAAGAAAGCGGTCACCATAATGTCGATCGGTAGATAACATACAATTTTATCGGTTTTGTTCACAATTTAAATTATTATATTATAATACAGTATGGTCGACAAAATAACGTAAGACACTTATTATCTCGGAAATTAGCGTTAAATTTTTCGGAACCTGTATTTAAAAAAAATTGTACAATGTTGTATTGCCGTTAGTTTTTGATACGCTTATTTTCCCGCGTTTTGATTTTTAAACGACAACCAACATTAAAAATTCTATGAATTAATGAAGTTTTAGATTAAATACATTTTTGTGTTGACATTTTTAATTTACGTCGACCCGTAACGAGAATAATCCACTCTATATTTTATCGTTTTGTGGGTAAGTCGCGGAGCGTACTATTGAAACCCGTATGCACCGCTACAACTGCAGATCCTCCATGGAAGCATTTTTTCTTGTCGATTATAAAACAGAAAATTGAGAAGAAAAGATTAGACCAAAATTAATGTTATTTAGCTTCCGTCGAATTCATACGCAAATACTTACGTAATGTTAAAACAATAAATAAAAAGTTGATACTGTTTATGTCACTGTTTTTGGTGGGAAGTTGAAAATAAGGATATATAAAGTATAATTTAATTTAAATTTGTACGTACCGACAATAGGTTACTAACGAAAAACAATTCTTAACAAAGTATTATTAGTCGTAATTGATTGCCCTCTGTTGCCAAAGTAACCTAAAAATCAACTAAAATTATACAAAAAATCACCATTTCATCCCACTTATTAAGAAAAATCAAAAAATAAACTAATACCAATTATATAAAAATGCTACAAGAAAGTTCCTATGAAGTTTATGATTAAAGCATGGTTTCTGATAGAAAACTTATGTATAGACAAAAAAAAAAACACACCATTCTAAAACCAATATATTCTTCGCTTTTAGAATCGCAAAAAAAGAAATTCGTAGTCGAAAATTAAATCGATAATTATGAACGGCAATGCATTTATACCACCGTTTGCTACAAATCAAAAACGAAATACTTTATAATACACGAAATCTTTCGTGAACAGTATTACTTTCTACGAATGGATATATAATAAGATACCTACCTATATTATGTCCTCCTATATTCGTTATAAATTTAGGTATCATCACACTGATCAACTATTCCAGCGTGAAAAACTTCATTAAAATCCAATTCGTGTTCACCACATGCAAAGTTGTCGCTTGTGTGTTGGTCATCGGCGGCGGAATGTATCAACTCTACAAAGGTAGGTACCATAAAAAAAATTATATAATTTATATACATAAAATATAATATAGATAATATTTTATAATATTAAATAATTTAAGTATATTATAATCAAATTTCTTAGGGAAAAATCAGTAGCTTAGTTGGTTGTAAGTGGGAAGTTGGGAGAGTAGGATACATAAAACGATTTAATTTATGTCTGTAAGCAACGATAAACCATTGTTAGTGGTAAACGTTTCTTAGGAAAGTTCATTTATACATGATTTTCTTATTTGAACATTAAGTACAACTTATTCTCAACATCCTGTTAAATTTTCGTACATTTCTGTTTTTTTCAAACAATTATATCCACATACAGTACCTACTAAATAAAAACTACGTAAAAAATATGCAAACATAAAATACATATTAATTAATAGTCCACTTATACCTCGTATATATATTGTGTTTACCAATTAATACAGGAATAAAATGTTTCACGCAGGAAATACTGACAATTTGATGACCGGTTTCGAGGGAACGACCCTGACGATAAAATCTCTGCCGGTGGCTATGTACAGTTGTCTTTGGGCGTTCAGCGGAGGGTAAGTACCTGCTGCACAAATTAAGTAGCAAATGTTCATATATGAAATACTTTTGGCAGGGAGGCTGCAGCAATAGTCGTCGAGGAAATAAAAAATCCTCAAAGGTACTCTACATAATGTAATTATCATAATGTTTTAACGCGATGACTATTTATTTTTTTTCTTACAATCGCAGGAACGTATTGTTGAGCATTTTGTTGGCGTTACCGTTCATCACGTTAATTTACGTGCTGATGAACGTGTCGTACATGACGGTGCTATCCAAATCGGAAATGATTTCGACGTCCACGGTTGCGATTGTACGTGTTCGTCCGGAGAACAATGTTTTCGATTATTCATGATCTTTTTCTTTCCCATTCCAGAAATTCGGATCTCACGTACTCGGTGGTTTGACTTTCGTTATCCCGCTGACCGTGGCCGTGTCGACGTTCAGCAATGCACTCAGTTCCCAATTCGAAGCAACCAGGTTGCTACACTTAAACAATAAATAATAATTATTATGAATATAATCTATATCGTGTGATGAGTAATGACATTTATTACGATCGAATTTTACTATCTTTTTGCGCAGGATGTGTATGGTCACCAGCAGAGAAGGTCATATGTTGAATGCGTTCTCGTACGTGAGCGTCAAAAAACTCACTCCCACTCCGGCCGTCCTTTTACAGGCACGTTTAATTCGGTTTATTATTTTTTTTTATATATTATACATGTTTTGTTATTCCAAGTTCGAAAGTATGTTCTCAACTATGGTTTTCCGTTTTCAGGGTCTACTTACGTTCATATGCTGTCTGATTTGCGAGGACATCATAAAGCTAATAGAGTTCACCAGCTTTTTATTTTGGGTGTTTACTGGTCTTTCCGTCGTGGCGCTGTTGGTGATGCGTCGCACCAAGAAAGACGTCAAACGTCCGTTCAAAGTAAAGCTGCAACGACAATACATGCGGTTGATGTATTAGCTACACAGAGTGTTTCTGAAAGGAACCACATAACTATACTTTTTGAGGTGATTCAATAACAGAATTGGATTATTACTTCCAAAACACATTTCAAAAAATTATTCATGCGTATAAAAATATAAAATCCCACGATATTTCCTGCGAAATCGTTTTCAGGCGACACTACAAGCGATCAAGCGTAAAAATGGCACAATTATTTGTAACGTACCAATTAGCATGAGGACTTCTCGGAAGATATCACGGGTTATTTATATTTTTTTAAATTATTCACATATTCTAAGAATTAAAATAACACAAAAAAAAAAGGTTTAGTGGTAGAAAAACAAATTGTCTTTATTGAGACGTTCAATCGTGGAATTTGGTTAATGGTTATACTTTTTAGCAGACTGTCCCATAATGTAACTGTTCTACTACTGTACATTGGGTTGGTGCTAAAATAGGGTCAACACGATGGCTTAATAAACTTAATTTCCTAAGCATTCGCACAAAAATAAAACGAAGCAAAATTATTATTCTCTCGGGGTGAACATAATTTTAGACCAATAGCGAAAAATGGAGGTACGTCGTACACACATGATAGAAATATTTATATAAAAAATCCGGGTCCGTGAAGTTAGCCGCACAACATCAATATTATCGAACCAAATTTCCCCAAAAATTTGTAAGTCATTTGTAAGTATTTGAAAGCAAAAATTTATATAATTATTTTTAAGCGCAAATTCACAATTTTTAAGTCATCCCTTCTTGAGTTATCCCTGAAATGTAGTAGTGATCAATAGTGTTTAGTGTTCCACTATAATAGTCTAAACAAATTGGAAAAAAAAAACGACAAAGTTCGGAACTAATTTACCGATAGCTGAATTTTGGTACAGAAATAGTTTATACTTCACAAATGAACATATAAATACTAAAAGTCCTAATACATATCCATTGTGCCATTTTAACCAGGCTAAAATATTTTACATTATTCAAGTATTTATAAATATGGATTTAAAATTTGTAAATTGATTTATTTATCCTTAAAAAGAAGTTGGCTGCGCTTTGTCAGGCTTCTTGAACTTTTATGCTCCGGCAAGTTAATTATAAATTAATTACTAATAGATATTTAATAGATAATAGATATGTATACAGATACTAACCAGTTTTATATGAGTTTTCTTTTAACACTGACACCAGAACAACGATAGTGTTTAAGCTAAATATAAAAGTTTATGTTTCATATTTTATTATCATGTATGCGCATAGTTATTTTATTTTTTAAGTCAATTTACAAATTTTAAATCCGTGTTTACAAATACTTGAATAATGTAAAATATTTTAGCCTGGTTAAAATGGCACAATGGATAGGTATTAGGACTTTTAGTATTTATATGTTCATTTGTGAAGTATAAACTTCTTCTATACCAAAATTCAGCTATCGGTAAATTAGTTCCGAGCTTTGTCGTTTTTATTGTCCAATTTGTCTGGACTATTATATTGGAACACCAAACACTATTTACCACAACTACTTTTCAGGGATAACTCAAAAAGGGATGACTTAAAAATTGTGAATTCGTACTAACAAGTACTTACAAATAGTGAAAAATATTTTGGCCTGGTCGAAATAGGTTAGAAATGATAAAACGTCCAAGTTTCGTGGAAGTTAGCCGCGAAATAAATATTAGTTAATTAAGATAATTAAAAATGACTACACTTACAAATTTCAAATTTTTGCTTTCAAATACTTACAAATAACTTACAAATTTTCGGGGAAATTTGGTTCAATAATATTGATGTTGTGCGACTAACTTCACGGACCTAAAATATCCTACATCAACCTGTAGATCGGTAACCGATAAGTATAGTATACTATAGCTGCCCGTCGGGACCACTTTCATCGATCTATACCACTTGACGGACATATTATGGGCCACGTGTTTATTATACGAATATCGAATCAGAAAAAATTGCATTCGTGTATACGAGAGCAAAAACAAATGAAATAGAAAATGTTTAGCAAACTGCTGTCAAACATTTAAAACAGTGAATCGAACGCTTCCCAGTCTGCCCTTGGTTATGCCAGTAGCCAATTAGATGAAGTCCTTTCAGAAACACCCGGGTGTATCGTGATAACCTTGAATCGTCTGACATACTGTTATTTAGTTACCGATCGTCGTTCCCGTTATCATACTGGTCGTGTGTGCCATCCTATTCCTGACACCGATCATCAGCGAACCTAAACCGCAGTATCTCGTAGCTTTGGTGCTCGTATTTTCAGCGTTGCCCTTGTACGTGCCATTCGTGTACCTGAAGAAACGATGGTCGATAGTCGGTACGTGTATATTATTGTGATTCTATCTGCGAAAACCTATTTAATAACATTATTCGTTGTGGACGTTTACAATGCGTGTGTTTTTTGTTGGCAGACGGTTTTAACCAATTTGTTCGGAATTCGATGGGAGTGGCGCTACCGGAGAATTGAGGAAAATATACCAGCCGAATTTTCCGTCCTCGGATCGGAATCCTACTGGAGACTGCATAATGTTTTCAGTGTACCTACCGAAAGCCAGGAAACGAAAAAAAGGATTCTAGCTGTTGTTTAGATATAATTACTGTATTTGGTACTGTTTTTTCGCTTATATAATAAGCGTTCGTAAATTATATTTTAAATAAAAAAGTCATTTTTTTCTACTTTTTGTCATTTTTGGCATAACAGGGCACCGGGTAGTGTACCTATTTTTATATACCTACCGTATGATCTCGGTCAAATTTCGTTACAAATCGAATATGTTTTATTATTTCATGTTCGGCTAACGAATCAATATGTTAACTGTATATTGTTATACAGTAAAATGGGTTCTGGACCTCTTTGGGGGTTGAGGGGGTGATGTATCATCCACACAACCCCCTAGAGAACGATGTTGGCTAACCATATCTAGAACACGCTTATCCATAATACTGTATTTTGATAAATTTTAGTAAATTCAATAAAGTTTATGTAATTACGATAGGTAAAACATAATACATACGGTGTTATAATGTAAAAAACAATAATACTTCCTGGAAGACGTTCTGGAGCTACAAACAAGACTTTCGCTTTCAGATGTTTACTGCCACGTTCGTTTTCCTTTGAAAAAGAACATGATATATTATACCCTTAAGCATACAACTAGATTTTACAGGGATACTGAAAGTCCACACTTGCTGCAATTCCATAAACACTACACGAGTAACAAAAAGTCTACTGCACACGAAGCATCTTAACGCAGGTGTAATATCCAATATAATATCCAATAACTGTAGGATATAGATATTATTTTTAGTGACGAAAGTTCTTCACTGGCACAAGTATAGGAAATAGTTTTTAGCCTATTTTTGCCTGACTGAATGATGGTGACTGGAGTGTACAGATCATGCACTTCAGTCAGAACACGGTGTCAGTACCAAAAAATATACATTGTACATATTTGCATTCCTTAAAAAGGCCTAGGTAATAATTTTTAAAACATTTTAATATGTATAACTCTAGGAGATTTATAGAGGTGTATATATTTTAGTCAATTTAGATTTTCGCTTGGATACGTTGAAAATGAAACATTAATTATTTTACCACAATTAGTAAAAAAAGAAAAAAAAGAAATAAAAATAATCAATTGTATTTTTACAATAGGTAAATTGGATTTATATTACAATACGTTTTCAAAATTGAACCCGTCGAACGTAATTTCTACAGCTTTGTCGTTCGTGATATCCGGCCCAATAAATGGGTGTCGAGCAGTTGATTAGTGATAATGTCTTATCGTTTAAATGTAAAAAACACAATATTCAAATTGTACAAACTCGGAGTTATACACGAAACAGGAGGTTCTTTTGGGAGCCGATTTAATTTTTCAGCGTTAGACTGTATCTCATACAATCACAAAGTACTCGGACCATTCAATTTCAAGGGGTAGGCACCGGATATTTCTGAAACGCAACTCTGTATCTACAACGAACCGACCGCAACAGTGCAATATAAATAGCGCACTATGGTATTATATATTACTAGACGCCCAATAATCACGGACGGTGTAACGTTGATGAAACATAATCCGTTTTGGATTCTAATTCGATCTCAATTCGTGATTCGCGATCGTAACGGACATAACAATCAGCTCCGGACC